GGGGATCGGGAGAGATCCGTGATCTTGAGGGAAGCGCCCTCAGCCACGTAGCACGTGCGCTGCTCGAGGGATACCGGACTTGGGCAAGGGAGAGGTGGAGGGGATGATTACCTTAACGAGGAAAGGGGACGGTGGTAGCAATGGTAAATTGCGTGGTATGCGGGGACAGGGCTAACTGATCTCGTTAGCTACGCGATACGATACCCGTATCAAGAGCTTATCAGCCGGGAGATATCCGAGAGCGAGGTGGTAGAGGGAGGGGCTGAGGGTGTTGATGGCGCGAAGGGTGAGAGCATACAGATGCGAGAGACTTTCTGGCGAGGAAGTAAATGAGGAGTAAAAACTGAGGATATACAGATTCATCGTACTCACCTGGTGGCCGATGAGGCGTCCTCGCATAGAGGCAGCCACATGCAATGCTGAGCGAAGCACAGAACATGATGTTGACGGTGAGGCGCACGACGGCAAGACGTGAGACGAGAGTGCCAGCGAGGCAGCTCAAAGCGCTCAATTTCGGAGTTTGGAATGTGTTTAGGGCAGACGTCAGCAGTCTTGGGCAAAGTCCCCGTTGTCTTCCTTCCTGTTGAATGACTTGCTACGGCACGGCCGACAACACACTCAAGAACGCAACTACTTGACACCACAGGGCTCCGAGAAGCGCTTGAACGGTATCCCCAAGGACCAAGCATGACTCGAGGAAAACGAGCGCGGACGAAGGAGATACAAGGACGAGGGGCAGGAGCGATGGACGAAAGCCAAGCAAGGGTCAGAAAATGACGGTAAGCAAACTACAATGTACCTACTTCCGTTACTAGTCACCCTGCCCGACTAGGTGCATCGTCGAGCAATGGGCTCGCAGTAACTAGTGACCACGCGTCCGTCCGCGCATACGGCTTGTCCGCTCGCTTGCCCTCTTGCGCCCACACGTCCGCCCTCTCGTGCTCGCCCGTCCTCATCCACCCGCGTGTTCTTGCAGGCCCGCGCTCGTACGCGAGCCGTCCGTCGCACCCCGCTTGACACGCGATGACCCTGTACGCACTGTGCTACCCCCCGCTACTACACTACCTCCTTCTCGATATGTATGCGGGGCGGAGCTGTGCGCCGCGCCGACGCCCCGCCTCTGCTTCCTGCTGGCATCTCACGCCTGTCCACCCTCGTAGCCTTGCTCTGCCTGCACACAGCCGACGGCCTCTGCCCATGCCTCGTTGACCATCCTTCAATCAAGCACGACACCCGGTTCAGCACCACCGTCCCTGCTTGCGCCATCATCACGCGTGTCTCACGCATACTCGCGATATGAGTGCGACCCCGGCCTCGTCACTTCTCGCCTGCCACTGCCGTCCCAGCACCCCGTGTTTCGTCCGCGACAAGGACTCTCGGACGCCCCGGGTCGTCATCCACCCCTCAGCACCACTCCGCCGCACAACCTCGACAAGCCCCCGGTCAGCCAGTCCAGCTCGTCCTCCCTCGCCTACCGTGCTCCTTGCCCGACACTCGCATGCCCACTCGCCCGCCCGCTCACACACCCGCCCTTGGCTTCTCGCGCGCCCCCGCGCGGTTCATCTCTCCGCCCGACTTGCCCACTCGTTCGCTCGTGCCTACTTATCCACCTGCCTGCGCTCGCCCTCCTGCTGGCTCGCATGTGCCCGCCCGCTCGCCCGTGGCTTCTCGCACGCGCGCCTGCTCTCGCCTGCCTGCTCTCACCCACCTACTCTCGCCCGCCCGCTCTCGTCCACCCGTTGCAGACCACCGAGAACGCGGCGCACGGGACGCAGAAGGAAGAGGAGGAGAAGGGGAGGAAGCGAGAGGAGGGAGAAGGGCATGTGACGAGCAGAAAGAACGAGCACGAAGGCTCAACAAACGCAGGTACGCCCTCGCTGGCCGTCCTCGCCTCGCCGTCTCCATTCCCAGTGTCTGCACCAGTAGGTGTATCGACGAACGCAAAGCTCGCCGTCTTGCTGGCCACAAAGACGGCACTTCCGCTTTCCGGGTGGACCTCACCGTCGTACCCGCTGCTACACACGGTAGCACGTCTGGCGCGCAAGGCTGCACGTCAGACGTGCCCGTTCTTTTGCTACTGCCGCGCCAGCAGGTGTACCAATGAGCGAGAAGCTCGTTGTGCGTTCTGCTGGCCATAAGAGCGGTGTTTCCGCCTTCCGGGACGACCTCACTGTCGTACCCGATGCTCACTATCGACGCCGCTGGCAAGCGGGCTCGGGACGCATTGACGGCGGATGCAATCACCGATACGTGGCTAGGTCGACTCGTGGCTTCGCGAGTGCTGTACTCACTGATCACTGCTTGCAGACGCGTCGGCGGTCTTGTCGGGACGCAACTGGTATTCAATGTAGTATTCATAGTTGGTACTGTACAGTTATCATAATATACATATGCCACTAGCGACTCTACCGAGGCTGCTCGACCAACTGTGAAGCTCAGAAATCGTTAGACAATGAGGTAAATTAGACACCCGTGAGACACTTTAGGCGTGTTTAGGCGCATTAGGCACGGTGACGCTTTCCTGATGACTACGGGGAGAAATTGTGGAGTATGGGCCCCGAGTACGTTTATGCTGCCCTTCATTCCGAACAGGAGCTCATGACAGCACTTGCTATAGGCAGGCTTATAGCTATAATCGATGTCGTTGAATGTACGTCGCATGATCTATACCCAACCCCATGGACCCCTTCGCAAGACTGTTGACTGGGTAGCTCACTCGCTCAGTGCAGGACCTTGGACGGGAATGCCGACTGTTGTCGCGTTGTATTGTCAGCGGTCGACCTCTTGATACGACATTGACTACTGTATCTCTCGTCGTCGGCTACTTATTTGGATAATGAGTGATCAGACCCAGGCAGATCGCTCGAGACCGTGACGTTCATCGAAGTGTCGAAAAATTTCACCAAGAGCAGTGTCAACACATAAATGCTGTCGTCTATTGCGTGGGATGCCGAATACTACTGAGAATAAGTATACGGTATGTTATGCCAGTGCCGCGGAAAGGGCGTGATTGCAATGCAGTGAAGAAACGATGAGCGACCATGCCTGAGACCACAAAACCTCCTAGGAAAGATAAACCTGCAAACGCGCCGGGGCGCGCGCCCGTCGACTGTCAACGATGTACCATCAGTTTGTACGTCGACCAGCCCGCGATGAGCGCAAAGGCAGCGAGCACCCCGATGATAGACCCGAACCACACGTAGCCGTTTTGCACATCCTGCCCAGGCACGTGGACGTTCATGCCCCACAGACCTGTGACGAGGTTCATGGGATGAGTACCGTACCGAGCGCAGTGAGCTTCGAGAGAACGTCGTTGATTTGGTTGTTCGCCTCCGTCATCTCGATCGAGATCTGCGCGAGGTAGTTGGAGTGCGAGCGAGACAGGATCTTCTCGTAGTGATTCAAATTCTGCGTCATCGTAATCAAGTGGTCTTGGATATCGGAGAGATAGAGACCCTAGAAAGAGATGAGTCGGGCGAGCGATCGGCCACGACGAAAGAACAACTCACGATGTCCGATGTTGGTGCAACACGCCAGTTCTCGTTGCATCGTTTGGCGAGACCCTTCACGACGTCGGCCTTGTTGCCCATCAACCTCAGCAGACCCATGACCTTCTTACGGCAGGTACCAATCCTATCGGATGAGGTACGATGAGGGCCACGCTCCCAATGCTAATATCACGCATGACATACCTCCTCAGCATGTCGCTCTGCTCCGCCTCCTTGAGGATAAGTACGAGTTCATCAATGCTGTCGACTTCATACTCGATGCTCTGGATGAGGGGTCCGAAGGCGTCGGTGATGTCGTCGATGAGAGCGTATGAGATCCAGTCTGACGTAACGCTGATGTAGTCCTTCAGCTGCTTGATCCGCCGGCGAACATTCTGAGGATGAGGGGTCGGGCGGAAGTGGAACTGCATCATGGCGACGGTATGATGAGATCGAGGTTCCTAGGTAGTCTCGTGCGCGAGGGACGTACCGACAGTATGCCTTCACGGAAGACGATAATGTACATGTTGAGTGGTTCGAGATACGTCGGGCTGTATGGGTCCTGGTCGAAGCCACGGAAACACACAAGGTAGTAGTTTCGGAACAACTCGATCTTCTCTCGAGTTTCCTCCATCTGGATATCCTCGGTCGTCAATGGATGGATGGAGAAGACCTGGAATCCTCGTGCGTTAGACTGTTGACAACGTAGAACAATCAAGGACGTACCTTGCTGAGTAGCTTCATCTCCTCGTCAGTGGGCGACAACACGTCCAGCCACCATGTACAACCATCTGCCGTCGCGTCTCCCGGTAGTCTCCGCTCGCCGCCGCTAAATATCTTCGAGGTCCCAGGACCGATGGCGTTCAACCTCGGCGAGGTGAGCAGCGAGCCAGGATTCGACCCGACATTGGTCGGTGCGTATGACCCTGGTTTACCGTTCATACCTAGCCTCGGTCCCGCAGCATTTGGCGGGGCCGGCTCTCGTCCAAAGAACATGTCCTCAAAGCTCTGTCCCTCTGCTGGGAGCTCACTGAGGCTTCGCGAATGGATAGTCGCACTCAAGGCGTTCGAGTAGAAAGAGAAACGGTATGGTCGGTCGTGTCCCGTTCCCGGCCCACCGAGCCCATGAGCACCCCCACCCGCCGACGGTGTGCCGTTCATGATGTCGTTGACATTGTCATACGACGGTACGGCACTGAGGGTCGTGCCAGACGTTGGTGGTGCAGCCCCCGCCCCAGGCTGTTCGAAGAGCGCAAGCTTCCCTCGTCGCGGAGTGGGTGCGCTATGCGAGAGTTTGCGATGTCGCACGCGCGGGATCGTGAAGTGACTTCCGCTCGGGCTTGGGTCTGCCTCGCTCTGGCCCTGGCTATGAGGCGCAGGCATTGGTGGGCGCCCAATGTGCGGGCCCGTAGGGCTTGCAGGAGTCTGAATGCCGAGCCGCGCCTTCTCCTCTCGAGCGAACGTCTCCAACGGGCCAAAGTCATACTGCTGCTGTTCAGGAGATGGCCCGCCAACGCTTGCCTGGTACATGGGAAGCCCAGCCTCCATGTCGGCCGTCTCCATAGATACAAGCAAGGACGGGTCATGAGCCGCACTGAGGTGGTTGAGGTGCGCATCTGGCGCTGGGCCCGGATGATAGTGCTCTGCGTGGTCGGGATCAGAGTTAACGTGCGGACGACCCCGTGCATCGTTCACGTCCTGCTCCTCCTGAAGAGAGAGAACGGGGAAGTTGACGGGGCTGTCTAACGACTGGGACAAGGGGCGCGGAACCGGAGCGACAGGCGATGTAGTAGGTGAGGTGACGGTGTTGCTCCGGGCACGGGAGAGATGCATGGCCATGTCAGCGTCCATGGCACGCTGGCGTTCGCGCACCTCAGGGTCATTAGGGTTGTATCCTCTGGTCAACGTCGGTGACAGGCGGGGGCGAGAGTGGGGGACGGTAGGATCAACGTCCGCAATGTCACTGTTGCTTCTCCGCAGGCGCACAGGAGAATGAGAGTGAGACCGTTCTGGAGAGGGGCCGATAGGGATGGGAGAGCTCGCGATGGAGTTCGTGAGCACCGAGGGTGCGTCCGGGGAAGTCATTTTGACACTGTCTAAGGGTCAACGGGAGCAATATCCTCAGAGTCACAGAAGATGCTCACCAACCAGCCTATGCAAGCAATGAAATGTCACTGTATCACACTTCGGTCAGAGCCAAAGTCCGCTTGAAGTCGAACCTGGCTTGTTCGCTGCCCTCGAACGGAATCTAGAGAGATCTTCTCGAGCGCGTTGTCTGGCAAGGAGATGAGGGCAACAGAAGGCGACACCAGCGATTACGAGCGTGGCCAAGGGGATGGGCCGACTGCCCTTAGCCTGAAGTCGCTGAGGTCGCGAGAGGGGGCGTGGTCACCGTGGCGGCAGCCTGGCAAGGGAACATGACGTCCAGGCAACTCGAATCCGGCGGCTCCAACGGCTTAACTGACCGCCAATAACTGTTTCACGTCCCACACTAATCGGCATTAGAATGGCTCTACAAACGACTACAACCCCGTTGTAGTACCTTGTTAACACCGTTACATTCATGAGCGGCTAACATTGGATTGTCACTCAGACGCATCTCACTCATCTCGCGACTCACTTCTTTTGAGGAGAACAGGCAGATGACCGCGACCATGCTGGCGATGCCACATGGCAGCAGAATAGGACGCTCGAGTGGGGCGACTCAGCTGGGCAGAGTTGATCATCCGTGACAATATTTTCTCAAGTTCGCATTTCACGGTTACTCAGGTTCTTACGGTTTGTCATACCAACAAGACACCCACGCTGTGAACAGTCATCGCGATACTGATTCAATGGGTGCAATATTGTGGACGTTTGAAAGATCGGGAAGAAATTCCGAATATTACTCGCCCCCAGCCTTCATTCAGAAATTCTACATTGGAATGAGGTACGACTCCGCGACCCCGGCAGACATCCATGCGTAAGACGAAATTGATGAACCGGGTGTGGAACATGCATTCGAACGATATTAGCTTGCACCCCCGCCCGCAGTCTGAGCATGCATGTGAGTTCATATTGATGAGGTCAAGTGCTACGGCGCACTCACTGCGGAAGTTCAGCGACTCATCTCCCTAGCAGCCTCCCGAACACCTCTTTCTCCTCCTTCCCAAAACCAAGAACGTTGTTGGCGAAACCGTACAAGCCGTCCGCGACGGCGACCTCGTGCAGTTTCAGCGGACGGACATTGACGTCAAGGAACAACCGCATGTACAGCCGCTTGAGCTCCTTGACGTCGTCGACGGACCGTGCGTTGCAGAAGCCATACTCCACCGACACCGGGTGAGACGGTTCCCTCATGATGGAACCAGTCCCGTCGGCAAGAATGGCTCCCTTCAGAACCCATACTGACTTCGAGTCGCTAGACGGCGTAGGGTTCTGGAAAACGTCTAGCAGCTCCGCGCGTTTTCGCCACTCGAACGCTGACAGCAACGGATCCATGAGGGATATGAGGGTGCCATTGCCGTAGGCGGTCCAGAACTCCTCGAATGTGTGCAGCTCAAGAAGACGCCTGTAGATATCCTCCAGCTTCTTCTCCTCGCGGTCGTTTCTGCAGACGCAGAACCCGAAATCGATCCAGAGCGTCGTAGGCGGGAGTATCGCGAAATGATTGAACACTAGTTCACTCATATCGTAGCAGGTTCTCTTGCTCTCGGGCCACGTCGACCTGACGGCATCTATGTTCTGAAAAGCAGCGGCTGGGAGGCCGATCCACCGCTGGAAACGTGTAGAAGCGTCCGCTGGCCCCTGTCTGATGTTCGGGGGAGCACCCAGGGAGGGATCGATGATCCATCGATGCTCCTTAAACCACTTGAAAGCCTGGCTCTTGCTGGCGCGGCCCGATTTCTGGTATCCCAACTCTATGATCTGGCATAAGACTTGGTCCCGCCGCCAGTTACGAAGTGACCTCGAGGGGATCTCCAGCGAGACGATGAATTCGACCCAGAAGTCGAGGAGTTCGTGGATGCTGTTGTCCATCGCAGCACGTACGAAGCCCCACTCCGAGAGTGTAGCCATGTCATGGGGCAGACGGCGACGGTGGGCGGCGCGCACCAGCCGATCAGCTGTGCCAATCTCAATCGAAGCTTTCGACTCGCATTCGAATTTGTGTTCCGGCCAGTCTTGCTCCTGGCAGTCTTTGCTGCAGTAGTTGGCACTCGACACTTGACACCCTTTGCACCTCTTTGTGGCGTACTTCGGGCACTTGGCGCAGAACAAGCCCATTGGTCGACTGCGAAGATCCTTTCAAGCCTTCAGGGCCTTAGGCTTATGTGTGCGTCTATACATATGTTCGTAGCAAATCATCATAGTGAGTTCCTATTCAATAGACCTTGGAGAGTCAGAATCAACATACCGGCGGTATCTCTGATATTGACGGACTCCGGTGGTCCGAAGCTCAATGTTCTCGACACTCGAGCCTACCGGTGGGTATATAACCACGCAAAGCTGTGCGCAACGTCAGATGATGCAGGTAGAAGATAAATACCAAGTTCCGTCTCACCTTGTCTTCCCAGCGTGGCAGTTGTGGTGGCGTAATTCAGGCAGGGCGCCGGTCACCGGCAGAGATCAATATCATCGTGCCTTACAGTTGATCGACTTGCCGCCACAATGGAGTGTCTCCCCCTTTTTGGCAGGTCGCGAAGTTGATCCAACATTTGCCTTGCCGAACTGCTGAACACTGAGCTACCCTCTTGGGATGTGTCGTTTGACACGGTCAGTAAAATCCAGGAGTGCTGAATGTAACTATGAGCACGATCAAGCCTGGGACAGCCACTAGTACGTGCGGTTTAAATCAATGGGTCCGTCATCGGAGTCGTTGCGTCGAATACGGCTGGCATCGCGGGTTTGTCAACATAAAACATACCGATGACCAATGGATGGGCACGTATGCTAGACGAGCATACGTAGGGGTCGGTCGCTTCGCATTCGTTCAAGAGATCCTGAAGCGAAGCATAGTCCGACTTACATCGTCACCGAAGTCCGGCGAGCGTCAGATGTGTAATCATTCGGGTACGCCCAACAGTCAATATTTCAATGATAGCCTGAGGGCGTAGGAAACGACGATAAATAATCGGCATTGAACATACATAGATCTCACGACCATTTCGGGGACAGTCGGCGAGCGAGGACTCATCACCAAGGGGACGGAGCGGCAGCGTGAATCATTTGGCCTCGGGCGTTGTGCATGCGTCTGAACACCCCTGCGGCAAGATAGTAAAGTGAGATGTTTATAAAACAACGCTGCAACCGGAGACTTCCTTACCGCGTAGCGGACACTAAGACAATCGTCGGGAACAGAACTAGGACACCCCTCCTTCAGCGCCCTGTGATACAGTTCGAAGTTGTCGGCATCGCTGGAACCAAGTGATCCGACGACCACCTCGAAGAGCATGCCTTGGGTAGCTGCTTCGTGCAGGATCAACGGATCGACGCGCATCTCGACGAACACTCGCTTGTACGCGTCTTTGAGCGTAGCAATCTCCTCGTCGTTATGACAAGAATTGAAGCCGAAGCTGGCAGCCATGACCGGAAACAGCTCGACGTTCTCGCAGAGCACGTATTGCTTGAGGAAGTAGACGAGGCGAATATTGAAGGGGGATGAACTGAGCATGTCAACTAGGTTCGGGAACTCCCGCAGCGAGGCTCCTAGACCCTTGGCATCGAACAACATCACCATGGATGCAGTCCTGTGTGCGGCGTACAATTCGTCGAATGTGCAGCTGTCCAAAAGTTGCCCGTACGTCTCGCGCAGTCGCACCTCCTCCTGGGCATCGTAGCAAGTGCAGAAGCCGAACACAACCCATTCGCTATGATTCTTGTAGACGGTGTCGATGTCGGGCAACAGCTCGACGCAGAGGCTGAAACACTGCGACCAGAACAATGGCATGCGGTCGTTTATGATATGCTCGTCGGTATACCACGCGGGGAGCCCTGCGTAGAGCATGGCGGGAAGTTTGAGCGCATGGATGATCTCTGGGGGAACGGCGAGGTTTCTGTCGAGAATCCAAGGGTTCTGCGAAAGCCAGGATCGGAGGTAGCGTTGATGTGCACCGGGGTGGCGCTCTAGCACGCTTGTAAGCTCGTCGAGGAGTCGGCCAGACACTCTCCACTGATGGAGTTTCCTCGCGGAGACGCCAAGATCTGCGATCACGCTGATGTACAGCTCGAAAAGGTCTTTTCCCTGTCGCCTCCATAAGCGCGAGAACCCGTATTGTGCCAAAGTGTCGTCGTCCTCCGGAGCACGTCTGCGATATATGGCTCGCACAAGATGGTCGGCGGTCGTTAGTTCGCGCGACGAAGCACATTGAAAGCGGTGCTCTGGCCAGTGGACCTTCTGACATTTCGTTGAGCAGTACCAAGTGGGGGAAGCGGTACAGCCCTTGCATAGTCTTGTCGCTGGCCCCTGACAGTGGGCGCATACGTTGGGCATGTTGGCAAAAGGGTCACTGGGGGAGGTATTGTAGTTCAGTACGTGGCTGTCAAGTACTGTATGATTATTTCCGCGGTACTAACCTGGCCGCTGGCGTGTGGCTGAAACGACGACAGTGTAAATCGTCCCTGTAGACGGCGCTCTGCTAAGTGGAGAAATAGACGGTTGGATTCAAAGCGAAACAATCGAGAACGACGTCCATACCTCCGTAAAGCCTCCTTTGTGCGCAGGACTATCGGTGAGCGGGGACTCGGGGGAGGGATAGCGACTCGGAGGCAGAGAGAAAAAAGTCGCAGGCCCCATAGATTTATACGTCGGGTGCGACTGTAGAGATGCGCATGGCACTGTCAAATTAACCTATTTATGGTAGCCTCGTAGATAATTCCCTTCGCTGGTAGCACCGTTAGCTACTTCGCTGTCAGGCAGGATTTTGTTGAGTTAGCGTAGCCTCTATTTCTCGGCCGAGACGCAAACCACGTGCTTTCTGAAGGAAGCAATCGTAGGCACAGTTTTTGTCGTTTATAACTTATGTATGTTTGACACAATTTCAGGCGATGGGGGCAAGGAAGTGGGAGCAGCTAGGAGTGGCAACGTGAGTTTCCACTGGCAGGAAGACGCACTCGCAGTTGTCGGGTATCGCCGACATTCTCAGATCTGAGATTTCGCCCGATCAGTCTGCACACTTTTCGCCACACCTCCACTGCTGCCTCAGTGCCTGCGCCCACGCTACCTCTTCGTCTTCCTACAAAAGTCTGTCATGGACGTCTCAGACATTTTGGCCGCACAGGCGGCGAAACAGTATGTACTTGCTGACTCAGTCAAAACTTTCCACTGAGCAGTCACTTCCTCCATTCCTCCAGAAAGGCCGTCACTGTCGAGAAAGAAATCCCCCTTGAAGTGGACGCGGGTTTCCTTACCGTGACAGATTTAAACCCTATTGACACGGAGAGCTATGAGTAAGTGCACGCTATCACTATAATCCTTACGTCTCATGGTGCCACAGCGAGGATGTTGAGGGTTACCTTAAGGCGACCGCTCGGGATGGCGTCCAAGCACTCGTCTCCTCTCTGTTCTCCCTCCCTATCACCTCTTCCCCTGACGGTCCCCTCGCAAAACTTCCTTCCCCGACAACGCAACTTCCACGCGCCAAGCCCTTACCGAAGCCCAAGCCCCCAACAAAATGGGAGCAATTCGCGAAGGCGAAGGGCATCCAGAAGAAGCGGAGAGAGAAGAAGGAATGGGATGAGGAGAAGCAGGAGTGGGTTGACCGCTGGGGATGGAAGGGTGCGAACAAGAAGGAAGAACGGCAGTGGATCACGGAGGTCCCCGCAAACGCAGGTGCGTCTCACTAAATCAATACTCAGCCAGGAAGGTCGACGCTCATGATGTCGGAACGTAGACGCAGACCACGATCCTGCAAAAGCCTCACGCGATGCACGAAAAGCAAAGGTTGCTAAGAACGAGCGGCAGCACCAGCAGAATTTAGCTCGTGCGCAAGGACCACGCGCGAGTGGCACCGGCACCGCTCCTGCCAACAGCGAGCGAAAAACACAGATCGACAGAACACTCGCAACCACGCGGTCAAGTACAGCAAGTATGGGCAAGTTCGACAAATCGCTGCAAGGCGAGAAAAAGCTCAAGGGTGTTAAGCGGAAGGTGCGCCGTGAAGGGCAGAGGGAGTCGTGCCCCGCTGACCATTTGTTTCACTCTGCACCAGTTCGACCCAACCGAGGTCTCTGCAACGGCGGAGAAGTCACACAACCTTGCCATCCTGCAAAAGCTCGATCGGGAGCCAGCAGCGAAGAAAGTCAAGTTCTCCGGTGGAGATCAAGTACTCAACGTACGTAAGGCGATCCGATCCGTCAGCAAAGGCAAGGGTAGCGCAGCGCTGGCCAGAGAGGGTGGTGGTGGTAAGGCGAAGAAGGGCAGAAGATGATGATACTCTTGTATTTCCCAGTTCTCTTCCCTTCCTTTATCATTCGCAGTGCATAGGAGCATTTGGGTCATAACGAGTGACATAGCATTGTCATATCATAAGGCTATATGTACAACACTGGATTACGGGTGCATATGGTATACGGTGGCGGCCATGTCCATACGAAGTTTTCTCCCTCTCTCTCCTTCATTTGGTCTGGTCCATGGGAAGCCGGCTTAGGTCGGCCTTCCCATCCTTTATCCACTCCTCCTTGATCAGCTTCTCTCTCTCTGCATAGTACAGCCTGTACACAAGCTTGATCGTGCCCTCGCTGACACCAGCGACCGTGCTGATGTCTCGTGCGCTCTTCACTTTACCAAGCAAATGGCAAGTGAAGTAGATGGCGCCACCTGCGATGGACACAGGCGAGCGACCATCTGCAATACCCAGCTCGCGTGCTTTGATGATGATGTCGGAGCAAATGGGCTGGACGTTAGGGGGCAGGTCGAGGTGGTTGCAGTATCGTACGAGGAGGTCCTCTGGACCGCGCGCCGCAGCGGGCGTGGTGAGATGGCGATCACCCTGCGCAGACGCGCCGGGCGTGAGGTTAAACGCCTGCTCCATCGCCTTGTAGCACTGTCCAAGCGTCTTCTTGCTCACACCGGTGAGACTGCAGATCTCGCGGAAAGTACGTGGGACATGAGCCTGTCGACACGCAATGAAGATACAGGCAGCGATGATTGCTTCGGAGGGCTTCCCGCGGAGGAGCTTCTCCTCGTCAGTCCGCTTGTACAGCTGTTTTGCGATGTCCGATATCGTTTTAGGAAGGGAGAACTGGTCGCACCACGAGGAGATGTCGCGGAACGCTTGTAGGAGGTTACGCTCCGCGCGCGAAGCGGAGGAGCGGGAGGCTGCGCGCTGGAGCTCGCGCGCGATGCCTGAACCGCCATCTCGGAAGGATATGGTGGTATCCAATTGCTCCATACCATCCATGAGCGGGTCTGATGCAGCACCAACACGCGACGGGTCATCACCCTCGTCGTTGGCGAACGTCTACAGGAGGTGAGCGAGAGAAGCAAACAGTTCATGGCAGAATGGGGACGGCGCGCAGCGCAGTACTTACCCTCCATTCGCTACGGGTGTCTACAACACGATCTCCCAGCACCAGCCCACACGTACCGCACACGAGATCGCCGCTGCTAAATTGCTCAACGATATTGGGGTTTGGGTCCCTGCATTCGGGGCAGATGAGCCGCACAGCGAGGTCGGGTCCGAAGGTCGGTTTCTCGATTTTATGCACCGGATTGGCGAGCGGAAATGGCTGAGCGTACGCCGTAGCCATGGTACGTGTGGGTCGGTCAAGAAGATTCAGAAGTGGACAAGAAGTCGCAGCAGAGCGGTCGGGCTCGCTAACACTTCAGCTTCAGCAGACTGCTCAGAATGCTGTGGAATCGCTCTGCAAGCTGTGGATGACGTACCAAAGGCAGATTTCGTATGGTTTATTCAGACAATGGCACACCTGTCCCTTCGATGATGGAGGAAGAGGGAGAAAGGAGATGACACAGCGTGTGGCTCTCTGCCCTCTGAGGCCTCGATCCGGTGGCCATTACAAACAGGGATAAACAAATCTTGTCTCGCGGGCGCTTGCATCATCACGCTTCTCGTCTCTTGGACTGGTCCCACCACCGCCCGCCGTCTACATAACCACCGCCTTCTCTGCAGTCGCCCGCGACGTCCAGCTATGGGCAAATGGTTCGTCTTTCTCTATAAAAACATAAAATAATATGTAACCATCCTCGTGCAGGACACTAGGTCACCATGACGAGGTACTGCAAACCAAAATGAAGAATCTGGTGTAAGTAACCGGGCCGTGCACCTCGGGCCCTACCAGTGGTGCTTATGTATCACCTCGCAGAACTGGGGCCGTCAAGCGAATCAATCGGGAAAGCGGCGAACCTCCAATCAGCTATGAGACCTTCGTGGAAGAACTGGATGAGGGCGATTCTTTCACAGCAACGCTGGTCGATGTCCTTGTCAAGGTTCGTACATTTTTCACTTGGATACGATCGGAACTTCTTGTTCGAGGATAAGATGCGTTGGGAACGTATTTTGGACGGTCTCGGCGGGCTTCGTGGTGATCACTAGGTCCCTCTGTTCCATCACCTCGTCGACGCGTGAGGCCAGAGTTCGAGGTGGGGCTACCCGTGAGTTGCGGTCCTGTAGTACAATGGATGCAGCTGTCAGCCTATACGTGCCCCCAATTACGCGTCTTCGTTTTCTGTTGTTCTATTTCTTGAACTACTCACAACTTGTGCATTCCCACAGGAAATGGCCGACCGACGTACTCGGACTAGCTTTCTCGACCGCCGACTTATCTCTGAGCATACGGCAAAGTCGCTTCGAATGCAAGCGGCTCCACTACACGTTTACTCCAGTCGTCGACACAATGGTCGCTTCAGGTCTGGGTATACTGTCACCGATATAGTGGCCGAGATCACAGACGAGGAAGACGAACCTGCGGATGCTCGTGACTCGCAGCATGCTGACGCACTCTGGGACGGCGAGGGCGCCCGTCTCAACACCGAGTTGTATGAGGCGTACGTACCTACTTCGTATGTTGCGCCTTCGTATGGCCGGTCCCCTCAACTTCTGGACAGACTGAGGCCTTCCAATGCGACACCACTAGCTACGGGGGACTCCGACGTAGGGGAACCAATTGTCCTGCCCATCAGTCCTCGATCTATCTCCCCGCCTTTACGGTCTTTGTCCCACCGCTCAGGATCGCGTTCACATGGCACGGGTATCGGCGCAAGTTTGTCCAGGAGCGATTCAATACGTCGCCCAGCGCGTTCGCGCACTGTTGACTTCAACGAGTTCACGTCGCGTCGTCGGTCGTCTATGCGACAAACCTCGCAAGACCAGCCGCAAGTAAGAGCTGAACCGGAAGAATCTACCGATGGGACTTGGCGGTTTAGGCTCAGCAGAGGTGGCTCACTGCGGGACGGGCAGCCCCCTCTGGCATCGACCTCTAGTGTTCACACTCGAGCCGTCGTGCCTGCTCATTACCTCTCTCGGCCAGAAGTCGCAGGGAGCCTTCCTTGGGCTGCAGACACCTCTGAGGAACCCTCAGACAGCAATGCAGATCTGCCCAGTGCTGCCTCTCCGTCGTCCAGTGGACCAAGCTCGTCGCAGACCTGGTTTGCACTGACGGCTGGTCAGTCGACTGCACCTGCAGACGAGGCCAACTCTCACACGACTCGCCGGTCGAGTATATCGGACATCAACGAGGCAAGACGTCAGGTCATTGCTCCTCGTCTCCGGCGTGGGGGTGTACGCCCACCTGAAACCCTTCTCTCTCGGTACGCCTCTCCGGCGCCTCTCGATGTACCTGAGAGGCATGAATACAGGCTATCCTCGCCTCCTCGTTCCGATCTGCGCCTTCCGTCGACTACTTCCATGGTCAATATGCTACGGGATACCAGACCTGATGTGGGCGACGTCGCTCGAGAAATGTTTGTAAGCCTTATGGGCGTGCAGGGGGAGCCGGAGGAAGGGAGTACCTCGCAGCTACCCACCCCTCGGTCGGCGACACCCATACCTGATCCAGTGGAAGCGCGCGAAAATCTTTGGCAATAGGCGCAAGGTCCCGTCTTCATAGGTTGCCGGTTCCATGGACTAATCGTATATGTCTCCGAGTCTTCATGTATACATTGCATTGCCGCCTATTGCTCCCGCTTGTGTATGTAAAACGCTTGTGCATTTGCGTACTGCCTCCAATGCGTACGTCTTATGAAAATCTACTCTTAATTGTTGCTATGATCCATCTTTGGTATCGCTGATAACTGTGTGCGATGCAATGGGCGCTTCCGCGTCATTGAGCCTTTGTGACCTACCAGAACACCATGATCAGGAAACGCGCTGCACCCAGACCTCATCTCCGCCAGAAGCCTATTGAAGTTGAAGACACGCAAGAACCCGAGGAAGAAGCGCAAGACAAGCTAGAGTAGGTCCTCTGGGTGGTCTTCCATGTTTACTCAGTCCTGGGGGATTGACCAATGTCTGTATTCTCCTCCGCAGGCTAGCAGACCTCATCGAGCTTCGGAAGCTCAGGCGAGCGAGAGAGGGCATCGATACCCAGACACTTGTTAAGGGTGATGCGAAGAAAAAAAAGAAGAGACCACGGGAGGGCGAGGAGGAGGTCGGGGGCTTGAAGAAGGGCAGTTCGAGTAAGGAGGACGAGGAGGAGTACGTGCTATCTCTGGTGCAGCAGTCTCGATAGGCACTGACTGTATTCATTTAGCGAAGAAGCAGACGCAGAGGCGAAAGCGAGGAGGGTCGTACGAACGAACAACTTCACGCAGCAGACCAATGTGCTCGACGTGGATAAGCATATGTACGTCGAATCGCTGTTTGACACACTCCTGTGCTACCCGCTAACACTCTGCAGGATGGCTTACATCGAGGAGAACATGAAGGCTCGGCGAGGTACCTCGAACGAACCACAGAAAGACGAGGGGCCACGGGATCCATATGCGGAACTGTTCGACATATACAAGTTGAAGCAGGAGAAGGAGCAGGATGAGGGGAGCGTCACAAACAGCTTAGCGATGCTAACGGCTATACCGGAAGTGGACCTTGGGATGGAGTAAGCGATGCTCTTTGTCAGGTTACTACCGTATCTTACTACGTTCATAACAGTACTCGGTTGAAGAACATCGAAGACACCGAGAAGGCAAAGCGAATACTGACGGAGGAACGCAAAGACCGACCAAAAAAGGCGGGCAACGACGAAGAACATCTTGCCGCCTCTCGCTGTACGTGTCTGCCAATCGTGTCGCTGAGCAGTGCTGACATATCACGATAGTCTACCGACCTAACCTCAAAGCGAAGTCTGATGCGGACATCATTCGGGACGCAAAGCTTGAAGCTATGGGCTTGCTGCCGGAAGACCATGAACCACGTCCACCAAGAAATGACCGGCCGCAGATGGCCACGGACGAAATGGTACATAATGATGCCTATTTATGAGTCAATTCTTATGCGTTCCGTACAGGTTATGGAACGCTTCAAAAAGAGGATGCGGAAGTGAGCCTGTGCGATTGCTCGGACATCCGCATCATACACTGCACCTTCTGTGGTCACAGGAGTGTGTCGTTGGCTGCACAACCGATCAGTCGACGCGAGGTATGCAACACAGGCTGCCAACGCTTCACATATCACGACTGGAAGCGATATCAGATGTAGCTTCAGAGCTGCAAACAGCGGATATATAGCATTGGTCACAGCTTCATTGAACTTCCTGCGCCGAGGTTGTGCACATGTACATCATTTGATAACATCGTTGCCGCTGCGGTATTGTGAGACCGTCTCGTCGTTGCACTCCTGCGAATACGATCCAATTGGAGTGGTACCTAGGTGTAAGTTGTATGTTTTCAACGTCGCGTTGCCTTGGCTGGCATCGTGAGCGTGAGCAGTACGCCGACTGGCGTGAACTTGTGCAAGACGCTCTGTGCTCATCGCGCGACTACCTGGGCCTGCGTCTCGTTTTACTATTGTCAGGACCAGAGTGGCCGTCTCTGCAGCATCATCTTCAATGACAAACACTTGACAAAGACATCCATCCCCAGAGCGCTGTTATGTGGCAGGCGGAGGCACACGTGTACCCGCCACTTCCTTCTTAGACCCTGCATCACCATCGAGCCGGAGAGCAGACTAGATAGGTGCTGCTCCAGACCAAAATGGCAGAAGACGAGACCATGGGGCAGGACCAGTCGCACTCAAAGACCAATGGCCACGGCCTCTCTCTCGACGGCATCCTGAACGGAGAACACGACAACCTAGAGCACTCGGTGTCCAAGGACGAAGCTCCGACGGAGGAGGGCCTTACGGAGAGTGTGGTTGCCCAGGGCTTCTGCATCGAGTGCGAGGGTGAGTAGTCGGCTGCAGTCGAACGAACGGGATGTGCAAATGTCCTTTAGACCAGCCTGCACAGCTTTTCTGCGAGACATGCAACGACGAATTTTGTGAAGTCTGTTTCGCTGCGCAACATCGCAAAGGGTCACGCAAACGCCATGCGACAAAGCCTCTACAGAGTGTGCGGAGCGAGAAGAAGGCGAAGCTGCAAGAAGGTGAACCAGGCGAGACTGCCGTCCCAGCCCCGGGTACGCAGGGTTCGAACGGAGATGCAGTAAGTAGTACATGTTCATGAGCACGCCACCTTCAACGAAACATAATAACGCGCTACATAGATGCATGTTGATGACGACTCCGATGACGAACTGGAGGATATCGCGGCAGCAGCCGCGGAGAAGAGTACTCTCGCAGATGAAGCTACGGTTGGCGAGTGGTTCGTCGACAGGGCGAAGTTCATTCCCGTGCGTTTAACCCTGGGCGAGCGCAAGTACCTCCGGCTGCTGGAAGCCGCACTCAACGTGTCAGAGTACACGGACAAAATTGATACCCTTGGTTTCGGCCTCTCGAAGGCGAAGCGGATCGTGCACCAAATTCGCGAGCTATGCGCCATCATGTCTGGACTGGTTCTGTCGGCGGACTACAAACAGGGCCAGGAGCTCTTCCAGGACCGCGACTTTGCCGCCAATGAAGAGTTCTACCAGCAGATCTTTGAGTTGGGCCGCCGTCATAAATCATGAGCCCAGACAAGATGAGGGCCACATACGGAAAGCTGATGTATCTCCTGCAGGTTAGCTTGTCTCTGTCTTCTGAATCTTGGTCTGTGTAAAACCCGCCCGTCATGTGTGTAGGACAGCCAAACGCCCGATGTCAAGGACCTCCTTGGCTTCACATGTGTCAAGCCCATCAAGACCGTCTATGCTATCCTAGAGGAGCACGATGCAGTCGATCTCCTGCGCGACGACCTCGTCGCGACCGCAACCAAAGAGATATACTCCGAGGGCCGTACAAGACGAGAGATCCAGAAGGACATCAAGTCCAAAGAACGCGCCATCGAGTCGCTCTCGGCGAAGTACGTTCGGGAAGGGCTCAGCCAGGAGCAGATCCGCCAGTGCTTGTACAGTATCGGTGACAACCACGCGTTCTTGCGTACCAACCGCGATCCATGCGACAAGATGATCACGTACCTCAAGAAGTACTTCAGCCCGAACAACGCGAAGGACCCGAAGAGCAGCCTGGCGATCAGGAGCGGAAAGGGCGGGGCGCGCCTCACGCACGATCACTCGAAGCAGTATGCCTATGTAATTCAAAGCCTGACGCTCTGGCGCGAGGTTCTGCATGGTCCGTATCCTATCAAGGCCATTCAGCGGTACTTTCCGGGACTAAGCTGTGTGTAGACATGTTCCGCCTCTGGTCGCTCGCCGAGCAGGACCTGCTATCAGAAAATGCGCCATACCGCCTGCGCGACACGGGTCAAGGCCTGAACCGTGTACAAGCTGCACCCAAAACCTCGCGCATGATGCACGTCATCCTCAATCGTGCACAGAAGAGCATCGGGTCGTGGGTCGGCTCGTCGGTTATCCACATGGGTGACCACAACGTGCCGAATGCGCTCATGTTCATTGGTGAGCATTCAATTCATTCTCTTTAGCGATAAGGGACGCATTGTTGACCTTTATGCGAAGACAAGTACTCCCAAATCTATCGCATCCTTCTCCCTATCTGCAACACCCTCCAGCAAATCCCCAAGCTCGCAGAGAGCAGCCCTGCGCTCCGGTCCTACTTCGACGACGAGTTCGGTAGCGTGGACAACTGCTGCAGAGAGATCCTTGGCGACTTCTTCCGCCATGGCTTCGACGGCTCGGGCGCGGGCAACTACTTCGATGCGGGCTCTTGCATCGACGGTCGGCTCACGAGTGCGTGGAACTGGTGCTCGGAGCTGGAGAAGAAGCGCTTCTTCCCTGTGTTCTTGCTTAGCGGTGAGTCCTTCGCGATTGGTCCGCCAGGCGACTAACGACTGACGACTTGTCACGCAGGATTCATTGGCTTTGACGGAGAGTGGTGACCGGCTTGGGCATGCTCTCAACCTATCTACCGTTGCACTATGGACTTTGCTTTGCGCCATCACAACCAAAATATAGACCGCATCGTGCGGAGCATTGACCGCGCATCTGTATCGTCGAGCCCCAGATTGCATATGTACCACAATACAGCATAGCACCTATAGCACTTACACATCATCTAGAGTAACATGATACAGCTACTTGGGAAGCATTTCCCTTTTTCCATACCTAGCACTACAACAGTCAGCTTCAAGCCGCAGCTGCAGCCGTTTGTGGTGCTGCGGCGGGTGCCTCGGTGGCCGGGTTCGCGTTTGTCACGGCTTCCGCGCCGCCTCGTCGCTGGGCTACCGCGACGACGTCGAGGACGCTTGCGATGCCGGCTTTCCATGCGTGCAGGCGCTGCTCGAGCAATTCCCATTGTGGGCGCTCGAAGGAGCGTGCGGTTGCGCGTGTTACGTAGAGGATTTGTGTCTTTTGCGAGAGGCGACCAGAGACAAGGCCAGCACGGATGACTGTGAACGATGTGGATAAATAGGTGGGTTGCAAGAGTAGAGTAATACTCACCGTCGATAACCCACCGCTCGACTGCCGAGGGTTCAATCTGAACTGTGGAGGCGATGGTGGAGTAGGGTAGCTCGCGCCCAATGTTTTGGAAGGCAAGGCTGGTCAGGGCAAGTAGACGAATCTTGTGCTCAAGCAGAGCCTTGTCGAGATCTACCTCGTTATTAGCACCTTCCGAATGGACACGCTCTACGACCAATCACACTCACTGTATTTAGCGAAAGCATCTGCGTGACCATCCGCCCAAGCCTGGAACTCGGATAGCCCCTCGTTGATGAATATCCTCAGCAATGAGAACAGCTCATGATTCTGGGCTGCGACGACGGCGTCTAGCCGGAAGAGCGCATCGAAGTCGAAGAGGGAGGGAAGGCGGAGGGCAGAAGCAATGGCGTCGACTGCAGCAGCTTGTGCTGCAGGTGAGTCGGAGGGGAGAGAACGGACGTAAGAAAGCGTGTAATCGTATGCGGTTGCACTGCGTATGCCAATGCGGGTTGAGGTCAGGGGACTGATGGACGGAAACAAATTGGGCAGACGCACAGTTGGCCGCACTTGGCAAAGGACGCAGAGACGAGCTGCAGGAAGCTGCTCTTGTCTTCTGAGGGTACATCCCATTCCGATACCCACTTCTCCACGTCTGAGCGAGTGAGATTGAGAAGTTCGATCTCGTCCTGGTCTCCGGCAAGTTGAAGGAGGGTGTTGTGAACAGGTAACCGTAGACTCGATCGGCGAGGAAGTGCGTTGACAATATTGGAGAGTCTGCGCGCGATATAGTGAGAGTGGTACATATTTGAGGAAGACGGGACGTACATTCGGTACTTCACAAATGTTTGGTGGTCAGCAGCAGCGACGGTCTCAAGCAGGGCCGCTAGGTGGTCTTTGGTCTCGGGAGTATCGAGAGGAAGCAGAGTGACAAAATGTGAGAAGAGGAGGTTGAAGAATCCTTCAATCTCTGCATGCCCGCTGTTCAGGATATGCTGAAGTGATTCATGTAATTGACCGCGCACCCTTGTCTGAGCCATCTCCCAAGCCCTTCACCTCTCCCAACACTGCAGTGAACACTTTCGCCCGTCGAGGCTCATCTTCCTCGATCGGCTTCTGTCCTTCAGCGGTTTCGAGAAGATCGGCGAAAGGCTGCACAAAAAGCGGGCGTTCCTCCTCGGGACGAGTGCGCGCAATGTAGTCCACAAGCTCGCGAACCTAACCAGTCCCCTGGTGAGTACAAAGCAGACATATAAGCTGGAGCGTTTGCTTGCCTGCTCCTGGAATGTGCCCTCCGCGAACACGGACACTGCGTCTGTTGGTGGCATTTTGTCGAGTCGATGTATGGGTGAAGCAGCCGTGGGAGATCTCGAATCTGCAAATTCCGTACCAACCCTAACCTGGCCAACTCGAGATACTGAACCACGTGCGCAGTAGGATTCCGATCTGAGATGCGTCGCGGTGCACTGCGCGCCCACAGCCGCCCATCCCCAGCCACGACCACGGCTTGACGACCACCTCGCACGCCGGCACACCTCGTCGCACCGCCATATAGAGCTCGAGATATAGCGAGGATACCCCGCAACATTGGCTAGCAACGATGAGCTTCTTCCGCTCAGGCAGCAACACCCCGCAACCAGGGCAGGCCCCATACTCTCGTGTCCCTCCGGGAGGGAGCTACCGCGATCAGGAGCCTGCAGCACGGCCGCACAGAGTACCACCTAGATATGACGAACCTGCAGAGAAGCGAGGATATGACTCCCGCAGACCTGGGGCGCAAACCCGGGGAAGGTGCGCAGTGACCGTCTCATCCGGTGCGATGTATGCTTGACCGGTTTGTCAGCTTCGGTGTAGCATCGGCACCAAGCGATATATTGGCACTTTCAAATTGCCTCATCGTACACCCGTCTGACTTCTCCCAGGGACAGCATGTCCTGGTCAAGCAGCAATTCCCGCTCACGACTCGGTAAGCACTCGCTTCGCCAAGCATTCTATCCTGTAGTGCGACCTGCAAGTCCAACAAGCTGATTGTCCGGTAAACTAGGCACGACAACACAGGCAAGCTCGCTCCGGGCACGATTGGTGCCTCCGCCACCCAACGGCAATGGATCGGGCTCTCGCTCACCGGCGACGAAGTGACCGTCGAGTCCATGAGCGTGCCGCCCTACCTCCAGTCTGTCGATATGGAAGTCAGCTTCCTCCGCCGCGGGCACGAGGGAGCCGAGCAGTTCTCTGCGGATGAGATGGCGCGCAACTTCATCAAGGCGTTCAGCGGGATCGTCCTCGCCGTTGGCGAGATCCTCGTGTTCGAGTTCCACGGCCAGAACTTGAAGGCGGTCGTGAAGGGCCTACATGCGGTGGACCTTCCTTCGAAGGGTGGAGCGACGGAGGGACAGCATGCCCATACGCACCATCCGCACGGAGTGGTGATGGAGAAGACAGACATAACTTTCATCAAGGCCAGCGACAGCTCGATTAAGATCAAGTCGAGTGCAAAGAAGTACGGTCAATTGCACATCTGTTATCTAGCAAGCTCACATGCATGGGATACAGGGCTCCCCCGAATGCCATTCTCGCTCCTAACTTCAAGTTCGAGGACATGGGTATTGGTGGTCTCGACTCCGAGTTTAGCGCGATCTTCCGTCGTGCCTTCGCCTCGCGCGTGTTCCCGCCTGCCCTCGTAGACAAGCTTGGCATCACGCACGTCAAGGGTGCGTCAGTTTGAAACTTTGCAAGAAGCAATGAGTATTGAAAGACCATTAGGCATCCTCCTTCACGGCCCACCTGGAACGGGTAAGACCCTAATGGCCAGGCAAATCGGCAAGATGCTCAATGCCCGCGAGCCGAAGATCGTCAATGGTCCTGAGATTCTCAACAAGTTCGTCGGTGCCTCGGAAGAGAACATCCGAAAGCTTTTCGCGGATGCCGAGAAAGAGGTTTGTGATCTCTGTGCGAGGCCCACTGGCTGGTACTGACGTGCGTATATCACCAGTACAAGGCGAAGGGCGACGAGAGTGGCCTCCATATCATCATCTTTGATGAATTGGATGCTATCTGCAAGCAGCGTGGGTCGACAGGTGGCGGCACCGGCGTTGGCGACAGTGTCGTCAACCAGCTGCTCTCGAAGGTATGTCACCTACTCGACCGGTTATATATGCGACTGACATGCCTGCTCCCAGATGGACGGTGTTGACCAATTGAACAACATCCTCCTCATCGGCATGACGAACCGTCTCGACATGATCGACGAGGCGCTCCTCCGTCCGGGCCGTCTCGAAGTGCACATGGAGATCTCGCTGCCCGACGAGAGGGGCCGGCTGCAGATCCTGAGCATCCACACCTCGAAGATGCGCCAGAACGGCGTGATGGCGCCGGACGTGAGCCTCGACGAGCTCGCCGCGCTGACGAAGAACTTCTCGGGTGCGGAGATTAACGGCCTGGTGAAGAGCGCAACCAGTTTCGCGTTCAGCAGGCATGTGAAAGTCGGCACGCTCGCGGGCATCTCGGATGATATCGAGGACTTGCTGGTGAACCGAGATGACTTCATGAATGCGTTGGATGAGGTGCAACCGGCGTTTGGTGCGTCGAAGGAGGAGCTCGAGCAGGTTGTCGAGAACGGGATCATCCACTTCTCGTCTGTCATGATGTGGTGTTCATCTGCCTGTATACAACTCGGAAGCTGATGACGTCTGCACAGGACATCTGCGCTCTGGCAAGCTCTTCGTCGACCAAGTACGGGTATCTACACGTACGCCGCTTGTCAGCGTGCTCCTGCACGGCCTCCGGGCTCCGGCAAGACGGCGTTGGCAGCGACGATCGCCCAGGCCTCGCAATATCCGTTCATGAAGCTGCTGACGCCCGACAGCATGGTCGGCTTCTCGGAGTCGCAAAAGGTCGCGGCGATCCACAAGGTGTTCGCCGATAGCTACAAGAGCCCGCTCAGTGTCATTGTTGTCGACAACATCGAGCGACTGCTAGGTGAGCACCAGCTGACTTGCGAATGAGATTCGTCTGGCTAATATCGCTGCCAGACTTCACCGCGATTGGGCCGCGGTTCTCCAACACGGTCCTGCAGACCCTGCTCGTGCTCCTCGCGCGGAGGCCGCCCAAGGGCCGCCGCTTGCTGATCCTTGCTACGTCATCTCTCCGGCCGGTCCTTACGGACCTGGGCATCTCTGAAGTCTTCGACTCCGAGCTGCGCGTCCCGCCGATTTCCAGCCTTCGCGCGGTGGTCCGTGTGCTCGACGAACTCGAGATATTCCCGAACGACACCGAGCGCCGCCAGACGATCGGTATGCTGCAGCAAGCAGGCTTTGGTAGCATGGACGCGCCGGACGACGACGCATCGTCGAGGCTGAACATCGGTGTGAAGAAATTGTTGAGTATCGCGGAGATGTCGCGCCAGGAGCCGGAGGAGACTGCAGAGAGACTGACTCAGTCGCTGATGGGCCTGGGGATGTAGAATATAGTGTACATGTACTTGCAACGGAACCGGACGATCAATAAGTATTGTAGTAACGGTATCAGTTGTGCGGTCGGCCTGTTGAATCTTGGACGTTCAATATGCACGAGGCAGCCTCGAACCCGCGGCATGGGCTGGACGCGGCGCCGCGGCGAGACAAGTGGTGCACGTGGATAGCACGCAGGCTACGCAAGAGCGCGGCAGCGGAGGCGAGCGCGCCGGATTTCGAGCGGTCGCACAACGGTCGCAAACGGTCGCAACTTTCTCTTCGCTTTCGTCCGTGCGCTATGTTTCTTCGCCGTGCCTCGCTTTAATTCTCACTCAAGGCCTTCTGCGAGTCAGCAAGCTCCCACCACCCTGCGCCCATGCTCTGCACACCATTTCTCCTCTCTCCTCGCCAGAGTCGCCGCCGATGTCCTTTACCTTCAAGTGGCCCCGTTTCTCCGACCAGTTTCACGCCGATGCCATCCAGATGCTCACCGCCGCCCTCAACAAGGGCAACAAGCCACCTGTCATAGCCGACAAGATAGAGGTCGTCGAGCTTGAGATGGGTACCCAAGTCCGTCTACACCGCACTCCGTTCCCCGCCCCGAGCGCTGATTTGCGGCGCCGTCGCGTGCACCTCCCCTTAGCCACCAGAACTCGAGATTAGAGACATCGGCGAGCTTACTGTGGACCAGTTCCGAGGTATCTTCCGCCTCACTTACTCCGGCGATGCACACATAGTCCTCCGGACAAAGGTCCAGGTGCGCATCCCGTGCCCTACTAACGCGACCCGTCCGGTTGACTGCTACCCAGGCGAATCCACTCAACCACAAACAACCCGATATCCACCTCATGGGCGGCTCGAGAGGCATGCTCGCAGCCAAGCAGCCGCTCGTCGTCCCCATGCTCCTCCGCCTCTCCGGCTTCAAGCTCAACTCCTACGTCGTCCTCGTCGTCTCCCGCCAGAAGGGCATCACCCTCGTCTTCAAGACGGACCCGCTCCAGAACGTCGACATCAACAGCACGTTCGACTCCATCGCCGTCATCCAGAAGTTCATCCAGCGCGAGATCGAGGGGCAGCTCCGCCAGATGTTCAGGGAGGATCTGCCGGGCATCATACATCGCCTCAGCCAGCAGTGGGTCAAGGCCAAGGTCGAGGCGCCGTACCTCGCCAAGCGTCCGAGCCCGAGTGTCCGCCAGCGGCAGCGCGAGCGCGAGCGCGACCTCGACTCGATGTCGACGATGTCCAATGCGCCGTCGTACTACTCCTCGTACACCCCGTCCTTCCCGCCCGTAGGTCTGCAGCCGAGTCTGCTGCCGCGGTCATCGCCCGCGACACTCCACTTTTCTGCGCGTCCTCGTACGGCGTCGGTGGTGTCTAGTTTCAGTGCGAATCGCAGACAAACACCATCTGTTGTCTCTTCGCCTGCCTCTACGACACCGATGCCGACCGTGACCCCCGATAGCGCGACGTCTTCGTTCCCGGACATTGAAAACTTCGACCCAACATACGGCCTACGTCCCGAGGGGCTACCGAAGAAAAGTGTGTTCAGCGGATTTCGGAGTCTCTTCGCACCAAGCAAGGGTTTGGCAGACCTCGCCGAGGAACCGAGCGACATCGACGATTCCGTGGACGAGACGGGATCGCTCGGGACTGGCCAGTGGGACGACTTTCTTTCAGACTACGATCCCCCGCCATCTGTGGCAGAGCCAGAACTTGAGGACGAGGACGAGATGGAGTACGAGACTGTCCCTGCCGTTGGAGGTGGCACGATCACCCGTCCGCGGGTGTACCATTCACAGTCGCAGATCCTCTCCCAAATGGGGGACTCTCCGCCAGGAGGGCCGTCAAGACCTGCGCCAAGCGTGCGCTCGAGCACGAGTCGTCCTGCCGTGCGACCTCCACCCTTGAGCATCCCTTCGTCGTCTCGCCATGGACCCAACTACAATCCGTACTTTGCTGGTACGACGCCCTTCACCAGCAGGACACCGTCAAGACTGGGTATGGAGTCTTGGCGCGAAGACACCATGAACGCGAGCCAGTCATTCTCCAGCCTACCTCCGGTTCCACCACTCTATCGCTCTCCCCCGCTACGCCCGGGAAGCCCCTCGAGCCGTCTCTCTAGCGACATGACGCACTCTGTCCCGACGCCGCCCCCATCCGAGGGCGAAGCAGGCATCCGCGCCCCACGCCCGCGGCGGCTATCAGCCACCTCGTCCACTCTAGATAGATTTCAGCCTAGTTCTCCTATGGATTCCGACTTTACAGACCACGACCCGAAAATCGTCCTTCGCCCCACGGTCAACAACTCTATTTCGAAGCTCTCCACACTCTCCAACTCGAACCACACCCTCTCGCCGTACACCCGCACGCTCGAGCACTTTACCGTCCGCAGCGTCCCGCCCCGTGATGCGTCGTCCATTGGGCCCGTGTCGAGCGTCGAGAAACAGCCTGTCAGGGCCAAGCGGAAGCGCATGTATCGTCTTGGCGGCAGGCCCGCGCAGCCGCCGGGCGCTGGCGACGCTGGTGCTGCAGGCCCGCCGTCGTCGTCGCCGCGGCCGGTGTCCGAATTTGATGCGTCCGAGATGGACCGCTACTTCCGCTCGAACGATGATCTTCTGCCCCGCTACCCCGATCACATCGCGCTACCAAACGCGCGCCGCCGCGTCCCGTATCAATCGTAATCTGGCCCTGTATCTCGCGTACCTTACCTGCCCTGTCCATGTATGTCAGCTGCTCTAGTCTTTACCGTAGCCACTCAGTCGTGTAGATCTGCATCTTCTCCTGCTTGTGTATCCTCTCTTTCGTTCCGCATTGTTCACATCGGGTTAAACGGCGGCGGGAGGACCTGGAAGCCGTCCGCGGCAAACGGCATGTTCATCGACACGGGCACTGGCATTGCTGGCACTGCTACTAATGTAGGCGACGTCGACGCCGCATTCTCGAATTCCTAAACGCGCCCCCCGAACGCGCCATCAGCGTGAAGGGTTAAAGGTCAAACGACCATCGCTACACCTACGTCTACGTGCATACTCGGCAACCGGCTTGTGTTCTGCCTCGCCGAGGGCGTCTGCCGTAGCTGCCTGAAATCGTTGTTACTGTATGTTTTTGTCAGCCCTGTTGACGCGGGCGAGCGTATCAGGGCGGGTGGTGAGATCGTCACGAGCCCTAGTACATCCTGGTTGAGTGCCCTACGTGGCGGGGTAGACGGTACGGGTATATTGGGTTGCAGGAGGTCTTCGACATCTTGGAGGGGAAGTTCGATGGACTCCGGCAGAGGTATCGGTGGATTAGGGAGGATTATGTCTTGTACGTGTACTTTCTCTTTCAAAGAATCCCAACGTTCGCTCTGCTCATGTGAGATGACCTCGCGGACGCGGTCGCTGAAGTCCGCCCAGGCTGACGGTGTGATGCTCAACGTCGTCACCCCAGAAGCGGATTTCGATGTATTGATGCGCCAATCTAGCAATGGGAGGCATCTGGACTGACATGATGTTGTGTCCCAGCCGGTCGTGTTCTTCCCATAGCGATCGAGAACAGCATCGAGTTCTTGGTGAAGCATGTCCAAGAATTTGTCGGGTATTGTCGTGGATGTTAGGATGGCAACGGCGTCGTCAAGGGAGTCTTTATCCAGTTCGTCATCGGGTCCTACGAAACGCAACAATGCAATAGCGAGGGCTGCACGAAGATCTGTGTCCAACCTTGACCACTGTGTCGCAACAGTCTGTACTAGTTCAGTAAGAACAGGTATAGATAATCGTTGGTCAAGGAGTGACAGTAGGCAGGTCGTCAAGATCGAACTCGCATCTTGGCCCGTAGCAAGGCAGTCGACCAAAATTCTGGTCGAGGTCGAAGAGGGTTGTGCGAGGTCAAGCAGGAATCTCAGCGCCATCGTGATTTGGTATTGCCGCACCACGCGTTCATGCAGCTGCACGGTAGGGTCTTCCAGCAGCCTCAGAGTGTGCAAAACTCTTCAGCTCCTCGTTGATCAACCACTCCGCGACGCCCACGGTACCACGATCCAGCTGCACAGTCGTTTCACAAAATGCACCTTGTTCTCCGTGTCGAGCACCCTGCAGAACCGCCAGAGGTCCGGCATCATAAGCGGTACAACGCGCTGCGTCCACCCCGCCTCATTCTCATCGCCGACGTCGGACATCGGCAGGAGGTAGTCGATGAGGCACAGGACCTGGAGGAGATGATGGACTGGGTCCCGGTTGTCGACGTGTAAGCCATGCCGGAGGAGGGTCTTCAGGACGACTTCCGCGCCAACCTTGACGCCTTCCTGTGAGGAGGTAGCAGAGAGCATGCGCACGACGTCAATGGACGACTGGCGCGCCTCCTCGGCGGCGACGCAAGTGGGGCTCGACTGGGAATAGAGCATGTCCGCTGCGTCGGTGCAGACGAAGAGATCGGCTACGCTTGCGGTAAGGACGCGCACGACGCGGCTGGGCAGGGGATAGGCCGGGAAGAGCCGCAACAATAGCTTGAGCAACTCGTCTGCCACGCGGAACAGGCCGCTCATGAGCTCCTGCGACTTCCGCGCTGGGGGACTCAGGGTGAAATGGCTTTTGATCTCGTTCACGAGGGGCCCAAAGATGTCCACGAGGTGGCCGACGAGCCCACGGGAGCCTTCGTGCCAGAAGTCTTGGAGGACGTCGTACTCGCGGTCCTTGCGCAACTCCTCGTCGATTACAGCGAACGCTACCCGCATAGCACGAAGATGCTTCAGCGTGGGCGGGCGGTCTATGGGGCGGAGGAGCTCATCGACAGCGCCAGGCAGGCCATCGTCGGCGACGATGGCAGCTCGTCTCATCGACATCCGCTCTTCTTCTGTGATGAACGCGAGAGGAGGTTTGAGGCCTAGGATACAGTCAATGAAGTCAGGCTGCAGAATAGCCTGCGGGTCCTTGGCGAGGTTGACCAGAATATGCTCGGCGTCGACACCCGCTCGTCTTGGAGGATCATTGTCCATCATGCAGTCGAGACGGAAAACCATCTGCTTCAAGAGTAATAGATGGTTTACGATCTAGAAGCAAGTGAGTAACAACACACGAATGGCGCACGAGCCGCCCGACGCACCTCCCGATAGCCATCTACCCCCTGCCACAATCGGATGATCGCAAGGGCACGCTCCCGACAAAGCGTATGTGGCCATGCATCCGCAAATGCATACACCGCCAGCACTGCGGCAACACCAATAACGGCCCTCAGAAAAGCCACAAACTCATCATGCGATATTGATGACTTCAAGCTGCCGAACAGATATGGCGGGTGCGGTAGTGGGATAGGCATAGGTGGGTTCTCGCGCAGTGTCGCGGCAACGTCTTCATGCGTGACCATAGACTCAAGCCAGACGCCAAGTGCTGCTTCCTCCGTGCCTATCTCTTTGAGCAGCGTGGCCGCGGTGACGAAGTCACCCTGGGTGTTGGAAAGTGTGTCCTCTAGAATAACCCAGCCTTGTACGCGCGCCATCAGCTTGGTGGCTGCAGACCTGGTCTCGGCGTCGGCACTTGGGTCTTTACTGATTGTCAACAATGTTTGTAAGAAGTAGTCATTATTGAGGTGTCGAGCAATGTCGGAGTTAGTTGCGGCGTCGCGCAACCGAATCAGTGTGCCTTCATCCATGTTAGCCGAGTCGAAGACGGCAGAGACATCCAGCTTGTCCTGCATATCGCTGAGTTCATTTGACTGTTCGTAAAGCGAAGCGCTCACCACAAGAAACTTGGCCATGTTTGGATGTTGTGATGCGGCATTGCTCAAATAGTAGCTACGCGGAAGGCCTGAGTATCACTCTGGACGAGGGTAAGTTACTAAGTATGCATACAGCATGAAAGGACAATCGACATCTACCTTCTCACCCACTGATTGCGCCATGTTCTCTGCAAACCGAAGGAGAACCTCATCCTCGACATCGTCGGAGACAGGTCGTGTGGTCAGAACGGAGGCTTTCTCGAAGTCAATTTCTCCCGCATCGGCGTCAAGTTCGGCGAAGATGTACGGAAACTCGGGCAGATCCCAGTCGTCACTTGGAGGCTTGAGGCAGAAGACTAGCCGAATGGCGAGTGGAAGGGGCGGAGCGTCCGGAATGAGATTCAGCAGCTCCCGCGCGAGTGCAGATGGATCTAGCGAGTTAGACGGGTCTAGCGCTCGTGAGATCTGAACGGGCTCGAAGGTTGGCAAAGGCTTCGGTTCGTATGTTGTGGGTGGGGGCGGAAGCTCTGACATAACGTCGCCATAAATAGCCATGGAGACGCGTTCGAAGTTTCCCCTCACTATGATCAAGCGCGTGGCATACTGTGATATCGCTCGTTAGACATTCAGTTATATATATCACCCGGGTGCGAGGAGTGCGCACGCAGTGCTTGAATGAACTTATGCGCGGTAGCGAGAGGCATAAAGCAACAACAGACATGGCAATTGCGCTATTATGCGCGTCGAGTCCACCAATGCTGGAGCACTACCGCAAGAGCTTTGTTGCATCGACTTACACGATAGCACAATGCCGTCTAGTGTCACCAAATGTCTATCTCTATGGCGCACCACTCCGATGCCTGTATGCGCACTCCCGCCATCACAAAATACAACAGAAAACGCACCTCATTGCCCATGGGGACGGCAAAGTCCATCTCCCCACCTGCATAGGCGAGCGTTGTCGGGACCAGTGCATTGGTCGGCTTTGGCTTCTCCTTGCTATCTGGCCTGGCAACACGATATGCACTGAAGTATAGGTGAAGAAGAAAAGCCTGCGGCTCTGTTTCACTGTGTAGCAGGTAAGCGGCGTAGCCGTTATGCCTTGCAGCATGGACTGACCTGACTGTGGCATGGTGCTGCGCGAATGGACGCGCGTCCTTTGGGAAAATGCGAATGGACTGAACGCGTACGGGCGAGGAGAAGCGGATGGCGGCGAGGCTGCCGTCGCCAGAAGGCTCAAGGGTGCACCAGTGGAGGAGCATGCGCGGGCGCATTGGCCGGCGTGGGTTCTCGTTCTTGGGCGTGGCGGAAACAAAGCGTAGCGTAGCCACTCTAACGATTAGCGCGCATGGCCCCCATATAGTGGGCGCCTATTCTGCTCGGAGCCGCCACGACTTGCTCTGCAACTGCAAGACTCCTCCGCAGAACTTCACGGTGTACCGCGCTCGCTCTCTTCGCACGTACCCGCTCGCTCGCCATGGCAAGCAGTATGCCTCGCCCACCTCTCCATCCCTCAGCCCGTGCAGGGCCTTTCCGTCCGCATCCCCACCCGCACCCGCAGCAGTAGTCTCGTCAAAGTGGAACAGGTCGGTGATAACTCGCAGGAGGATGCGCTCGACTCCGCAGTGTACGAAAATGTCAACGTGGAATGGGTCAATCGCAAAGGTGAGCACTTTGCAGACGATCTGCCGTACGGGCGCACCGCCACCGCTCTCCGTAACGACTGACACAATCTACACAGGTGCATGGCTGATCCACCCCGCCCTCATTTTTGCGGGCAAAATGGTCATCGACACTTTCCCGGGCATGAGACAGGATATTAGCTGGTTCCTGGTCAACCTCTCGTATCTGAGCGTACGTCGTCCGACCAGTGTCCGGCCGCAGCACACCCACTAACAGGCGCGCAGTTGACATACCTGATGTTCCACTGGGTCACAGGGATACCCTTCCAGTCCGATCTGCATGGTGGCGTGTATGACGAGCTGACTCTGTGGGAGCAAATTGACCAGGGTGCCCAGTACACCCCAGCGAAGAAGTGGCTCATGGTGGTGCCCATCCTCCTGTGCGTTATCACCTTCGTAGTGCTCCTTACCAAAAAAAATGCCACTGCTGACATCCTGACTAGCTTCCTCGCCTCCACGCATTACTCCGAGTACAACCCATGGATGTTCGCTATTAACCTCACCGCCCTCATCTTTGTGCTCATTCCGAAGTTGCCACAGGTGAGCGCCGGATCGAGTGCGCAGCCCGTGATAGCATCGCTGATCGTACGACTTCACACCAGCTGCACCGCCGTCGCGTGCGCTTCATGGTCGAGGATGAAGATCCGTCGCATGCAGGCACGCCCTCTGCTCCCAACACGCCGCGCTCTGGTTCGTGCACGCCGACGAGTGAGACACAGTTCAACATTCCGCAGATCAGGACTCCCGATGCGAATCAGTTCAGGACGGAGAAGTAACAGTGTTTCTGCATTCCTGCTGCTTTCTCTGGTTTCCTTTCGCACTTGGTCGTACATACATGCTAATTATCTATCGATCATCGCAATGCCCCTGGCGGTTTAACCTAAACTGTCGTCTCTATAATGCGCAACTCTTCCCGTCGTCTACTTACTTGGTGTAATACAAGGCCTCGCATAACGTGTGAGCGGCCGCATAGGTACTTCCTAGATCTAGGATCTTTGACCGCGTTTGCTCGCACCACTCGTGCACGTTATGCCTTTGTCAACTCGCCGTATTGCTGGAGACGCAACCTGCAAATGTGTAGCATCAATTTCTCATCTCAACATGTACGACAGTGAGCACACGCACAGATTTCTGAGGAGCATCATGATCGTGACCTTGCCAATCGTCGGCATATACATCGATGCCTGAGCGAGCACAACCCATCAGCAACCCGCGCACACGCGGCGCACCGCCACGCCGACGCACCTTCTCGCGCACGTCCGCCTCGAAGTTCTTGTCTGCGGCGACGTTCACGCAGACACAGCCATCCTTGAGCCATGCAGTCTTAACCTTATACTCTGCGCTGGGCACGGCAGAGACGACGACGTCGGAGAGCGCGAGGCACTCTTGGAGGGAAAGCGTACAGGGGTGCACAACGTGCCTCGGGTGGAAGCGGCGCTGTGCGTCTGAGCTTTGTTGTGGGCGTTTGGTGTACTCCTGTGAAGGTTTTTATAAATTGGGTGAATGCGAGTGCGAGTGGAGTACACACCTGGATTAGTCGATGTCGACGGAGTAGACACGCGCACCATCATTTGCGAGAAGTGCTGCTAGAGGGCGACCAACGACCTCAGACCTACGTGCGTCTCGTCAGTCCCTTTGCATTGCTGGCGGTATGAGAGGCCCCATTGGTAGGAAGACCTACCGGTTGATGACCGTAACGGTTTGCCGTATGCGCGGTCGCCATATGGAAGGATCTTGTTATACACGCCGATGTGTTCCAGACATTTGACGACAGCTAGGGGTGTGCAAGGTAGAATGGATTTGACCGTGCCCGCCGGGGGCTGATCCTCGACTGCGGGCTCAGGCGCGGAAGTGGGAGGCACTGAGGAGATCAAGGACTTCGGGTCCAGGTAACGGATGCTGCGGAGCATATGACATGTAGCTCTGTTCGTAAAATGTTAACGACACGCACTTGTGGTACAGGTTATAATGGAACTTGAAGTGCAGTCCCTCGACGTCTTTAAAGGTGACACAACCTTGCAAGTCGTTCAAGCAGGCCGAATCCACGCCTTCGATGTCTCGCTTACCTGCTGAAGATATGATCCTACAGACGATACCCTCTCAATTCATCGTTCCTTCTCAGTATAGCTCAGACAAACCTGCTGCACACCAAAGATGGGTATAGACCTTCATTCCGAACCAATCTACATGAACTCGCGTACAGATATGAAGGACAGGTACGCAGCCTACCATGATCCCATCCACGCTCTCGTCCTCGTTCGCCTCAATAATCGCCTCCTCCACCCATCTCCTCCGCCCAGCGCCGGGTCCGCCGCGGCCCGATCCGCTTCAGCACGAACTCGACGCCGAGGGCGATGCATTGCTTCTGCGTGAACTCGGCATAGAATTGCTCGGTGCCGCGGACGTCGCGAGGATGCCGACGAGCTTGGCACGCGCGGACGCGCAGCGAGCGTTGCCTTGATCTCGTCGCGGAAGACATTGCGATAGTGTCGCCTTGAGGAGGACGCCCTTGCCGGCCGACATTGCAGTGGGTGAGAGAAGGGTACGGGTGAAGAGATAGATGCGGGCGGGCGAGTGAGCGTGCGGGGCAAGAAAGCGGAAAACAAATTGCTGAACGCGATCGAGTCAATCCGACGCGTCAATTAATGAGACACGGATCACATGACACGCGTCTTGCTTCGGCCCTTGGGAACAGGCACGCGAAGTCGAACTCGAAGCCTGGAGAACTTCCCGAACCGCCCCGAAGCCCCACCCTAACAAACGGAGCACACTGCAGGAACACCGCAAAATATGGGAGAATAATTACACGACATAGAAACTTTAGTCTGATGGAACACAAAGCAGATACAAGGCCAGCGGGAGCGTCCGATGAGTATTCGAAGTCATAACCTACAACGCAAGCTACAGAAAGTTTCCATTCAGCATTAGCTACAAAAGGCGTGGTATCTCTGTTCAATCTTAGCCGTGGACAACCCCGTTGACCTTCGCCGGGCCTTCCTCATCAACGGACATCAGGCTGTCTTCGTCGACGCTATGGTCGACAGAGGCCTCCTCGTCTTCCTCATCCTCCTGCTCCATGAGCTTCGCAGCCATCTGTTGAAATCGACCGGAACATGAGGTACATGTAGCGATGATCGAGCGGCGGCACGAACCTTCATCGCTTCCGCCTCATTCGAATAGTGCCTACCACGGCCCTGACGAACGCAGCGTGCTTCGCGGCGGCTGACATATGGATCCAATGAGATTCAGTGTAATTGTGGATGGGCGTGGTGACGTACTCTCTTCGTCCATCTCCTCAAACTCGATCTCATCCCCAGGCTGTCGGCCATCCAGTCTGATCGTCTCACGGGCGTCATCGGGAAGGTTGAAGCTGGTGCTCCGGCTGGATCGCCCGCTGTCGGGGCGTCCTGATGGCGTCGAGGTGCGACCAGCGCTGGAGAAGGATGTGCGGCGGGAGGAAGGCGCAGAGCCACCGCCTGTTGCCCCGGTGCTGCTCGTTGGTGAGGCGGCGCGCTCGGGGGATAGCACGGTGGGACTCGTGGTTCTGCCATTGAGATCAAGAGCCGGGATGTCTGCGCCAGATATGAGGTTTACTGCGCATGCAGTATTGTAATGAGTGCTCACCGCTCTCGACTGTATCTGTCTCCGCGTTGTACCTTACATACGGGGTCTTTGGCTCCGTGATCTTCATCTGGCTGTCCTTCTGCGCCTCCGTAAGCGCGAGATTTTCCTCATCCCATTGCAGGCTAAGCAACATGTAGAGCGATCAGCACGTACACAGACGGCGATGCTACATAGACACTCACTGCTGAGGGGTGTGATTCACTGGAGGAGCGTTCTTTAGGATACCCTTGGGTTTGAAGTTCGAGCGTGACATGGGGGGCTGGTGAGGGGGAGGAGTAGCAGACCCGGACATGACTTCAGTAGACATGGTGGCTCCGGTATATCGAGTCCGATCAACAGATGTATGATGCGCGCCGTGTAATATGTGTAAGGGAGGGAGTTGCGCTGGAAGGTGGTTGGTAGTCAGGCAGGGTGAGCGTTCGAGGTCAAGTGGAGGTGGAGGGTCTTCATCCGGCTCGAAGTCGGCGACTCGCCAAACCGCGAGGCGCCCGCACCTCATTGCATTACGTCACGTGAAGGCTTCTTACAGTAAATAGACTGGACTGAATACCAGCAACTGACTGCCTTACATCGATGGCAATCACGGAGCTAGCTGACAACTACAAGAGCTACTTCCACGACAGGCCTCTATCACTCCCATGCTCGTGTGGGTTTTCGTGGGTTGTCCCATAGATATATGACCGCCGTACGGGTAAACAAGTTCACATCAGGCTCCCGAACGTTCCTGAATTTTGAATCCTTGCGCTGACCGCCATACTACTGCATGTAGGGCACTGTGCGAAGAAAGGAAGACCTTGACTACAGGCTTTCGTGTTCTCCGATCATGGAGTCGTCTTCGAAGCTCGATCACGGAGTGCTTCTTCATAATACATAGGCAGTGAGCAGGGAAGCTGATGTGGAGTACAATACATATTTGTTCGTACAATAGGCACTGCCAACGCCAATTGATTCGTCGGACAGTAGTCAGAAGACAAGGCGTGTCACTCACCTGCTTCAGTTACGCTGTACTATTTTAATACGGCAACCTCGGTTCTGGTACCAAGCCCTTTCCACTTCGTGCCGGCCCCAGCTTGCTGTGAAACCTCTGCGGGCATCTCGCTGAGGATCTTTGCGATCCACATTGGGTCGGTCAATGGCGTCAAGTCGTCGCGCTTCGGCAGCCGCTGTGACACCCCTATGTAAGCAATGGGGCGAGATGAGGAGTCGACACTCACCTTCTTGACCCAATCATATGGTGCCTCCCACCCACTCGTCTCTCGGACCACCAGAGGCGGTGAAGACGAGAAGGAGTGATATATTCGAGTATCGTGTGCCCGAAAGAGGACGTTATCCACTCGGAGAGTAAACGCGACAGGATGAAAACACATGTCGGCATCACACGCTTTAGACTTGGATGTTGAGGACATTGAAATACCATGCCCAAATGAGGACGTACTCACTATTCGGACAAGCAGGTGAGATGAACCGTTATCGTGCAGCTCATCTTCATACAACGGGATTTCGGCGTAGAAGAGGATAGGGTCATGGCGAGTAAGCTCAGCCAGCGGGATGGTGTGCGTCGCGTTCTCGGGGTCTGCAGGTACCCATTTGGCCGTGATGGACGAAGAGGGCAGTACGTGACCACTGTAGATCGTCGTGTACGTCCAGTCATACGGCTTAGTAGGAACTGTCTCGGGCATTGGAAGCTGAGAGGACGGCCCTGTTCTGCCGACCATTGAGCGAATCCTTTCAACATCGCGATGTTGATTTACGCACCTGCTCTTCAGCCACGCATCCGCGTAGCCGACTTTGACACCTCCATCTCCGCTCTCCAGCTCACCGTTCTTCACACCCTTCAGGGCCTCTTCCGTGCCAAAGGCATACGTCCATCCGCTGGCTTTGTGCACAAGCTCTAGTGCATTGTTCCCGAAAGTCATTTCGGGAAGCGGTATGCCACCGACCGCCGCCTGCAAGGCATCGAGCTCATTTGCGTTAGAGATGGGGTTCGTGCGCGCAGTGATCTCCCAGTCTCCCATCTTGACGGTCCGCGAATTGGGTGATTCCTCGAGGGTATGGCGTGGAACAGGCACTGCAGCCGCCATGATGACCTCGAAGTACGTCGGAGGTCGGACGACTGAGGATGAGGCAGATCGCTGTAGGTACGCCGTCGCGGATGGTGTGCGCGTCGAAAGAGACGCGTTGCGGGGTTTGAAAGAGAGAGCTGCCACTTCGGTTGTAACGCGAATTTGGCTCTGCGCTCGTACATCACGCTCCCTGAACCATTTCCGCTTGTTCTGCGAGGATAGTTCCTTCGGACAAGGTGCGCAACGATATGGACGGTTCGCGTCCATCTTCTCCAGATGCGCCTATCCAAGACCTATGGTCGTCGATCCTCGATTCGGTCTCGCAGTCGCGTTCACTCCCAACGAAACAGGTATTAGTGCTCGGACAACCTTCCACCGGAAAGTCCACCTTGGTTTCTGCTCTGCTTAAGAAGCCACCTGTGGATGCAGATAAAGGAGACCACCGTTCGGACTTGCGTTAGGCTATGAGTGGGCTGATGTGAAGGACGATGCGGATGAAGGTGAGTCCAGCGAGATCTGTGGTCCTTCTCGAGTTCTCGAGCTCACTGACGCATCGTTGAGCTCAGACACCTGGCGCGACTATCAGTATACACTGTCTCATCGTCATCACTCTCCCATACCGCGCTACTACCTCATTTCCTCCCTCCCCGACATCGCTACCACATACAGTGGTGCTCGTCGTGCTTGACTGGACACGGCCGTGGACCTTTGTGGAGGAGCTGGAGACATGGCTGGAGTGGCTCGAGAATGGGCCAAAGGAGATGGTGCACGAGAGCTTGAGATAGTGCGTGAGGAGAACCATGAACGATGTGAGCCCATCTACCCCAACCTACTAACAGTCTGACCGTGTGGTCCAGTACAGGCATATTTGCAGCACTACACGGAGCCCTCTGCAGACACAATACCTGCGACGTCAAGCATGTCCGGAACCGTGCTGCCACTAGGGCCTGGCACATTAACACATAACTCGGCGGGTGTGCCGATTATTGTAGCGTGCACAAAGGCCGACCTCATCGACGAGAATAACGATGTGCTCGGGCCTGGAACCTCAGGGATGGGTGGTATGGTGAAGGGAAAGGGTGGAGAGTGGGAGGAGCGGACAGACAGCATCATGCAGGTTTTGCGGACGATCTGCCTGAAATGTAGGTGCATCTTCAAGGTACTCCAGCCTCTGATGACTGACATAATGCTCAGATGGGGCGGGCTTGTTCTATACAACACCCCTCCCAGACACGCTACAGGTCTTGCGCCAGTATGCCCTTCATCTTCTCTTCATGCCTCCAGCGCCGTCACCCACGATGGCAGGCTCTGAAGCCCCAGCACCCGTCCGGAATCCTTTCCCCTTCCCACACAAACCGAACCCCCTCGACCGAGACCGTATCGTCGTTCCTGCAGGATGGGACAGTTGGGGGAAGATCGGCGTACTCAGAGACGGTTTCGATGCGAAGACCTGGGGAGAAGCTTGGGAACGTGATCTCGATCGCGATGAGGGTGAGACTGAGCCGGGAGCGAAGAAGACGTATGCTACCCTTGTGCCCGATCAGGGTGCCAAGGTGTGTGCATTCGTCCGCGATGGATTTCCAGCTACTGACGCAGTTTTGGCGCTTTAGCCTCCGCCGCTACCTCCTTTCAACAACCCTACACCGGAGCAGGCATTCTTGGCGAAGAACTACGATGAGAATTCGAAGAAGCCAGATCGGGATCCTCGAGGAGCGTTCCGGAACCCCACCGACAATGTCGCTGCAGGTATTGTTGGCCCCATGGGCAGCAGCAGCTTCAATTTGCCGAACGTCGAGCGTGCTCTTACAGAGATGGAGGGCGTAGCAGGTGGCGGATCGAGCTCTCTTGGCACGAACACGGGTCCGGACGCTGGTCGGAAACTCTCGAGTCGAACGTCCGGTCGGCCTCCGCCATCGACACTTGCCGTACCTCTTTCCGCTTCAAACTCTCGGTCAACCGCACCGTCACCCACCTTACTGCTGGCTCGCCAAGCCCAACAGGTGGTCAGACGCAGCACGAGGTTCTGCAGAACTTCTTCCAGAGCTTGTTGTCCAATAAGGACAGGGCGTCTGGTGCCGCGGTTACGGGTCGGACGACTTCGCCCAACTCCAAGACAAACGGCAATGCCAGCGGGACGGACGAAGGAACTTAAAGGCAGTGAAGTATGTTCTGTGCTCTCTCTTGGTTGGGATAATACGATACCATTCTATGCATTATTGGAAACACCTTCTCACTGGTGGATGTGCGGTGCTCAGGTGCGTTCTACAGGACCTTCCTAATCTGGACCTCACACTTCCTGTTGGTGGGATCTGAGCGGATCAATGGCCATTACACTCTCGCCAACTCGGTGGATCAATGATGGATGAGCTGGGGATCGCGCTAGCGATTTATCGATGACCCTACAGAGAGGGTGACCAACTAAAGAACGACCTGGACCACTTATGTCTTGGCCGGGGGCCCTTCGGTCATGACGGTCCTACTTACAAAGATGATCAGTCAGACTCATATGTTGTCTGGCTGGCAGTTCCGCCCCTCTTGTCCTCTCACCCCAACTCTGACGCTGCCCCTCTGCAAGACATGGAATCCCACGAACTGCCCGAGGCGGGGATCCATGGCCATCAACCCGCTTTGTCCGATCCTAGGGCTGAGCTACCTGACGACTTGAACCAGACGACTGTGTCAACAGGGGCCGAACCGTACTTGTCTGTGCGCCCCGCGTTCAGAAGAGGGCCTTCCGACGAGACCATCGCTGCCTGTGACGTTCATAACAAAGAAGACGTGAAGTCAGGGGCGTATGCTGCCGCGGAATACGATCGTCCAGCAGATTCTGGCGCGGCGGGAAACGTGAATGAGGCTTATGCGTATCCGCCTATTCTTCATGAAGCTGTAGTTCCAACTCTCGAACCTCTCATTGAGAGTAAGAGGATGCGCATCTTGCGTATGGGTGCTTCGTTCTTCACACTGTTCCTTGCCGGATGGAAGTCAGTCCATCCCCTTTAAATTCATCCAGGCCAGGCTGATTGAGACGTTTTATCTGTTCTAGTGGAGGCTCCACTGGTGCTCTCATCCCCTACATCGAGAAGGCCTTCGCTATAACCTACGCACATGTCGCCATCTTGTTTGTCTGCACGTTCGTAGGTTACCTGGTTGCAGCCGCTGGAGCTGGAGCTATGGCGCGGAGAATTGGTTTCGGTTATGCGTTCTGTGTTTCCGCGATCGTTGAGTTGGCCGGGGTATGCTGTTGCGTCACGCTGCATCGTGGTCATGATGTAAGGGGCTAAGATTAATTCATTTGTTTAGAACATCATCAACAGCTCGCAGCAGAAGAGTTTTTCCGTGATGTGTTTTGGCTTCTTCGTCGTAGGAACTGCTTTTGCGACCCAGGTCCTTTTAATTTGCCATGATCGCGACGAACCCGAGCTCATAGCATGCGACAGCTTGGACTGTGTAACGCGTACTTCGCTACCCTGCCCAAACCACTTATGTGGACCGGCCTCTTGCACGGCATCTACGGCTTGGGCGCGTTTGCAAGTCCATTAGTTGCGACCGCTATGGCGAGTCGTGGTATCCCGGTAAGTTTCCTTCTCATTCATGTTTCTCGACTGACACCCGGCTGATTTCAGTACCACTTCTTCTACCTGACCAACGTTGGGATGAACATCCCCGTCCTGGCCTTAGCATGGCTTGCTTTCCACGACTTGCATTCCCTTCCACAGCATCCCGCTGAAAATGGGTCAGAAAACGGCGAGAACATGACCAACTCTGCGATCAGTGGCGCTATTCTGAAGAGCCGTGCCGTATGGACGTTATCCATGTTTCTTCTGTTCTACGTCGGGTACGTGTTGAGCAGTCCCTCAGTGTCTTACCATGTTGATCGTGATCGCAGGGCCGAGGAGTCTATGTACGTTGCTGTTTTCTTGCGGTGTGCTCGTGAAATGACGTATTGGGTAGCGGTGGTTGGATTGTATCATACACGCTGGAAGTGAGAAAAGGCAGCCCGGAAGGAGCGTCCTGGGTGGCTTCGGCTTTCTATCTCGGTGAGACGGTTCTCGACTTTCGACTGTTGTAATCTGACTCGCGTTTTTATTGCACAGGTGTCGCGGTCGGCAGGATCGCGCTTCCCGCCCTTAACATACTCATGGGGGAGCGACTCGCGGTCTTCGTCTATCTACTGTGCGCCATCGGTTTGGAGTTCATGGCATGGTGGATTCCCTCCTTCGCATCCACAGCCGTGTGCACGGCTTTCGTTGGCCTTGCTATCTCCACGTTCTACACGGCTGCGATCATAGCTGGCGGGAAGCTGATCCCTCGCAGCATGCATGCGGACGCTTTTGCGCTTATAAGCTCCATCGGGCAGAGCGGCAGCGCGTTGTGGCCGCTGGTGGTCGGTGTCATGAGCACGAGGAGTGGTATTTGGGTCGTGGAGCCGACTGTGGTAGCGCTTCTGGGAGCGCAAGGTATTTGCTGGGCGTTGGTGCCTCGCGTAGCCAGGAGGACGGAATGAGCGATCATTTCCTGCGTAACGAAAGCCCAAAGCAGATATACAATAGACGGATCAGCACTCAACAACTCATAGATGCCCCATAAATGTGCGTTCGGTAGCTGTGCTTTCCAATAGATCCCCAACGACCTGATCTACTCAGTCAATAATGCCCACCCAGGGATTGAAGTTGTAGTAAGAACATCCAGTCTGGTTCACTTGGAGACTACCGTAACCGCTCTTGATCGTGGTATTATCGCGCACGATCTCAATATACGGTATCTGAGAATCTTCGGTCGGAAAGGGCACGCTGCCTATGCTAGCACCAGCGGGAGCGTCCCAAGAGAATGAGTTCGACCCGATGTACAGCTGTACGCTGGCCTCGGAGCTCAGCAGTGCCAGCGCGAAGACCGCATCAACTGGGAATCCGTAATTGCGGGGTGGCGAACCAGTGCTGCATGTTGTGTCCTTTGGCCAGCCACGGTACCAGAAGATGACTTGATCATCCTGTTCATCATGATGTCTCAGACCATTGAGCGAAGATCAAGATTTTAACCCTACATACCGTCACCGTTGGTGCGCCACCGGACTTGTACCAGCTGATGAAGTACTGCGATACGTTCCTCCAGTAGGTATGGGGGAAACCGTCGACCTAATGAATAGATCATCATAACGTCAGTGAGACGGATGCACAAATGCGCACGTAGTTCGGGGCCAGGTCACCAAGATCGACGTTTGAGTTGATTTCTCCGATGTAGTGAGATTCGGCGTAGTCGTTCCAGCTACACCCAAGGTTGGTTTGAGGCTTATTTCCGATAAAAGGCAGAACTGGTGTGCTCACGTCACGATCTCAACGATATCCGGGTTGACATCCTGGATCGCTTGCAGCCACCGGTAGTACCATAATGTATCGCTCAGCTCGACCCAGTCGGTATCGTTCGTTCCAAGATTCTTGAACTGCCAAGGAGACACAGCTTCACAAAGTTCAAGCCGATATATCATGTCAACAAGTGAAGTTTCCTTACACATGATGTAGGGGCCTGTACGGTCGGACTTCACTACCGCCTGATATGCGAGGTCCGTGGCAGTGGTGAGGTTGGCATCGACATCAGCGGGCCTTTCCACGCTGTCAATACGAACGATAGGGAGGGGTTAGCGAGGCTTACCAGGACCACCAATTGAAGAAGCCATCAATGGACGAGAACGTGGACATTAAGGAATTCGCATCGCTCGGGTCGCGGTAGGTCGTGAACGCCGGTGCAAGAATAATTGTGATGCCGTCAGCAGCCAGAGTGGACTTGAAGTCGGACCAGAACGAGTCGCCATACGATTCACCGGAGTAGGTAGACACTAGAACGGCGTCGTTCCATGTATACATGGCTGAGCTGTTAGCATACTTCTGGACGATGCTAACCATGTCGCTGCTCGCCCAAGAGTAGGACATGTCGAACGAAAAGAACAGCTTGAAGCCCATCGGGCCTCAGCGACGCTAAAGGCGTCCACGAGACGGTCGACTTCATAGTCATTCTGAGCATGTTGAGGGCTATAGGGCATCAGCATCTATAGGAGGTATGCGAATACAATCACTTACCGAAGCCGTCAATCCCAATACCAGCGGCGGTGGTTATGTCACTCTGCCAATCGGATGCTGCATAGGAGTACGAGTTTTGTACCTAATGCATTCCATGCTAGCCTTGAGTCTGAGTCTCGTAGAAATTGGCACAGTATACCGCCTTACCATGAAGTGAGCGAAAACACTGCGGCTTCCGTCACCTGAACCATGGCAGCACCCGCCAATAGCAGAGCGAAATGTATCGCCATGGTGTAGGAGATCTGGGCTCACTCAGGACGGGGTGGTACGTACGGTCGCGAGGCCCCGACGAGGGTCTATACAGGCTTCACGAGAAGCGCTTCCTGGAATCTGGAAGACGTTGCATAAGCAACGTGAACAGGTGCTATGTATGGGATTAGAGCCCGTGGGCAGCTGGCAGACCCTCGGCAGTGAAAGTGGACATGCGGCCTGTACACCCATGGCAGATCATGGGCATGTCGCCCTGATGTTCATCGCGGTTCCAAGACGTCAATCACGATTCAACATTTAGATCTAGCCTCGGGCCCCGTACAACAATGTGACTTTGCCGCTGCTCAACGTGCTCAACCACGGTCATTCGGCCAACCTTATGTCGCGGCACAGGATACTGCGGCCGAGCGGTTATTGCACAAGTTACGTATACTCACCGGTATAACGCTTGCAATCACGGCCAGCGTATAGGCTATACGCTGCCCCAGTAAAGTCCGAATATTTCTAGGCAACATAGCCTGTGTACTGTGTGAAGGTGAAACGTGCGTCGATACATGGGCCGAGCTGTGACATCAGACAGCGTGGACGTACATCGCTGGTGAGCATGCGTCGACATCAGCAGTTGCTGCAATGTTACATACATGATAGAAGTTCGCAATAATGACAATGTGGATCGCGCCGCTGCGACTCACGGGAGTGCGAACCTGGTAACTGGTTGATGCAGACTCCAGAGAGTAAGAACAATAATGACAAACCGTACATGGTTGGTATTACAATGAGACTTGCCTGACATTGCGAGCTCGCATCCCGATACCATCTTGTCCTCCTGCATGAAGAGCTGCTGTTATCTTCGTCTTGACACCGAGATTGATGAATGTCGCATCCGAGAGCTCGAACCATTGCATGATGTTCCACCCCAATTGAGGCTGGAGCGACCGGACCCACTCCTGCTCCAGAAGTCAGTGATAACGACGCTTTCCTGCAGATCTCTCAGTCTGGCAAGACCTGCAATGCACTGTGGATGTTACGATACACGGGAACACTTTTCCTTGACACGTCCACCATCGCTATGATACGGACGTCCGGCGTGAGGAAGCGCGTCGTGACAAACCAATAGTGGGACCGCCCGGACGTTCAGAACACCAAGCAAACGGGCGGCGGTTCTCGGGCTTCCGTGATACTCATACTGAGTGTCGCGCAGCAATATCAGAATTTGACTGGCCTCAGATTGACGTTCCTGGAGGACACTGTGTTGGGGGGATGAACGGCCGCCTAGTACTATCGCTTACTCACCAGATGCACAGCAGAAATGTGACAACCCGATATGCGTTTGTTGGATAAACAGAGATGTCGATGACAACTGAGGCATTCGGTTGCACAACTGTCGCAGACTATTCACAGAAAGAATTGTACGGACGCACCAGATGATGTATAGGTGAAAGGACAAAGGTAGATCTCCTCGTTGTATAGCCAAAAGGTCTGTGCACGGGCTTGCCCACGCGAGGGCAAGTCTCACTCTTAGCTTCAGACAACAGACTCCAAGGAACCCATCTGAAGCCAGATTACAAGCACGCCCGCAACAAGTGTGAGCTTGCGATTCGAGCAAAACAAGACATCAAGCAGGTCCCGCCAGCTGGCTGGGTGGCTGAGACGAGCCAGGGATGAGTTAGAGTCAGTCGCGCAGCCGACGGGCGTCTTTGGAAGCCAACTGCCTGCTGACAAAGCGTGCCACTTGTGCCTTCACACCGCGCTCTCCTTGTCTACGTCTCCCTCGTTCTGCCACCGTCCTTTGTCGACGCCCGCAACGATCTTCCCGCTCCCCTGGCTTTCTTTCCATCTTCTCTACATTCCGATTCCAACGTTAGTTTGCTGCTCTTCTCTCCGGCGCAGAACGTGAAGTCTGATCTCGTGTCTCGCAGTCTTTCAGTCATGTCCGCACCCGCACCCATCACGTCCATTCCTGAGCAGTCCGGCAACTCTCTCACCAACCCATCACGTCTGCGGTCCAGGAAGACTCGCATTGTTAGGCGGCGGGGCCGTGCCAAGTTCGATGAGAGCGACGAGGAGATCGAGCGGGAGGTGACTTCAGACGATGAATCCGATGACGACCACTCTTCTCTGGCATCGGCTTCAGAGTCTGAATCCCTATCAGAGGACGGCCATTTGAACGGACGCTCAGAGGTCGTCACTCCCAGTACGACCCAGAGCCCTCCTCCGCTCGATATTGACGGTCGTACGCCTCTTGCTGGGTCCAAGCGTACGTCCATAGCGGCCGATTCTGGCCCTTTTGTTGCGGCCACCGACTGGGCGGACATGGTCACCGCCGAGCATGCCAATGGCGCAGAGGAACTGCCTGTCATTGACTTCGCTGACCTCGACCGTCAGCGCATCGACCAGCACCTCATCTCGCCTCATCCCGCGCCGAAGAAACCTCGCAAACAAGCCAAGCGTGCGCAGGCCAATCGCGCTTTCTGCTCCACCAACATCGCCTCCTATACGAGAGGTCCAGCCAGAAGAAGACAGGCGCTGCCCAGCTCGGAGCATCCGCACAGGAATCTGCTCCGCCTCGAGCTCGAGGACAAACTGCGCGTCAAGCATATCAACAGCGGCTTGAGACTGATCCATCGTTCGTGCCAAAGGTTGGCGAGTTCTGGGGGCACGATGACCGACTGCTGGACAAGGATCTTCGGAGCTTGAGTGGATGGTGGAGGGGGCGCTGGCAGTCACGAGGCCGCGGCCGAGGTGCGCCTCCAATGCGTGGCGGGAGAGGGCGGGGTGTCTTCTTCGGGGGCAGGTTTGATGCCGGAAGGATCGAGAGACTGAGCCTGCCCTTGCAGAGGAGGTCCTCCAGTCGAGAAACGTGGACCACGACGGCTTCGAGGAGATGAAGCGTCGAGACGAGAAGCGCCTGGAGGTGCAGCGCTCGCAGGAACAGGAACAAACCAAGCAGCAGCAGCAGCAGTCTCCACAGGTGCGCTTTGGCCGCAACGTGGGTTCGCCATCCGCGGGAGAGGTGGTTTCTTCGGTGGCCGTGGTCGCGGAAGTTTCGCGCGTGGCGGCAGCGGTAGCACTTCACCAGTGCACGCGGTGTCTAATATGCCTGCCGCAGATCGTATCTGGTTTGCAATGAAACCCGAGCGCATGTGGACCAAGCAGCACGAAGCTTTCCTTTACTTTGACACGGCTCTGAAGCCGCGTCCAGGTATGGGACCGGGCTATCGTGTCAAGCTGCCAGGTAGCAAGGATCACGTCGTCAGGGCGCCGCCGAGGCATACTATCGCAGTCAGGTTGGGTTCACCAGTCCCGTCAGTGTTTCACCGGAGGATGAGAGAAGTGACATTTGTCATTCGCCTACCACGCCGTCCAGGCAAGGAGAAGGCTATCGAGGACCTGCACCTGCACCAACACCGGAGATCGTTGCGAAGAACCAACGACTACTATGGCAGAGCTCAGCATAGAGGAGGTATTCACAGTACGACCAAATCTAGTGCCCAACAGGAGGATCAACCTGTCAACATCGCAACCTCAGCCTTCTGCGAACCATATCGACTCGGTGACAGCCGTATCGTCTACGACTATGGCGCCGCCTCCGGTATTCCAGTCCCAATGCAGAGGTCATTGTCGAGTCCGAGAGTCACTTCATTACCATCCGCGTCAAGCGCCCCTCGCTCTGACCTGTTCGCCCTGCAGCCGCCGGTGGTGCGTCCGAGCAGCACGACTCGAGTCCGCAAGTCAAGGAAACAGTGCTTCGCCGTGCATCGATATCAACGCAGTCGTCCTCCGTGCCCGCTGCACCTGTTCTCCAGGCCGACGACCCGCGCCGCCTGTTCTCCCGCCTTTGCAAACCAACTTCTCTCCGTGCCTCAGGCCTCCCTCCCCCTATGGTTCGCCTTACGCATACGCACCTGCTCTCCCCCAGGCGTCGGCCTCAACCAACACGGCATGCCATACGAGCTCGCGACTGGTCGTCCTGTCTACCTCCATCAGCCCACGCCTCCGCCGCCGCCGCCGCCGATGTTCACACCACGGCCGGTGATGTATACGCACACCCCGCATCCTTCCATGAGCGCCCCCTTCGTCCCCGGCCACATGCACCACCCTTCCCACTCCGTCGCATCGCCAGATCCGTACGCGCAGTCACACACACCGCCCGTCCAGTTATTGACCCTTCGTCTGGTGTGCCATCTTCACACCTGCGCGCCAGAGCAGCCGCATCGAGATCCGTGCGCCTGTGGACACGGCGGATGGAAAGAAGCACTCTTCGCGGCCTTCCGGGCTGCGTGTCTCGAGCTCTGAGTCAGTGGGGGCATCTCGGTTTGAACGAGAGGCAGCCTCTGACTCGCGGCCAGAGTTCGCAGCGCCTAACGGCGACGCGCAGTCTGCGAACCCGTCTGTCTTGCCCCAGGGAGACCCTGCGCTAGCGATGGGCTACTACCCGCAGCAGTACTACTACCCCGACCCTTATGCCTATCCTGCGTACATGGACGTGTCTCCGCAGGTCATGCCCTATGAGATGTTCCCCTCGGACCACCGCGCTCACCATCAGCCCCAGCCCCCTATGATCTACTACTAGTCGCTCTACCTTGCACGCTCTACACGTCGCGTTCTCCTTTTCTCGTGTCCCTGTTCTTGTTCCCGGTTCTGCAAAGTGCTCTATCATGCTCGTGTCGTGCAAACTCCGCTCCGTACTCATCCATCCATCGTCAGAGGTCTCTGTTTCTCATGCCCGTAAATACTATTATACGGTCCAGGTAGTTGCTGCCATACCCTCTAGTACTCTCTACATGTTTGTTGCAGGCCATGGCCGGCAAGCCCCCTCATGACTTGACATTTATATTTTTGCCTTCTGATTGTTTCTGAACTTCTGCACCTGCTCTCTGCTACTGTTGGCTTTACATTCTTGTCGCATCCATGGCCAAAGGGTTCAATAGATGTCATTGACCGCTGAGAAGTCTAATAGGTAGGACGCAGGCACTGTTTGAGAATTCGATGGGGCCGCGAATTATGTAGTGGCAAATCGCGATGCAACTGAGAGTTTGACTGCAACAATAATGCGTTGCATACAGTCACGCACTGACAGCAAGCATCTCTTTCGCTAGCGGTGTCAATATTGTCGTAAATCTACTCGATTCGAGTACAACGGGCGTACAAGGCAGTACAAGACGTTCAATATTTGGTGAGCGCTTGTACCACCAACATCGCTCGTGGGCGCCTCCTTGAGCGACTCCCAGTCGTTCATCGACATCTTAAAGCTTGAAGTTCCGAACACACGTCGAACATCGCGTCTACGGTGACCAGCCTAACAAGGCCTCATCGTCTATTACTGTATGTCCTATCATCTGGCTCTGTTTGTCTTTGATTCACTCGAGGCAGTCGTCTTGCATCAGAATCAACTTGGTCCCGCCGTTCAACGTTCACCTCTGGTGCGACCTGACAGACCTACAGCAAGAAACTAACGAAGTTTCCGACGGCATAGAGCAGCCCTTCGATCTTTAAGGAGCGGTACACTCAGTGCCATCAATGTCTAACCAACCAACCGCGAGTAAAGAGGAGGATGAGATTGCACCTCCACAGCGACCGCCCTCTCCCCTCCACACACCACCTTCGCTGCGAGAGGTCTCCATGTGAGCTACTACCAATCCTTTATATTTGAGACTCTGAAAGGCCCATTCACTTGCTTAGGCCCCCACATTCTCTGCATTTCGGCCTCGCGACATACGGATACAATCACCCCAGTCCATGAACCATGTCGCTTGGAGCTGTGATGGCAAGCGGCTAGGAGCAGTGGGGATAGACAAGGCCGTCCGCCTTTGGAACCCAGAGAAAAGCGTACGTCCGCAAGTTTGGGCATCTTGGTATCCAGGCGTTTGACGCGTCCTTGAAGGTCAGATGGAGCTTCGAGCGGCAACTATGTTCTCAGGAGGGTACCAAGACGAAGTCGATTACATAGCATGGAATCCCACACATCCCGACCTCTTCTGCGCTTCCGGGCAGAAAGACCGCAAAATCGTGTTCTTTGATACACGGCGTAGGTCACCTTTCGATCGGCTGTCACTTGCTGGCCTAATATCTTCTGTAGAGAGTCGTTCCGTACAGTCTCTTCAATTGAGAGCCTTCCCGGTTCAGCTCAACTACTCTCCCGATGGAAAGACCGTGCTCTATACAACATCAGGGAAGCAGCTGTACGGGATGACTTGCAGCAAACAAGGTGAAGAAACGAAAGAGCAATGGCATCTGTGGGACAAGGATCCGGTATGTGACAAATGTTTTGAGGACTAGCTTTCCGGATCTCACCATATCTGCAGATTCCCGCTTCTACCGTGACATTCAACCACGCTGGAGATGGACTCATTCTGACCCATCAGTCAGAGGCAACGATCCGGATTCTGGATTATCCTTCCCTGTCAATCGTGCACGCGACGCCTGCTCACGTAGGAGGATGCGTCGCGGCTGCTCTGGATCCACGAGGCAGGTATGTGTCTTGACGTACTGGCTACCCAGGAACCACACAGCTCATCCACGTTGCAGATACCTTGCATCGGGTGGTCACGACTCCATCGTGAACCTCTTCGACCTGTCAGAGTGGATCTGCACGCGTACAATCACCGCATGCGAGTGAGTCGTTCTCCTCTGAGATAGCAATGTCGTACACTCACCGGGGCACCCCCTCGCAGTAACGCTATCAACGCACTCAGCTTCTCCCACGACGGAGAGTTCCTGGCAATCGCGAATGCAGGCTCGTACATTGACATCGTGAGTTCTCTCGGATGCACCGTCGAGTTTTCTCTGGCTGACCGCTCCCAGTGCGCTACGGAGACGGGTATACCGTTGCATCGAGTCCCCGCACTAGGATCCTCTCCCACTGTTGCTTGGCATCCGTCCAAGTACGTGATTGCATATTGCGGGCAAACCAAGATCAGGGAAGGTGGTCCTCCTCCATCCGCTTGGATCAGTCTTTTCGGCCCTGGAATGTAAAGAGCATCATCTCAGGCAGCTATATGCAAAGCCTTGTGGTGCTGGGAGTCCGACTACTTATACAATTGAACGGGCTACGTGCACTTGTGGAGGCATTTGGGAGGCATATTTACAGATGTATAACTCGTGCTTTAGCACGTAAACGAGCGACGGGCGTCCAGGCGCTCAACAATCGCGAGGCTATTGTACAGTAGGTTTTCTAAGGACTCGAGCGGACACTGTTCGCCCTGTCTACCTGGAACAAAATTCCATCGTCGAGATTGAGAGCTCTGGCACAGCAGGGCAAAAGAAAGCAAGCAGAGAGGAAAACATCGACAGCAGAGACAAAACTAGAGAGGGAGAGCATAGGGATAGTACTTCACAGTATAGCTATACTGATTTACACAATAACCGATGAGGAGAGAGGAGAGCATAGCATAGACACGTCACCGTAGAGAGCAAGCGTGGAAAGCGACGAAAGCGTATCGAACAAACATAACTCACAACATAATGGTATCAACAAGAAACAGAGTTCAGCGAATCGAGAGCGTTCATTCGTCACAGGGCGAATGTGTAACCGAATCCGTTGTGCTGGCTTTGCGAGGGAGGGCGGACGACCACATCGGGGAGCGTCTCAGACTTCCGCAGCGCAGCGCGTTCTTTCGTGGTGTCTTTTCTTGCGAGCCTCAGGGGCTTCAAGCCCTTGCCTTTCGGGTTTGGGTCGGCGTTTTCGTCGTTGACGTGCTTGGATTTCTTCCCGATGCTCAGCGCGCGTATCTCTTTGATAGGTGAATTCACGTCCCTGTCCTGCAGGAGCGAGAGCGGGCGCAGGCCTGGGGGCGACCCTTGTTTACCATCGACAAATTCCTTAGCGATCTTGTGTGCCCTGCTCTTCGGCATGAGCGGTTTCACTGCGCGAGACGGCCATTGAGAGATAGACTTGGACGCAACTGCGGCGGGCTTCGGCGCTGGCGGCGAGTTCTCGTCTGACTTGATGTAGACGATACTCGAGCGGCGGCTAGATTTCGTGCCGTTAGGGAGCTGAGGGACGGGCGGGGGAGGCTGGTAGGACGAGGGCCTCGAGCGTGTCTTGGACTCGTGCGGCGTACTCTCAGCCACGGGACCGGTCGTGGTATCGAAGTCGAACAGCGTAACGTCCGACGCCGCAGACGACGGCGGCGGTAGGCGCAGTTCCTGGTCTAGCGCAGTGATCAACGTCGCGAGGGAGTTACGAGCCGGGTTGACGTTGGCGGGGACATCCTCTGGAGAGGGAGGCGGCTGGCCGAATGTGCCAGTCGACACCGGGCGAGCCTCAGCCTTCACTACAACAACAGGGGAAGTAGGCCGCAGGAGCTCCTCGCGTTCGTCGACCATGTTCAGGCCGGAAATCGCGTTTGTAAACATCTCACCGCCGTAAACGGTGTTCCTCCTACTGTCACTCCCCGTCGCAGCTGTGTAATGACGAACGGCACCCTCGATGGCCTGGTTCAATTCGTTGCGCCACATCGATAGGGTGTGCAGACCATCCTTGCCAAGGCTAAGGCTACAATTAAGTCAACCTTCTCAAGCATGAGCACATCACCCTATGGAAACGCACCTAGGAAGACTGAAGTGGTTCCTCTTATGCGCAGAGATCTTCCGATCACGCTGCATAGTCTTCGCACGACGCGCGGGCGGAGTCGAGTGCAGTTCCGGCGAGGGGAATTCAGACGACAAGCCCCCAAGCTCAGAGGGTACAGCCTTGTGGCCCTTAGACGTCTTACCCAACTTCGTGTACTTGCTGCTTGTCCTGCTCGCGATCGACGCAGGTGAGTCCCACGTCCACTCACGCACCCTCACATCAGAACCGACCATCAGGCCAGGCACGAGGATCGGCAGGAGGCCAGCGGAGAGCGCGTCGATCTCGGCGACGTTGTCATCGTCCACAGGTCGGAATGAGTAGTTGATCACGGACGACGAGTGCGACTGGGTCTTGCGGTGGGTCAACAGCTTCGCCTGGCGCTCCCTGAGCTCCCGCATGGACGGGGGAGTTGGCGGCAGAGGCAAAGACGGCGGCGGGCTCATCGGGAAGTGAGTCTCGCGGGGGTCCTTGATCGAGGACACCGAGCGCGTTCGTAGGTGCTGAGACCCACGGGAGGCTTCCTTGGGCTCGGCCTCGACACCAGTAGCTGCACCGACGGGAGCGTCATCGAACGAGGCACGTCGATCCGGCGACGGGGGCAGAACCATTTTCGTTGCGAGAGTCGAGTAGTGCTTCTGCGCGATGAAGATCTGCGACTGCAAGTGCGCCTCAGCGGAAGCACCGGAGTAGTAAGACGATGCCTTCGATTCCTTGCGCGTGCGGTGCTGTCCGAACTCTGCATAGTTCTCCGACTGCGGCGTGGGCGGGATCGTAGGAGCATCCTCCTCATTCTGGATGGGGAGCGGCGGCGTGAGCATCGGCTCGGGCACGTCGTTGATCGGGAGCACAGACAGCTTGGGGACAGGCTGGAGGAGACCAACTGCACGCTGCAGTTTGTTCTTCCCGTCAGTTGCGTCGCCATTGGACACCCAGACGTCACCGCTGCGACGGCCTTCGACGACGGTCACGCTACCACTGCGCTTGTACTCGTGAGAGAACTTGAACGACGGCGCCAGGCTTGTGGGGGAAGGCGCACGGTTGGCAGCAGAAGGTGGCTCGCTGTATGTCTCGAAAAGACCGGACGGAATAGGCAGCGGCGATTTGCACAGAACATGCAGAGCGAGGAGAGGAGAAGACATCGTAACCGACAGAACAAACAAGATAGACACAGCGGAGGACGCAATTGGAGAGGAGAAGTTAGTGATCAGCAGGTACGGGGTCGAAAACACCTGTCAGACAACGAGTTAGCAAGGTGATATCCAGAGATATATAACTTTGACTCACGAATGGCAACCAAATGGACGCCAGCCACGCGACAGTCCGGGGCACGTCGACGTCGACATCACCAGAAGAAGTAGAAGACATGCTTACTTGCATCTTCTCAGCATCGTACCCATATCCACCCAGAACAGGGGTCTCAGTCATGATAGGCGTGGAGCGAGCAGTCGTAGACGGGAGCAAGCCCACATCAGGGCCAGGTGTGCTGGGGGACGTGATCGGCGAGCTCGGACGGGTCGCAGGGAACGACCACGCCGAGAGAGTAGGCTGGTAAATCGACGGCTCTGTGAGCCAGGACGTCTGGGAGCCCATACGATCGCGTGGCTGGGAGCCCAGCTCGTGCGGGGTCTCAGCGCGCCTGAACGGGTCTGGGTCGTTGACGAGACTGTCAAGAGAGTCGGGCGCATTGCGGTAAGGCGACGGGAGCGGGGGAACCGGGGGCACAGGCGAGTCGCGGCCGGTAAAAGGCGTGGCGGGGTTGAACCAGAAGGACGACTTCGGCGGGATGGAGGGATGAGACGCCGCACCCGCTGGGTTCTGCATGATACGCACGCTACCGTTCGACGGCCTCGCGGAGTGGTGAGTCGAGAATGAGAACGCGGAAACGGACTCGCGGTGGGAGCTCGCCCGGGACGTGATCCAGGAGCTACCGTCCTTCAGAGCGTCGATGTCTTCGGTCGCAAAGGATGGGCGGGGCTTCACCTCAACCTCCTGAGCCGGGGGCCAAGGGTCCCGGATATCGTTGAGCGTGGCGAGGTTGTGCCTGATCATGACGAAGGTGCCCATTAAACATCCGAAGGCAACTGTGCTGGCAACCGAGATAGTGGTTGAATATGCGAACAGTCCGATGAAGAAGCTCGGGACGTTCGTTGCAGCCAGCACTGCTGAGATCGCGGTGCCAGTAATGACGAGGAGGGCGGTCGGTGCCCAGATCATCCAGTGGCCCTTGCCAAGGGCCACAGAGCGACCCATACGGACGTGGACGAGCGTGAGCATGGCAACGATGAAGAGGCATGTCTGCCTGAGAGTCAAGGCTAGCCAAAGCCTGACAGCGGAGGCAGGGTCCGAAGCGGCATCGTAATCCTTAGACGCGTTGAGGTACTCGTTCACAACTTGCCATGTGAAGAGGATGAGGGATATGACGTCGCATGCTGCGAGCCAGACGTGGCTCTTGTCTGCCGGGGAAAGAGAACGGAAGTCAGGAAGGCCAAATTCAGACTGTGTGTGCTGTCAGCGTGAATCAGATAGAGGAGGGAACAGGACGTACAGGACGGACTCGACGGCTGAGAGGGTGAGGTGGCAAAATGGGAATGACGATGCGGAGAATGACGAAGGCGGAAGAGAGGAAGGACAAGAAGGCGAGGACAAGAGCGGGGATGAGAGGGATCATACTGTTCGTATTCGTAGATTGTCCTAGGGTCTTGAGTGAGCGTCGTTTGCGGTGAGCGTGAGGGGCGTAAGGCCTTCGTGAACCGTCGAGCAGAACCGAAGTCGAGGTTGAGGAGGACGAAGAGGACAAGGAGCACGTCGCACCCGCCGCCTTTCTTCTCTCCCTCTCGAACCGTGGTAAACTGCCGCATTTGCCTCCAGCCGTGGACCCACACAGGCATACACTCCCACAACATCGCGCGACACGCCCAAGGTCATGTGAGCGCGTGCATCTTGTCCCCGTCCCAGTACTTGCTCGGCCCTCTCCCTTTGACGACGCCTCCAAATGACGTTGGACTGCATTATAAGTACCTGATTATCGTCCAGCTATGAGTACGTCGAAGCTTTGTAAATTGGTGTTGGCAAGTGAACTATCGTCGGAATATTCAAACTCGGATGGGTGCACATCAGGTTCGAGTAAGATACTAGTAGTATGCCAATGTGCTCACTGCCAAGGCCTTGCCGTCACTCCTGGTTGAGAGGCTGCCCAATTATTGGGGCCTCTGAATATTGATGCATGATATCCGAGGGCGGGTCCTCGCAGTCTCGCACAGCCGATCACCCTCTCGGCCTACACGGGCAACATCAACACTACCTGAGTGGCACTTCCTCCTCAAACTAGACAATGTGTCCGCAGAATTGAGGTCATTGACTTCGGGTGAGCAATGCGGTTCACTTGCTAAAAACCAACGGACTTCGTATCAATGAGAGGACTCGCTCCTGTGCATTGCTTGCGATCACAGTGCCTCCAGAATGCAATTCACGACGACTAAAGGTGAGGCCTTGAGCTTGAGGTCCGATACCGTGAGTGGACAGCCTATGTAAGTACTCCTCAGCTTGCTTACGTACCAATACTAAACCCATTCGGCCAGCGCGTACTCTTTCTGATCGAGAGCTCGAGGAGTTCAGCTGGACTCTATTGGAAGCACGCCCGCACTGACTTCTGTCGTGGATTCGGTCATGCGCCTGTAGAGTGCGGTGGGTGAGTCAAAGATTACATTGCATAAGTACATACTACCTGGTGATCGCAGAGTTCCTGTGTCTGGTGACTGTCACCGTATGTGAGCGATCCTGTCTGGGGTACAGAACTTGGGTGGTGTGACTCGAAGCCTCCTAGCCGTGCATTACCCGCAAAATCCACACTTGCGACCAGTTGACCACGAAGACATGACTGTTAGAGACGTAAAATCTGCGATTTCGTGCTCAGTATGAGACCCGTTACAGGTGACCTGTCGGTATCATATTTTCCGTCGCCATTTCGACCCGACGAATGTGCCGGATGATGCTGAGGAGTGGGCTAGCGTGGATGTGTTTGCTGGGATGATCCCAAGAGTGGCGTAAAGGACGTCGATCGAACGGAGGCAGGCTCAGCGCCTCCAGCTGAGAATCATATGCTTTTGGCCCACGTGGGTCGCGAGCCCCCAGGCTGGACGGAGAGTTCTGGGGGCGAACAAGGTTCCGGGGATGCACGCAGCGCTCTCCAGCGTACCACCACCTTCGCTCGACGACCCCCGCCTGCTCGATGAACTACCTGCGGGGTGCAGTCAGCGCCATCAGTGCACCGTACCAGTACTACAAGGATCTCAACCCCGCCACCCTCACGGGCGCTATAGACGTCATCGTAGTGAAACGACCGAAACCGCAGGATGGTCAGGCAGACATCGCGCGGCCAGGAGAAGACGACCATGAGCTGGTTTGCTCGCCTTTCCACGTCAGGTTCGGAAAATGGCAGGTCCTCAGGCCAGGCGACAAGAAGGTGCGTTGGACCATCACTCTGGCGTGTCTGCGATTCGATCTATGCCGAATAGGTCAAGATGTTTGTCAATGGAAACCAAGTTCCATTTCCCATGAAGATTGGTGAGGCTGGCGAGGCCTTCTTTATCTTCGAGACAGACGAGGACGTCCCGGATAACCTTGTAACGAGTCCCCTTCTGGAGGCGACCCAACCTGGGCAAACCAATGCGGACGTGCAGCGCGCCGGTAGATTCGGCGCCAAGGAAGGCACTGAGAAGCAACCAAGGGATGCTGGATTGGATACACAAGAACCCGAGTTCCTCGACCTCAACGCTTCCGAATCGCAACAAGACCTATCATTACACGAGCCGGAGGATCGACAGGGTGAAGACAGTGAAGGCCAAGTGCCACTTCTCGTCCGCACTGCCCAGCTCGGGAAAGCACTTGTGGGTGCAGGCGTAGAGGCTGGCAAGTCAGAAAGGGACAAACTCAAGGATCACACGCTGACAGAAGCTGTATCCGAGGTCGAGAAGGACGAGGAGACGTTCGTGAGGGAGAAAGCCCTTGCCACTCGTAACGCAGCAAGACACTCTGCCAGTAGCTTCAGGAGCAATAAAGGAGACGAGATCTTGCCAGAAGCAGACGATGTGGAGGGTCCTGAGGTCGTATACACTGACGGTAAGCAGAATATGCCATTTGGCGGAAGTAGACTCCAGCAGTATTCGCAGACATGGTATTCGATATGGAGGGTTATCACTCGCACAAACGAAGTCACTCAGGTGGAACTATTACTCCTCGAGGTTCGTCAACTTCCACGAGCTCCCAGGTTCCCAGCCCGCCAAGTACACCAGGACCATCTCGTAAGATCCTGCATTCTGTATCCGGTCTACCTCCGGACTTAAACATGTATGTAGGCACGCCATCACCCCCTACGAATGTACCTGTCCCCTTCCCTACCATGCGAGCCACCTCCGAACCTCCCTTCGACTACCCAACCGGCATGACACCTCCGCAAGGCGCGCTTACCCCGCCGACAACTCCCCCTTCGCGCTCGCCATCTATGTCACGGATGCACGCCAGGAAGGCCAAGGTCGGTCCGCACACAACCATCCCCGTGGGGCACATCCAAACCGAGACAGAGGAGTACATGTGGGAGTGGGGCAGCTTCCCGCAGCGGACGCCAGTGCGCACTACGTTTCCGTCTATGGACGGCATAGGCCCGAGCCGGAAGGGCAAGGAACGGATGGCGGACTTGTCATTAGACACGGATGTCAGTGAGAAGGACCGCGAGGAGATGGTTTCATCGCCCGTGCCTATGGAGGAGGGTGAGGACGAATTGAAGTTCGGGAAGGGAGGGCGCTTGGCCCTTGATCGGCGGAACCCGACAAGGTTCAGGGTGTCTATCGAGAGGCGAGTGGTAGATTTTGAGCTCAGCGTCGTCCCTGGGGCGGGTAGCAGGGGGAGGCCAGGCGGTAAAGGGCCTCTAGGTGGTGAAGACGAGGTGGTGGACATGCAGCGTTTCGAGCAAGGGAAGATAGACTTTGAGAAATTTATTAATGACGACCAGGTCATCGACGACGAAGACCTGGTATTGAAGTGGGCGGGGGATATGTGAGCTGAACAATACGTGATAACATCTGAAGACATGAACTCACATCGGATGTGTAGGTGCATCACTCGGCAGGACGGGTCTCCATTGATGGACGCGCTCGTCTTGTGGCGAGATGCCGCGCTTCGTGGCAAGCTCGCCCGCTCTCCATCCCGATCGCGCTCACGAGAATGGGACGGCCATCGGTCACGGCTGAAGGACATTGATGAAGAGGCCCCCTATGCTTCTGATGATGAGTCTCGACATATGAACCATACACCATCCGACATGTCGGGTTCAACAGCCATGGAGAAGACACCGCCTTCGTCATCATCGTGGGTGCGCTGGTGGAGCCGGAGTCGCAATGCAGAGCCTGCGCAGCGACCGAACCTCAAGTCGATGAACACTGCGCCGCCCAATGTAGTAAGTCACCTCATCCGCGCTGTGGCTTGGATGACAGTCCAAGTTCTGAGTGTTCTGTGCAGCAAAGGAGCAATACGCAAGTACCACAGCCAGGACCGTCGCCCACGAAGCGGTCCTCATCTGTTACGCCGCTCTCACCCTCCCATAGCGCGTCTGAACTGGGGACGCCCGCGTCACCCTTGTCCGATACGTCCTCTGAGGACGACAAACCCAAACGGTACGCGAAGACACTCCGACTCACTTCAGAGCAACTTGTGAGTACAGTTCATGCAGTCCTTATCTCCACTTCTCGCTGACATCGCGCAGAAAACCCTCGATTTGAAGCCAGGCGCGAACAGTATTACATTCTCTTTATCAGCAACGGGGGTTGCTGCATGCACTGCACGTCTCTTTGTCTGGGACCATACCGATCAAGTCGTCATCTCGGACATTGACGGAACGATTACGAAGTATGTGCATGTTTGAACCGAATTTAACGTGTCAGACTCTGACTATATGCGATAGGTCAGATGCGCTAGGCCATGTCTTCACGATGATCGGCCGTGACTGGACGCACCTCGGCGTGGCGAAGCTGTATACAGATATCTGTCGCAACGGCTACAAGATCCTGTACCTCACCTCGCGCGCCATCGGCCAAGCGGACTCGACGCGCGACTACCTCAAGGGTGTCAAGCAGAATGACTACCAATTGCCGGAGGGCCCCGTCATCATGAGCCCCGATCGTTTATTGACGTCCTTGCATCGGTATGGTGGACATCAGGCTTGAGTGAACAGTACAACTGACTGAGGGCATGGGTAGTGAGGTCATCATGCGCAAACCCGAGGTGTTCAAGATGGCTGCTCTACGCGACATCCAAAAGCTGTTTGGGACAACCGCGACAAACCCATTCTATGCTGGGTTCGGGAACCGCATCACCGACGCACTCTCATATCGTAGTGTCGGCGTGCCGAGCTCGCGGATCTTCACCATTGACTCGAATAGTGAGGTGCGGATGGAGTTGCTCGAGCTAGCGGGTTACAAGTCCTCGTATGTCCTCCCTTACCTTGCTTAATGTTATCCTGTACTTACGCATAATTTTGAAGGTACATCCACATGACAGACCTCGTCGATCAGATGTTCCCTCCTATCAATCGGACATGGGCAGCGGAGTACACCGACTTCAATTACTGGAAACAACCCATGCAAGACTTCCCGCTTCCAGACCTGACACCACCCTCTCCCGCACTGAGCGCGCGCTCCGACACGTCCAACCAGAGTACCCTAGCCCGGCTCAGGCATTTCAGCCTCATGGGAAGCAGACAGGCGAACAACATGGACAGGTTTGCCCTACCGCCACCGGCGACGAAGTCGGAGGAAGACAGAGCACAGCAGCGGCGGAACGAGTCCCACTTGCGCCAGATGTCGTCCTTTGAACGACTGAGCAGCACGTTGTCTGCTTTCACCCAGTCTGCGTCCCCGATCAGTAGCCCGCGATCGAGCACGCCCACGTTCATCGACTCGGGCTCGGAGGACGAAGGCGACGAGACTGATCTCGAGAAGCAGAAGCGACGGAGGAAAAGGCGGGAGAGCATGCCTGGCTCGCTGCCCGGGTCGGATGGCTCGGTGTCAGATGAAGACATGCACTTTGGGGCGGATGAGGCAGGAGACGATGGTTACGACGGAGAGAGAGAGGAGGAAGCAGCTGAGGAAGCGTTTGACGAAGACTTTCTGGCCACTGGAGAGATGGAGAAAGTACCGTTCTTGTGATCATATATTGTCGCTGCGTAATTGGCGCCACAAAGCATAATCTGACACAGCTTGGAACTTGCAGCCGAGACAGGCTCCCAACATTACGGTGGTTTGGTACTACATTATACTATCAGTAGTGCCGGATTTCCGGCCACCCGCTATGCGGCTGCGAAAAGTTTGTTATCACTTACTGCTCGCCTCCCCTTCAACATTTCGGCAAATAGCAACATAACTAAGTAGCAGCTTCCTGCTGCGAGAGGGGAGACACGAGCCTATTGTGTAGGGGTGTAGGGATTAAGCGCGCGACGCGATCTCTCGTCGCGCGCCCACGTCCGAACTCTCACCGGAGATACGGACCAGATCGAGGTCGCCCTAAATTCGCCTCAAACTCATTCCTACATCGAGCCAATGGGACGTAGTTTGAGGTCGCCGCATATGCGAAACTAAATCCAACATATACGATGCGCTCTCGGGACGGCCGAAATTCTTTGCCCCAAATTCAGGATCTTTGATGCCCCTAAAGCGGAAAGTCAATTCAGTTGACCAATTTCAGACCGGCGCATAAGCTTCATTTGGGCCATTGATAATAAGACAAGCCCATATTTAAACATAACTTTTGAATTTATGTTCGGGTTTCCGGCCATACAAAATCACGTCCCATTGGCTCGATATAGGCACGTGTTTGGGCCAAATTTGAGATGACCTCATCCTGGCCCTTGTCTCCGGTGTCTAGCGAAAGCAAGCTAGAGGTTATGTCTACTGGCCTTTGGTCCTTTTCCACATCCTCAAAGACTTCAGAGTTCATAGGACATAACTGTGATTCCACTGTAACGCCCAAATCGAAATCATGCAACCTTTCGACCACTACCAATGAAACCCTCGATGTTTTGTGCTCGAATAATTCTTATACTTACATACCTTCCATACATCTACCAATTTCTACCCTCAAAATCCCCACCCGGACATCACTGATAACACTCCTTGTTAGAGCGCCATTCTGACCACGTGTGGTGCGTAGCCATGATTTCCTCCTTGTAAGGGCGCCACACGTGGTCAGAATGGCGCTCTAACAAGGAGTGTTATCAGTGATGTCCAGGTGAATATCCCAGCGACGAGTTCTCTGCAGCCCGAGAATGGATGTTACAGTGGATGATCAAGGTGTCACTCTCATAGGCGCCCAAGAACAATCAATCTATTGTGCGCCGAACTCATGGTTTCTCAGCCTGGAAAGCATACCAGTAGTAGCTAGATAGACCACATATTCCATTGAGGTTGAGAAAACAGTAGTAGCAAGTGAGAAAAGCAGTAAGGTGGAGTGTGAAAGGGTGTTGCAGTGACTGATCGTGTTACAGTGACCTGTCCTTGACTGTAGTCACGTCCAGAAATTGTCTTGACCAATTATAGTACACACTTGTTTAATATATCTATGGGCCTGCTAGCTCAGTTGGTTAGAGCGTGGTGCTAATACTATCATCCAAGTATTGTGACGCCGCACACGCATCGCCGCAAGCACCGACGGGGCGCACGACAGGACGGGGACAGAGGGCGGGCGACACGCCGGGAAGTGCGCGGGCAGGCGGGCGCAAGATTCCCAAGGACCTCTTGGGAGTCTTTACGGATTGGCACGGGATATATATATATTTGGCGTGTGCGGCGCACACGCATAACTTGGCAGCAAGAGGAGGAGGGCAGAGTCTAGGCATAAGGATTTCGTACACGTACACATGGACACTGAGCAAGAGCGGAAGATACACCCTAGCAATGGCTGCAGCCGCGCTGGAGGCGCCACGAGGGTTGCCAGGGCGGCGGCACCGCCGCGAGCATGGCAAGCAGATCTAGCTCTTCGTCGCTGTCGTCGTCTGCGTCGCTGTTGTCTCCGTGGTCGTCGTCTGCGTCGCTGTAGCCGCCATCTGCGTCACTTTAGCCGCTGTCTTCGGAGCCGCCGCCATCTTCGGAGCCGCCGCTACAGGACTCGTCGTCGCGCATGTCGTCGTCGTCGGTAGTGGGCGGTTCGGTGTCGTCAAATTCATCCGGCAGCCAGCATCGGGTCGACATGGTGCAAAAGCACTGCTCCCAGCGGACGGCGCTGACGGATGCGAGGACCTGGGGCCAAGCTGGACCGGCGGGAGTAGGGCTGAATCGGGTGCGAGTGAGCTGGAGGTTGAGGGGGGACGAAGGTGGGTTGCGACGCGCGTGGAGAGGGCGTCGACGAGGGCGTGGAGATCATAGTCGGAATGGGAGAGGACGAGGAGGTCGAGGGCGGGGAGGGCGCCGGCGCGGAGGAGGGAGAGCCAGGCGGATGTGTGGCTGCATCCGACAAAGGCGAGGCGGCTGAGGTGAGACCAGCCGGAGAGGATGTGGAATGAGAGGAGCGAAGGGACGCGAATTGACGCGTCGACGTTGGTGAGCGTGAGGTTGTTGAGGGGGCAGAGGGTGAGTTGGAGGAGGGCGTGGTCGATGACGAACAGAGGGTGAGGGCTGTCGATGTTTCCCGCGGTCCAGAGCTCGGCGTGAGTGGAGTCTTCTGCGACGGTCGCGAGGACGTCGCAGTAGTCGTACGTGTCGGCAGAGAGGTGGGCGCGGGCAATGGTGGGGATTGTCATTGGGTCCACCGTGGAGGTATGCGCGGGCGGGGGGCCTTTTATAGCGGCGGGCGCACGCCCAGCGACGGGGCGGGGCGGGCGCACACCTGCCGACGGGGCGCGAGGGCGCACACGCGGGGCGCATGAGAGCAGGAGCAGAGAGAGGGACGACGCGATGCGACGCGACGCGACTCGCGTGACGCGACTCGGACGCGCCTCGGCCAGAGGCAGGCTGGAACGCGGGCGGGTACGCGCACAGGCGGGATGGAACGCGGCCGCTTCCAGCCACCGACAGGATGGAACGGCGTTCACGGATAAATGTCCGCAGATCGGTCCTTGTGAGAAGAGCTTCAGACATGCAATATATCATACTACATCCACCTTAGAAGACTTTGCATATTAATCGCAGAAGACGATGTCTAAGTTACAAGAAATCGGACTACAAAGCAGCGGTACCACTCCTTCCTCCATCGTAAAAGGGTCGAATGCTGTTGCGACGGCCATACTCGTAGATGAAACGATCATACGCCGAAGTGTGATCATAGGCAATGCTGTGCATAGCAAGGAGATTCAGCGAGCAAAGTTGATGCTACGTTGTGCAGAGAATTGCTCACGATCAAGGTCATGCGAAGTGTGAGGTATACTTACCGGGCAACCGAGGGAGAGGGCGGGGGTGGACGGAGGTGAGCACGAAGCAATCGTACTTTGGAGGACACAGCGTAGGTGCGCATTGGAGCGCTACACGGAAGGTGACGTCCAATGGTAGGAGGTACTAGGAGCGCACCGCATATAGGGCGCTGGCTGCCAGGCTGAGGCAACTTTATTGGTTGGGTTCAGCGCCGTCGTTCACGATAGTTCACTGGCCGCTATGTAACACTCACTGGCAGATGCTTGAATAACGGGCGCGGCCCGCGTGGCAGTGCCATCGATGCGGCGGTGTGTGCGCAGTTGTGGGCGGGAGAATATGTATTCGACGCGCCAAGATGGTGGATGTGCATGGTGGATGTCTGGCATTGAGTGATGAGGATGTTCATTGTGTGCTAGAAACAGCAACGGGGAGGAATGACTAGGAAGATTCCGCCGCGAAAGACGACTTTATTATCAATGGGGGAAGCTTAAGGTAGATTGTATTTGCGTCTCACCGCACGTCAGGAAGCGGGCGCGTTGCAGAGCCAAGGGGTTGGCAGTTGGATGGCAGGCAAAGATGCTGATGTTTCCGGGCGCCGACTCGGAGCAAAGAACTGATTCAATGGAGCAACCGTGGTTGCGTGAAGACTGACTGCGCGCGGGGAATGGGCCCACCAGGAGACACGAGGACTCGGAACGTCGTGCGCGGTCGTCCGCCATGACTGACTGTAACGTTCTGAGAATTGCTGCAATATGGCATTGGCTGCAACAAAGTCGCGCGGTGCGGTGGCGAGGGTGGCTGAGCCGACTGATCGATGGTATTACTTACTATTTGTCCCAAGTATCATCATACTGTTCAACTCGGCGCAAGTAGGTTATGATTGACAGTTGCGCACAGCCTACCACTGGACCACTTCATAAGTCCCAAACTGCACAGTATGGCCGTATCTTCATCTGTTCAACTAGCCATCTTCGAGGTACGCATCTCTATACCCGAGTCTTGGGACTGGCACGCCGGACTGGCCTGTCGGAGGTCATACGCAGTGCGCAGAACAGTTCGTTGAACTGACGACTCTTCGTAGGCTGCAGAGCGCGATGCGGTCCTTCACTGTAATATCTGCCTTGGCAGCTATTTTCCCAAATCTTGTGCCGGTGACAGCGTCGCAGCCGGATTATTCCACGATAGACCTGACCGGCCTGGACCTGACTTCGTAAGTTATTGCTGTAGCTGGATGGACACCACTTATTGATGATTTTCACAAGCTTCCCGAATAACTCTCTCTTCACGCGATGGCGTCCGAGGTCTCATTTCATGGCGCCACATTCATGGATGAATGACCCGTGTGCACCGTCCTATGATCCCTCGTCCGGGCTCTACCACCTGTTTTACCAATTCCATCCTGCACACATTGCCTGGGGTAACATATCCTGGGGCCATGCTACGTCGCAGGACCTTGTTACATGGACAGATGTCATCGCATGGGAGGCATACAGCGCAGTCGCCCTCTCCCCAGGTCCAAATGGAACAATGGATCACCTTGGAGTATACACAGGGTCTGCGCAGTTCCTGAACGTGACGGAAAACCAGACCTGGGGCTTGCCTGTACAGTATGCAACCTCCGGAGGACAGACAGTCATGCTCGCCTTCTACACCGCCGTATCGAGTACGGAGGCACAGGCCCTCGCCATTTCCGATGACGGAGGGCATACATGGTCGAAGTTCGAGGGTATGGGCATCAACCCTGTGATCCCTAACGCGCCTCCTAACCTCGACGTCACTGGATTCCGTGATCCCTCCTATGAGCTATGGCCTGAGATGGATTCGATCCTCCAGGTGGACGAGCCGCATTTTTACTCTGTCTTCGGCTCCGGAATCGTCAACGTTGGGTCGCGCCTGCAGTTCTACACTGCGCCGGCATCCAATGTGACTCATTGGTCGTATCTCGGTCCACTCCTCTCCGTCGCAGGCAACGCATCGTGGTCCGAGACCTACTCTGGCTCTTTCGGATTCTTTTTCGAGGTTCCAGGTACCTTCTCCCTTCCCGAGCTTGCAGAGAACGGAGGCGATGGAGTGACGAGCCACCACTTCGTCATGATGGGCTCGGGCGGCGGGAACACCGTCTTGCACCCACTCAGCAACTGGCCGCTCTGGTCCGAAGTCGACATCGTGCGTTCAGCGAACGGCTCCGCGGAAGGCACCATACGGTCGTCGGGCGTCATCGATTGGGGACATTCCTACGCGTGGAATTCCTTCTACGACAAGCCTCACGACCGCCGTATCACATTTGGCTGGATACCAGAGGACCTCGGCCCACTGCTCCCACAGGGCTGGACCGGAGCTCATTCCCTCCCCGAGAGCTGTACGTCCAGGTCTATCGAAACCTCGCGGACCCGAAGGGCGTCCTATCGCAACCGGGCTCTTGGACAGCGACTCAGAACCCCAATGGTAGCTGGACAATGACCACCCTTTCCATGCGCCCCGCTCCAGAGGTTGTGGCTGCATTGTGCGAGAACGCGACGACGACTCGCCTGGACGATGTCGTCGTGTCCGCAGGCGACACTGCCCCCGGACAGTTCCACGATCTGAATGTTACCAGCGACTCTGTCGTCATCCATGCGGAGATCGACATCCCGGTTGACACTACATCGGACGTCAGCTTTGTTCTCCGTCGCAGCCCAGACGGCGAGGAGCAGACGCTGGTCACCTACGATCCCGTCCTCGAGATGCTCACCATGAACTTGACTTCGTCGACCCTCCTCAAGCCATCATTCGTCGGCACCGCAAACCATGTCGCCCCGCTCTTCCTTCTCGATACATACAACGGCTCCCAGGTCGAGACAGTTCGCGAGCCGCTAGTGCTCGATATCTTCCTCGACAACTCGGTCATCGAGGTGTTCGCGAACTCTCGTGTCGCGATAATCGGCCGCACCTATCCAGCGAGGAACGACTCACTGGGAGTGGGATACGTTGTCGGTGCGGGCAACGGGTCGGTCACGTTCAAGCAGGTCACGATCTGGGAAGGATTGGAGAGAGCTTGGCCAGAAAGACCGGACAACACGAGCACGCAGCTGGTCTACGACACGCCGGAGGAAACGGATAACTATGTGTGGTGGGTAGGGTACTGAGTGCAAGACAATTCCGTGATCACTATCTCAGAAGACACTCTTGCTGGCTGAGCACCTGTGACGAAGAGATGCGGATGGTACGAGTTGGTACACGAGTGGACTGGTACAAATACAGCTTTCAAAAACACATATGAAGCTCCTTGCCGTTCACGCCTACATTATCGCCTTGAGAATAGCTTGGGGCCTGTACATGGAATGTTAGCAATCCATCAAAGCCTACTTACGGTTCGCGAGGCCTACACATGCCTTTAACTCTCCAGAATTGATTCAAAGAACTGCAGCTGCAACATCAAGCAGTTCGAACTGTTCAAGGGTTCGACGCTCGATCGTCATGAACAGTTCCTTTCCACCGCCTATGGAGGTTTCGAATACTGGACCACGAATGAGTACTATGTCCGTACTGAACGCGAGCTTTCTACTTACCCCATTGTGCCGTCTTAATCCATTTTGCCACCTTCGTCATGTCATTGCATCCCAGATATGTCTGAGCGATTCGGAGCATATGAGAGATCGACTGCGGGGGATGCTCGAGGGGACAGAGATGACTAGTATCCACGGCAAGTTCTTCCTTTCGAGGCTTGGTTCCATATGATGCGCGTCGACCTGGTTTGCCGTCCGTAACAGTCCAGCCATAGCATTCGAGAGACTTTATGTCTTCCTCGATTGCTTGCTTTATGTCGGATGTCTTGTACGAAGATCGTAGGTTCTCTGCAACGCTGTGATGGACGTCGGCTAGGGCTGGACGACATGGTCCCCTGGTCAGGGCGTACGTGGCAGAAAGTTGTTTCTCGAGAGAACGGATTTCGGTCAATGGTCTCATGAACAGTTGCCTGGGCAATGCAGTAACGATAGCATGCCTACGGCGAAGGTTGTCTTCACCGTCCGCGCGATCGTCCCGACATTGACGGCAGCCACACGTCATTAACCAATTCCTCTGTAGGGTCTCGCGACGTTCGGAGTACGTATCGCGCGGTGATGTATACGTCAAAGTGATCTCCTCACCGCATTTGATCATCTGCGACGCTCGTATTATCATGACGTTGCCGATGAAGATACGAAGCGTGTTAGGTGCGCAGGAGTGGTTGAAGAGAGAAGGCAATAGGAAGAGACCAGTCGGTGTGTCATTCAGGTCTCTGAGATCCGAGGACTCTGGCCTGAGAGCTGCCGGTTGCAGAGGCGCGACTCCGAAATTGTTATGAGTACAGATCGACTCCAGTTGGGCGAGATCTATACGGTGCCTCGGTGCCAAAACATCAAGTTCGACAAGCTCGGTGGCCGGGGGCGGCGGATATGTTGGGGGCGGGGGTGGGTAGTTGGGGCCCGCGTATAGGTGGAAAACGTGATCGTGTAGATCTGGGTTCCCGTAGACAACTTTCGCGGCATCCGCGACATTGGCACTCTGCGTTTGCCTGTCCCATCTTGACGTCAGCATGTTCAGAGTCATCTGGAGGCCGTGAGACTGTAGATCGCCGTTGCAGGCAATTGAGAAAGGTCTGGCAACAACCTGTGAAAGCACGGCTCGACGAAGATGCAATGCCAAGATGTGTTTGTCACTCACCAGCAATTCCCCTCCGTGGATCTCCTTCGTTGCTACGACTCCTCGACCTCCTCCGCAGTTGGGCAGTTGTTTGACCTCGATCGGCCCTTTGTAATCGGCGATGTCCAGATGAGAGTCAGTCTGCGACCACTTGTATAGCTGCATCCAGTCGTAGTTTCCAGTACGGCTCTCCTGAAGTCGTTGCTCGCAGCGGGAGGTCCAGCCCACGACGTCGCTATCCTTGGGGCGTGACAAACGCAACTGCTTGAATAGCGACATCGCGATCTGGTACCTCCCTCTTCCATATTCCGCTCTCGCCTCTCTGTACGACGCTTTATCGCGTAGTTGTGGCGTCACTCCTGCAGCGCAGCGGACATCATGCGCGTCAGCCGAGGCAGCCGAGTAGAATTTGAGCCGAAGATACGACTCCGATCGGTTCGAGCGAAGGACAAGGGACTCTGGGTCGCACTGTAAGCCACGCGAGAAAGAAAGCGCTGCAGGCAGCCAATGACCAGCTTTGAAGTGCATGTTGCCGTGTGCCTTCCAGTGATCTGCGTCTGATGGCCATGAAGCGAAAGTGGGCACTGCTTGCCCCGTCTTCCACCGCACGTCACGCAACATGGCACTCCTAGGATCCAGGAACACGATATCGGTGGGAGAGTCCACGCGAATGATAGGATGCTCGCCCTGCGTCGCAGCTTTGAAAGTTGGCTCGAGTATGGCCATGGTCACGCCTACGGGAAAGATGAGATCGAGGTACTTGAGCGAGGCCTCGACAGTTGTCGGAAAGTTGTATATAGAAAGGATTTGTGCGTCTCCGTTGACGTCTTCGACCACCGTCTGGATAGCGACAATTTTCGCTGCATGGAGTAATTATTGATGTCTCCGCGACAGAGTGTGAGCAGGCTTACTGCACGGTGCAATGGATCGGCATATTAAATAAGACCCCTAATACGAAGTTTGAGCGTGTACGTGCGGACATAACAGGTGCTGTAAACACACGAGATGTGTCTTGCGCATGAGCATCCTTGAGCGAGTTACTACACCACATTAGTATTCAAAGGGAAGACGAATGTGACCGGTACGCACTCGGTTTCAATTGATCGAGTTGCTTTGTGCTTGAGTGTTTCGGAAAACCTATCACGGTGAGGCGAGTTTGCATTTCGCCATCTGCAGCACCGTTTTCATCTTCCTGTGCCCGTCGCTGACGCTCCTGATCCCATACAAGTAGGTTTGGTGACACAAGCGGTGCTGTGGTCGGCGGTTTCTTGCTATCTTTCTCAAACCATGCTTTATATTTCTCGATAGTTTCAGGCGTTGCGCCGAGCGTTAACCGTGGTGGACCTTCGCGCGGCAAACCGGATAGAACGCTGCTCTCCAAGGCATCAGGACCAAATCGAGACATGAGGCCAGCGAGTATCGCTGGACTCATGCCCATCTGCGATGCCATGCCCATCTGCGCCATCATACGAGCGAGGATTTCAGGATTCATCGTGGAGGATATACAGAAGGAACAGGGATCCAACACGTCCCGGAGGCCCACTGCCTATATATCGATCATCGCCTCGTGTCATTAAGGTTGTATGAACCACGAACAAGCACGAGGTCTGCTAACAATCGCTATTCTCCCGAAGGTGAGTCAAAGAAGGTATAACGCTCACCGAAGCAAACTTAGGGCGACGTTTCTCGGTCCCTTCGCGAGGAACACTCGCAAAAGGCAAGCTGGTAGATAAGCCTAGGTCATGCGCGAAACGCCGGGATTGATTTGGGCTTTGTCGCCAGGCATGACACCCAATCTGAAACCACTGACATAGTGATGCAGAACAGCACAGCTCTGTATGAATTATTGAGCATTGCAGGTGGATACACTGGTACGACCGCAATCAATGGGGACCATCACCATGCCCACGAGCATGGTCGGAATTGTACTTCTCATGGTCAAAGATAGGACCGATGGGTGGGGGCAGGTTACGTTCCCTAGTTGATTGTGTCAGTGGGAACCAGGTGTTAAACCAAGATAGATCAGAGCATTTACCATTTCGTCCCGTCGACAGCCTCAGGTGCTGTATACATGGTCAGACGAGGATTACATCTCGTGGAATGCCAGCACTCACGTCGGTAAGGATCGGGGTGCAACCGTTCAGCCAAGTCAGCCTCAGCTTTCTGCAGGATCGCGGATAGCTCTCGTGGATCGTGTACATTCCTGTCAATCACGATACGCATTGTCAAGGAAATCCACACTCGCATGAGTCCGGCAACGCACCGGTTTCGCTCGAATTCAGCACGAACGGCGATGGCCCTCCCCCTCCAAGCATTACGGTTGATAGTCCAATTCAGCTCATTGTTGAGATACCGCCTGTAGAGACCTTGCACGTATTTCCGATGGACGGCGGTGAATGGCGAAGGCGCAGACATGGTGACAGTCGAGGACTTCAAGTGGCTGAGATCGCGGCGCGCGGGGCCTGGTCGGGACTCGGTTGAGAGCGCTGTCGAGCGCCTGCCGAAGTGGTAGCACGTGCTCAGCTCGACGAGCCTGAGATCTGAGAACCGGCTTGACTGGAAGGTGAAAGATTCACTGAACATACAAATATACAAGTACAGGACACTCTCCAAGTAGCTATCACTGGTTTCGACCGCTACTGGTCTACACTACAGTACATATCGAGCATCAACACGAGAGCAAGGCGGACAGTCGGACAGTCGGACAGTCGGACAGTCGGACAGTCGGACAGTCAGACATTCAATAGGCAACACAACAGCAAAACAAAAGACAGAACGCCGAGCATGTCTATGGAACAGATGAAGAACTCTCCGTGTCCACAGATGGGTGCACCATGTAATAGACACGGACGTCGCCTCCTTGTACATCAAATGAGGGCTGAGTGCTGCTCTCTTCCATCGACTCCGGTAGCGATTCCTGGACGTCGCCTTTGATCTCGATGAGATAGTTATCCTAGCAATACAGATCAATCTTTCGGTTCTGCATCACGATTCAGGATATCCTCACCTTGACAAGTTTCTTCAGCATCTTAGTGATAATTCCTTCTCGTACTCAAGTTCATCGACGTCTTGGAGCTCCGCCTCCTTGAGCTCTAGATACCAGTCTATGAGTTCATCGCGATCCACGCCCTTGCCGTTTCTCGCTCCACTTGGGAGAGATGAAGACAATGAGACTCTGCAGGGTCATGTACTTGTCGTGCGTGATGACCATCCTCCTCTTCGGACGCGCTGCCGGGGCAGGTGCCATGCTCGCCGCTCTCGAGGTGGATCTGAGGCTGGCGCCCTGGAGGCCGCCTGAGCTTGGCCCACCAGTCCACTGGTTCGTTTAGCTCTGCTCGGTCTCCTCCATGGCCGCCACCTCCGCCGCGACATCTCGACGTCTTGGCTTTCCTCATCATTCTGGGCATTTCGTGGACGCCGGTCACCCTCTCGCTCGCCTTCGAGCTCTTCCTCGTCGAAGTCAATGTCGTCTTGCTCGACGTGGATGATAGACTGCCGTAGTAGACTGTAGGCTTCTCGCACGAAGGCAGGGGTGATCTGTGGGCATCGTTGGTATAAGCCAGATAAAAGCCGGTTTATGTTACCTCTGCTGTACAATTCGCCCGAGCAATGGCCTCGCTCAAACGGACCATACTCTCCAGCTGACGGACTGTAATGCGATATGAGTTTTTGCCAGTACCAGAAGCATCGTCCTGACGAAGATGCGGTATTTTCCACAAGGACGTCCGCTGCATCGGGCGTAAGCTAGTGTACGAGCGCGTCAGAGGTCGTCGTGGAAGAATCATAATGGTATGACTTGCCTTAGGATTGAAAGTCCTCGCATACCGGATGTACCGCTGCAGAGCCTCTGTGCTGAATTCGGGATGAATCGCATCGTCTTGGAACCGGTGCACGTTCACGATATGCTTGCGATGTTCAAGTCAGACTTTTCGTTGCACTCATCGAGTACTACGAAGAACAGGTCGAAACGACTCATGATGGGCGCCGTCATCGCAACGTTTGCTCTCAGTGACTTCTTCCTGTCGTAGCGGCCTCCTATGGGATTGGCTGCTGCGAGAATAGACGTGCGCGCGTTCAGCGTTGCATGGATGCCTGCCTTCGCGATTGAGATCGTCTGCTGCTCCATAGCTTCGTGGATCGCGACTTGGTCAGAGATATCCATCTTGTCGAACTCGTCAATGGCGCAGATACCGTTGTCCGCCAACATGAGAGCACCCGCCTCGATCGTGAAATCGCCAGTCTCCTCGTCTTTGACAACGGCAGCAGTGAGACCGGCAGCAGATGAGGCCTTGCCAGAGGTATAGACTGCGCGAGGGAGGAAGGAACAGATGTACCTGTAGCGGTTGAGCTTGCATCCGAGTACCCAATAACCGAGAGACTCACTTGAGGAACTGCGACTTCGATGTAGAGGGATCGCCGACGATACAGATATTGATGTCTCCGCGCAGGTGCATCCCCTCGGAGGTCTGCTTGTGCACACCACCCATGAGCTGCAACAGTAGTCCTTTCTTGACGATGTCGTGTCCGTACACCGTCGGCGCTATGCTCTCCACCAACCGCGAATAGATGTGATCCGACTCGATCATGCGCTTCAGTTCCTCAAACTCTGGCTCTGTGAGCGACCGCGCGAAGGCCTGTGCATCATCCTCGCCAGATTCCTCCTCTCCTCGTATGTTGGTACCGGCCTGGTAAGAGTTAACTCCCAGTCAAAGAACCCGAGATTGCTACACTCACCCGGCCATCGGCATCGTGAACCATACAAGCCAAGAAAGCTGTCTTGTACTGCAGGTCACGGACACCCAGGCTCTTAAGCCCGGTTACTCCTGCGCCACCAACAGCCGCGGCAGCCGAGTTCGCCCCAGCCCGCGCTGCTTCACGCATCAGCTCTGCCTTGTTCCCTCCCGGCAACCCGAGCTGGCTCACGTCCGGGACGACAATGAATGTCCCCGTGAACACGCATTTGTCACCTGCCTTGGCGCGTTCTACGAGTTCAGAGCGGAGGATGACATCGAGGGACCGTGGCATTGACCCTGTAGGGATCTCCGACGGGTTCTCCTGGATGCGAACCTTCTGCCAGTCGGTGAACTTTGAGCTGTCGATTTGTAATTGCCATGCGATCCTGTTCCCACATGTTGGATTCGGGCAAAGGCTCGGCTAGACAGACGATGAGTACAAGCTGATATATTCGATACAACACGGGCGTACCTCAGTGTACTTGAACTGCTGCTCGACTTCGTTGACCAGGCCTCCACAGACCTCGCAAATGAAGCTGCCATAGAGCAGTTCGGGCCGCACCTCGCTCGTCCGGGTCACAGTCCCGCTGATGCTCATGAGCGTGCCGATCTTGTCCGTCCTGAGATCTCGGATACCCGAGACCAAAGGCAGATGATAAAACGCGACGTTGAATTCGCGTGACTGCAGATTCACGGAGTCCATGGCCGCAGCGGTAGGGTTTAACTTGAGGTACTCCGGTTCAAATTCGGCAACGAGGTTGTGTAGGGCGCGGCGGATGTACGGAAGGAAACGGTAGTACTGTTTCTGAATGGCGTCGGCGAGTACGTCGTCCCTTTGTAGCAGGTGCCCGTAGTCCACGTACAGGGTGGTCAACTCGTACTCCCGCATGGTGTGAATTTGTTCGACATAAATGAGCTCTCCATCTGGCGCGGCCGGTATGCCACCGTCTGACGCGGGTGTAGGTGCCAATGTGACTTCCTCGGTGAACCTGCGTCACGTTGTTATCAGCATTTGTACAAGGGGCGTGGCCGCTTGTGAAGCGTGAAATGAAACGTGAATAGCTATGCTCGTCATTCTATGGGACAAGCCTGTGTGACAGGATGTCCAGGTTTTGAGACAGGCGAGATGAATATCAATGCTCGTACGACATCCTCAATTCGTCTTTGCCAACGCATAGACATCCAGGTACGTATGTGAGTCCGCTGTCCGCCGGTGGCAAGCCATGAGACAGTAGGCAGCGGTATACTCGCGTAGGAATTGTGTTCGACACTGCACTGTCCGAAAAAAGGGTCGTGACGACGAACTTACGTTCTAAGGAACGACTCGAAACTCTCCTGCACGCTCTCACCAACCGCGTCTTTTACGATCGGCACATCGCCGTCCTGCTGGTTCTTCGGTCTGCGTCGTCTACGTGCCGCGCGTCCCGGGTTTCATCCACGTCCTCGGCCTCGTCGTCCCCTAGGTTCAGCGCGTCGACCGGCGCGCGGTTGCGCTGCGGTGTCCTCCTTTGCGGCGTGAGACGACCATTAGATGATTGTGAGCCAGGCGGAGCACTGCTTGGAGGTAGGGAGGAATGACGCAGAGGTGGTGATGAAGATACGCCGTCGACGTCCATAGTGGCACGAGAGGAGGGGGGAGAGCGCGAAATAAGCTGGGATGTGCAAAGACGCGTCTGGCGAAATGAGACACGAGATGGCCGGCCCTAAAGCGACGCGTGCCCTGTGTGGCTCGAGGCTGCCTCGCGTACGGCCACCGTTGGCAGCGACTTGTCGACCGCGCAACATCCAAGTCTCCAGTTTTCTGACTTGCTCTGCCTACTACAATGGAACTAGATCCGCTGGACCCAACCTATGTCAACGAAAGGCTGTCTCAGCCTCCATTCATCACTGTTCCAGGAGTAGTAAACGTCCGCGACCTCGGCTTGTACCCTAGCGAGACGTTCCCCGACTCTGTGATTCGGCCTGGCTTCGTCTTTCGCTCCGGCGAAATCTCGTCAATCACGGAAGATGGTATGTATTGTATTTTGTTTGTCATATTTTTCAAGAGGTGCATACCAGTCTGATCGCAGTACAGGCAAAGCGACGTTGAGGGAACTGGGTGTAACGACCGTTTACGATCTACGTTCGGACACCGAGATACAGAGATATGAGACGCCGTCTCCTGACATTGACGGTGTCGATATCGTACGCCTCCCTGTCTTCAAGACGGAGGACTACAGCCCGGAGATGATGGCCAAGTGCGTCAGGGCAAGTCCCAACCGAATGTCGATGATTCATCGCAGCCCATACTACTGGCAGACGGTTTGAACTATATGCAAGTGGCAAGACAGAAGTATGTCTCCTTCACATGCGTACCAGCTTTGATTGATAACCCATTGAAGGCTTTCATGGAACTGTACTCGCAAATATTAGACAACGGCGGCCCCGCATTCGGAACTATACTACGTCATGTTCGGGATCGACCAAATGAAGCCATCATATTCCATTGCACAGGTCTGTAGACAGTGTTCATCTCGATCACGTCGCGTGTTGAGTAGTTGCTACGCAGCCGGCAAAGATCGGACTGGCGTTGCGGCTGCACTTCTGTTGAAAGTAAGCATTGATCAAGGAATTCCCTATACTACGTCGTCAGCGATGATGCTGATTGCTACATGCAGATAGCAGGCGTCAGTGACGATTCTATTGCTGAAGACTACGCTTTGACGCGTGTTGGGCGAGAGCCTGCCCGTCAAATGGTCATGGCGCGCCTCGCGCAAATGCCAATGTTCGCCTCGAACACCGAAGCGGCACTCAATATGTTTACCTGTCGGTATGTGCCGTTCATGATGGCGCACTGACCTGATGGCGACTCAAACTATTCACTGGAAGACACGAAACAATGCTAGCGTTCCTCTCGCTGTTACGAGACCGTTACGGGGGTGTTGAGGAATACATCAGTACCTTCGCCGGGCTCTCTCCACATGACATTCAGCAAATCCGCACAAATCTCCTCATCTCTAATGAGAACAGCCATATAGACGTATCCTCATGACATCTGCTCTCCAATCGCTCCCGCAAATACCATATAATCCCCGAATCATGATAATTTAATGCATCATAATCTGTCCTGACTGAGAAACGTAAATGTAGATTGATGATTCTGACGAGAAGTGGGGTATATGAATGATGCAACTAGTGGTAGAGCCTTGCGAAGTATGAGTCGGGTAAGCCAAAGATGTGAACGGTGTGCGTGCGAGACGGAGATTGAACGCGAGGCTGAGTTCACTACCAACCCGCTACGTATAATCATGACTTCTTATTCAAAGTCAACGTCCGCGGTGGCTGCTTGGCTGTGTCTGTGCGGGGAAGGTCGGGCTCGTAGGCGGATGTGCAAGATTCGAGGCAAGTAAGCCGCTCTGCGCGCGAGCCTTCGGGTTGAGTGGAGACAGGACGGCGCTCGATCGCGAAGGTGGTCTTGCAGGGCCCTCGCCTCCCGTAACCTTCCGACGAATCTGCGGGCGCAAGGAGGATGGTGCCGCGGGTGTGGAGGTCGTCGGTCCATTCGTGGTGGGCTTGTCATTTACGGTGAAGCCCGCGAAGGGTGTCGTGTCCGTCCCAAGGGCTTGTCTCCGCGCCTTCTCGTGCCGGCCTTGTACCATTCGGAAGTGAGACAGTAGTTCCTGCCATTTGATGTCTTCACGACCAAGCTTTGATCGGGTCGATGAAATGCTGGCAACCGTTCTGTCGGCAGTGATGAGAAGTGAACACAGGTATGACTGTAGGCACTCACGATTTTGGGGCGATGTGAAGGAATCCTGCCGAGTTCACTGCGCTTAGTCGATTTCGTAACGAGACGAACGCGGAGCTTTGCGGCAATAGCATGAGCAATCCGTACAGGCACTTGAATAGGTGCGGATGTTTCTCTGGCTCCAGGAGCTGCAGTCGAAGATCTATGGTAATGTCGCGTTAGCCAGGTTCTGAGGCAAACATGATGGAGGAACGTGCATGTGAATACAGGTGATTCAATCAGCTGCACTAGCTTGTCTATCTGAACGAGCAATGGTACTGTGATCTCGAGGTCCGCACTGCGTTCGGAAATGGTGTCAATCAGACGGGGTCCACCGTCGAGACTCGATGTGACGTACAAGATGTAGAGGAGATTCGATGCGTGCTCATATGCTTGTGCGAGCAGACAAGAGAGAATGCTGCCACGGCGTTGTGACACCATGATCGATACAAGGTGGTAAACAGGCTTGACCGTCTTGCTACTGCTGGTCAGGACATTCGTAGGCCAAGGTGAAGCGGTCGACATACACGGGTTTCGAGGCTCTTCAATCGTCTGCGGAATTCCGCCAACTCAGGCGATGTGATGAGGATCATATTGAGCTTTTGAACCATGCCGCTCGCAAATTCGAGATCCTGAGAGACTACTCAGCAGGTGAAGCGCGCAAAGGGCTGATCGTTCGAACCTCTTCTTTTCAAGGATTTCCGCGAAAGTCCGGTAGATCCTCTCGGTGTTAAGGTTCAAACAGAGCTGGCGGATGATTAGACTGCCCCGAGCTTCCAACAATCCTCTGTCCGTGCTGAATAGGTCCAAGAGGTTGACCATGAAGGCTTTGAAGTAACTCTCATCAGAGCTTGACGATATCTGAGCGATCAGTTGAAGATCGCTCTTGACGACCTACGTACAAGACTCGTCATTTTCGACATGCAGTCTTAGAAGACAACGACAAACCTCTTCTGACGGATCTGAGAGCGTCTTCAGCAATGCCGGGAACGTGCCGTCGTCAATAGCGAGGATCTACAAAATACGTCAATACCACGACGCATACCACAACTCAAACCATACCTTCTTCGGTGCCTTCTGGTGCAGCATTATGAGCCACTTCAGAGCTGCCACTCGCGTATCCTCGTGCTCGCTGAGGAACTGAATGGTGAGCGCGTTCACGGTAGCCTGGTAGTCGAATCGGTCCGACTTCTCCTGCAGCAAGGACGCTTCCGGAGATGTCTGTACTTGAGGCACACTGATAGCCGAGATGGGAGAGGCAGGTCGGCTAGTCTGCACAGCGGGCTGTGCTGCCTCCGCGGCTAGAGCGACGCCGCTCTGCAAAGCATTCGTCCGAGTTCGTTGAGACGAGGCCGTAGGCGGCCTCTCGCCTACTGTGGCCGCTTCTGGTGGCGACGCTGTTTCTGGAGAAGTCAAGTCGCGGCTACGGTCGCGTCCTTGCCTGCAGTGGATTGGCGTGAAGGGCTAGAGTAGCGCAGTGGGAGTGGGTGAGCCGGGGGCTACTTGAGACGCAGAAGAGGACGATTTGTCTGTCCCTTGGCGAATTGGAGCGTCAATGGAGGAGGCAAGGACTGTATTACATTCAGTAGTGCCTTGTTTGTGCGAGAGCAGCGGATTGAATCATGGGTACGTGGTGAGATAGATTAGGCAAGACGACAGAGATGAGATGTGGAGTGAAGGGGACCATAACGTCTTGCACGATAGTAAGGAATTCGGTGAGCCACCTGAGTGCGGTGGACTGTTGGATTACATCATCTGATTGGTCATGAGCGTTGGACCAGGGGAGAAAGTTGAGGGCTTACGTTGGTCATCTAGCTGCTGCAATAGGATTTCGACTATTGCAGGGTAGTCAATCTTGACACCCTGACCAGGTACCCAATCTACTGCGATATTAGCGTAACCCATTATGGTGGTCATCGCAACTCACGGCCGACGTCCCGCCCCGCATGGTCAGGCTGCTTCTCATCTGGTGAGGCTAGAGAACTATCATCGAAAATTCCATCGTCGCCATCGAGGAATGGACCACCACGATCGGAACCGGATATTGTTATCTCTTGTGGCTTCTCAGTGTCGGTCCGACGAGCTTGTTCAGCGGCTTCGCGCTTTGTTTTGAACTGCTCTTCGTACTGTCGTTGCACGGTGGTCACATCCCGAATTTCCCGGAGGAAGTCAGCGAGCAAGTTCTCCGTCGCTATACGTACGTCCTCAGTGGGATCTGACAAGTACTTCCTACAGGGAAATGTGAGCATAGTCATCAGAGCAAGAGCAATGAGACATACAGTAGACCATCAAGGAACTCTGGTAGGTACGTGATCAATTCCAGTTCTGGGACTGAGTCGAGCACAGTGATCCAGGAAACCAGGTAGCTCCGTGTGAAGGGGCTCAAGACGTAAATCCGCTCCGACAGTAGCGGTATGAAGCGCGCAAGAGAGAACGCTTTACGTGCCCCATTGATATCCGCCCCGCTTGCAACATCGTCTGGGTGTGGCACCAAAATGTTCATGTCATTCCCTTCGTCGAGTGCTTTCCGCGCCTTCTCTGTCTCCGGGTAGTGGGGTATATAAACGGATGCTGTCTCGGCCACGATATCTTTGAGCAAGCGATCCAGCAATTCCGCACCATTCTTGACGGACAGTTCGGAATCTGCAGCAAGCTACATCGTGTTTCATATACATGATCTTTCTACGAACGGACAGACGAACCTTACTCAGAGCGTCAAATATGGGGTTGAAGTACACCAGTATCTCCCCCTTCGACACCTTGGCGATATTATAGAGACATTCCGCAGAGAAATATCGTACTCTGTTCTCGGGGTCCGCGAAGCACACGAGTAGAGGTTCGGTGAACTTCTCCATGTAGGGTGCAATATCCACGCCTAGGGCGATTGCAGTTCCAGCAAGGCCAATGAGTCCACCGTTCCGGACATGCAATGGATTGGTTGGGTTGTTGAACATGTCCACAAGCTGGTCGATGATTTGACCAATACGCCGATGGTCGCCCTGCTGATGACATTCTCGAATCTGCCTGCACAGTGATCAATTGGGAGGGACATTGTCACGGTTATCAGGACCACTCACTTCTCAAGCTCAAGTGCGGCAGCCTTCCGCTTCTCGTACATCTTGTCCACCAATTGCTTCGAAATACCGGACTCTGTCATGCACAGTAAGTAGGGCACGTCCCCTTGGTCAGATTAGTTACCCATACCCATGGCGGCCAGAAAGATGTCTTTGAGTGCCTTCTGGACGATGTCTGCCTTTCCCGGGCAGAATGAAGTGCATGAAGTAGCAGAGCAGAGCGCGACGCACACGGACTGCGAGCAGCGCGAGCCTGAGCGCGTCCCTCGAGTCCGCGACTGGCCACGTGAGCCAACTCTGCGTCACTCACCGGCGCATCCCTTCGCCTCTAGGCTCCCGAACCCATCCTTGTGTCAGTAGAATGGACGGCGACACTGAGGCGTATATTCTACTCCTGCTATCCGACAGCAATCTGCCGACAGGATCTTTTGTGGCATCGGCGGGTTTGGAATCCTATATAACCCACGGGTTCTTCTCGTCTCTCACCCAGTCACTGCACCCACGCGACAAGACGGATGCGACCATGGATTTCCTGCACGACAGCCTCAAGTCGTACGCAAGGAGTGCGCTCCCGTTCGTTTCCGATGCACACACTGTCATCCAAAGGCTGTTGGCCGATTCTCAAGACCCGTCGGAACAGTCGTTGGATACTGGCCTCAAGGCAATCATGGCTTTGGATGAGCTCTACGAGTCAATGACCCTCAATCATGTCGCCCGCCGCGCATCTAAATCACAAGGTGTCGCGCTCCTCACACTGTATTCGAAGGGGTTCTCAAGACCATCCACCCGGAGACAGCGTCATGTCCAAGCAGCCATGCCTCATTCCGCTGATAGCGAAACGTGTTGGGAGGCCCAGGCTGGAGTCTTTGTCGAGAGACTCAAGTTGCTCATAAGGCAGGAGAAGACTCATGGGCATCTCCCTATATGCTGGGGTGTCCTTACTGCTTGCCTGGGATTATCCCTTGGTATGTCCAGCCTTCTGTCCATAAGGCGCACGTCGAATTGATTGTACGCTCAGAACGGAGCCAATATCTTCACTTGTTCCTACATGCCCGCAGTCTACTGTCCGCTTCAGTGCGTCTCAACACCATAGGACCGTACGCCGCCCAGCAGCTCTTGCTACACGCTGTCAAACCCCTAGTCGAGGCAGAAGCCATGAAGAACAGAGATATACGGACGGGAATCGACCTGGATAGTGACGCTGGTCTCGGTGGGCAGACCACGCATGGGCCCGCAGTAACCTGGCCATTGGGCGAGATCCTGGCTGCGCGGCATGATCTCCAACATTCGCGGATTTTCAACAGCTGATGCAGCTACGAACGACGTACAACACGATTTCGCGTACACCTTGGTGGGCAAGAGATCACTGCAAGAGATAAATACACATATCTAAAGGACTATGTTGATGCGACTAGTGCAAGCCGTGCCGACACTTCCGCCTGCGAACGTACGAGACTGGCAAGGTACGACACCATGAGTGTATCCTATGGAGGGTGAGGTGAGTTCGATCAAGTGTAGATCTACAGGCATAGCTCCTTCGTACCTGCAAGCTTGAGTTGAACCCTCCTTTCTCCAGATCCTCCGTGCTCGTGCCTAGTGTATCCATGAGGTACCGCCCGACGGCAGCATCTCCCTTGACCTCGCCCGCGAGGACCGAGTGCACATACGAGAGGACCCGGTCAAGCATGTCCGCGACGGACTTGAGAGACTGTTCAAGGACCGCAAGGTCAGTTACGGGATGCGGGGTGGTGGAGTTGGGAGCGGTGGATGTTGTGGTCAACAGGTCGACTATCGGCCACATCAGCGTCACGCAAAGAACGCCTCAGTGTATGACTCACGGCCACTGCGCTCGGTATCGTGGAACCGTAGCTCGCATGGAATGGGAACGAAGACACAATTTTCGGGCTTAGGGTATACACCAACGGGTGACCTATGATTCGTCGCCGTTAATCGAGGGGTCCTGATTCGCCGTCACGGCGGGAGGATACGCACCCAATGTATGCTTTTATACCCGCCTTCTCTCCTTCCACTATACCCGTGTTTACTGCCAAGTGCACTACCTGGTGGGGTGCCGCCTCTTGCGCGTAGAAGTTATGGATGAGGGCAGAATATGTGTTGAGGTTCGACCCGGTGGAGTACCTGAAGCCAGAACTAAGTAACTATACCGACGACGCAATTGTATACGCACCATCCTACGATGACCTCTTTAGGGTTCACCTTGTGGTGCAGATCGTACATCGTTTTGAGGTAGTCCATGTCTACCGCGACTTGCTCCTCCGTTTCGCTGTGTAGGACGGCGAAAGAAGAGCGCACTTCGATTTCTCCATTGTCGGAGCGTTTTCCAAGGAGGGTGCCAATCACTCTCTCCTGTGACTCTGTACGGCGCAGGTAATGGTCGAGTATAGAGAACAGAGCCACCGGGTGGACCGTGACTGCAGTCGGTGACCGCCTAGCGAGACGCGATGAGGGAAGTTTTCGCGAAAGGCATGACTTTAAATCCTTACCCTGGTGTGGAGATAAAGCCAGGCGCGGTGTTTTGGATGTAGACTGCTGAGGAATCTGCAGCGAGAGGCATTTTGGTACCGTAGATCGCAAGCGAGGACAAGATCAGCCACAGCGCTTGACCTCCGTGAAAAGTCGTCGGCTATTCCCGACACGCCCTTTCCTCCGTGACACGCACACCCAAAATGCCCTCGGAAGAGACAAAGGTCTGCAGCTCCCTGCTTTGTGACACTGAAATGGTGCTGACGACAGAATGCTTAGGAAAGGATCATTAAGGCGGTAGAGCTTGGACGCGTAGGTTTTCCTTGGGTCAACGTTTGGTCTGGAGACAGTGTTAACGTCACATTCAGACCGTCGTCCACTATGGCTGGATTCCTTTCATCATCTACATTGGCTACACGAGGAGTAACCCGCAGCCATCACTGATCAAGTATGTGGTTCTGCTACCATTTCTTCCAGCGGTAGAGCTGACTCTCGCGCAGGTTGATTAGTCCCCTTGCATGATCCTGAGCCTACGTCTGTACACCTAATTCATTGTTTGTCCTCGCTATCTTTGCAAGCCGGATCATACGTCTGAGTGAAAACAAGCTCTTGGGAATGGTCGGCTACGATGCAAACGGTGAGCAATCTTTCTCTGCCGGCTGCGTTGATTATATGTTGTGGTGGCACCTCTGGTGCTCTGAACAACTCATGCACTCCATGAGGACCACGCGTCGTTGTAACCGTTCATTCGTGGACTGGTTTATATGACTGTGGTGTGTGAGGAATTCAACAAGGCCAGATATGAGCTCTTCCATCTGTGTCGTCACACTTCAAAGATGCACTTTCGACTCATGTCAATTGACCATCACGCAGGAAAACGTCGCACTATGGCAATGCGAAGGATAGCAGAGCAACGCACTGAGCGATAGCAAATTATGGACAGCAATAAAGTACGGTTGTCACAGGTATACTCTCCGGAGTTCCCCTGCCGTCGTAATACGTTTGCAGATAGGACAAAGTTTGGTCGCCCCAAGACACCGTAACCAGCACTCACGACAGCATGTATGCCAGCAACCCGTTGACACTGTAGGCTCCGTGTACGGATCAAGGCATATACGACATAGCAGGGAGGTTGACGATGAAACCCGCGTTGAGACCTGTACAATCCGATATTCAATTACTCGAGATTCAACGGTGAGTACGAGTCTACTCACCATCAGCTGGACTTTACTCTCCAGAGCCTTGATCAACGCAGCGTCATTCCTATCTCGTTTTGCGCGTTTAATGGCCTTCTCCACCTCTTCAGTTTCGCCGACCCCCATGACCTCGTCCATCGTTTGTTTCAAGTCGCCCACCGCCTGTACTTTCCGACGCACGAGCTTGCCGCTCGCGAGCAGATCTTGAAACGCCGCTTTGTTATCTCCTTCCCGCCTCGCGGGTGTATTCCCAGTATCGTCTTCAACATCGGACCCGGGACCTTCGTCATGATGTCCATTGGCAAGTGGGATGATATCGCTGTGTGTAAACTGTGCTGCGCCGAACAGGACATCGTCCTCTCCGTCGATATCGATGTCATCGTCGACATCTTGCTGGTTGCGGTCTCGAGTGTCGAAGCCCGTGCCTAGTGGAATAGACCGTTGGTCACGACCACGAGAGACAGATGAATGGCGACATACCTCGGAAACTCACACCGGCAGTCACGCTCTCAAGAACTCCTTCCCCGTCAATATCAACATCTATGTCACCATCGTCGTCTGGTGTACTCCTATGTGCCGCGTCTACTTCAAGGGCACTGGCATGTGCCAAGCAGGAGTCGACATGCGCTTCCACCACGTCCGTATCGCCCGTGATTACCCTCCCGCAGACAGGACAGACAGTCCCCTCTTCGTTGTCACCTCTCCTGCCAGTGTGGCGACCGCCCCACCATCGCGTCTCGTCCTCCTCGCGTGTCAGCTCTCGCAACTTCGCATGCCGTTGCTTGCGATGATTGCGAATGGTACGGACCGTCTTGTTGATCTGGTCAAGAGTCAATTCGGAGGTTGAGGCGAAGTTTGAGCTCGACGGTAGGCTGCTGAGGCTCTTGCGGGCCTTGACTGCCGAACGACGAGACCGACTGGTCATGCTATCTAGATGTCGGCAACCTGGACTTGCATCGCACCGCAAAATGGCAGACGCACCCATCGTCCGGCTCTGCATCCGCGAGAACATCGGTGGACCCTATCTGGTGTATGATCTCACTCACGCGCGCCATCTCGAGTTCGCAGTGTTTTCCAAGGAGTCGGATGGGAATGAGATCATGGCATATTGGGCAAGGTCTTGTCTCCGCACGTTTGGCTAGGCGAGTTGTCGGTCACAGTCTGAAGCTAACATGGGGATACTCACATCTCTTCGCCGGCATCTCTCCAGTAACCGCAGACTCTTTGTCGCTCCCTCCCTCACTCTCCCCTTTCACAGACAGTTCCCTCGCTCTTTTCTTTCCTTTGCTATGAGGATGTCTACTTAGCGCCCGGTTTCGAGCATACAGACTGGCATCATGGTGAACACTACGCACTTTGTGCTTCTAGCGGTCGGCACAATGACGAGCTTAGGCATTACTGATGCGTGTGCTGTGGTATGCGATCTCCGCCCACTGCTTGCCGAGGTGTTCAGTATACCGGCCAGGATGGATTCGTTCCAAGGTCGTTGGATGCAAGGGGTCGGCGCGCGCGAGCGCCCATCGTCGAGCGCGTCTGGCGACATCACGTGGGTGACGTGATACACCTTTCTCCGAGGTTCTCGGAACGACCTTCGAGATTGTCTCTCAGCGCAAGGTCTGTAGACTGTCTGTACTTAGCTCTTTCCCGTGAGTCCTCGTGGCACCTCCCAGCATCTGACTTTCCCCCGCATTGTCTGGGTCATGTCCATGGTTGCTGACAGAGTCATACCCCGGAATTAAGGATGCTGGTCCTCTGCGACGGCCCGCCCAGCTACAACAGCTGACCGATAGTCACAACTTCCAGTCTTGTGGAGGTAATCACACAACGGTATAAATCCTGCACGAACACAATGGCCCTTTAAACAGCGAAATGCGTGCGGCCGCTTCCTTGTTCGCAGCCCTCGTCGCTGTCGCATCGGCTTTGACCTATCGAGCGGCCGACATCTCTTCGCTCATCGTTGTCGAGGATTCTGGCGTCGAGTACTCTCAGAATGGTGTCGTCATACCCTTTGAGGACATTCTCGTCGCAAACGGGATGAACACAGCGCGCGTGCGGATCTGGACCGCCGGGCAGTACAACTTGACCTACGCGCTTGCAATGGGCAAACGTGTCAAGGATGCGGGATTGACACTTCACGTCGATCTTCACTACAGCGACACATGTAGGGTATCTTTCAAGCGAATGACGCCATGACTCACTACTACTCTCAGGGGCGGATCCTGGCCATCAAGCTATTCCATCCGCATGGCCAACAACACTGTCACGACTGAACACTCAGATATACGAGTAAGCCCTGGCACCGGCAGTCGTTCCCAGTCAGTGCAGCAGTGTTCTGACTGTATGGCAGCTATACGCAAAGCGTCGTACAAGCCTTCACGGATCAAGGGACGCCTGTTGACATACTCCAGGTCAGTCGTACACAGACCTCGAGCATCCGAGTCAGCCGCCTGACCTGTTGGTGCGTCCGTAGGTCGGAAATGAGATTAACAACGGGCTGCTATGGCCCGTCGGGGAGATTTCGGTTAATGGCTTCGATGGCCTTTCCCAGCTCCTGAACTCAGCCATCCACGGGGGTCTCTCAGCCGGTTCGCCCAAAATACTCGTCCATCTCGCGAATGGCTGGGATTGGTCCGACCTGAAATACTTCTGGGAAGGTGTCTTTGGTATCCAAGGCGCGCTGACACAGTCGGAGGTTGACATCATGGGTGTGTCGTTCTATCCGTTCTACGGCACGAATGCAACACTGGCGAACCTCTCGTCCTCGCTGACGAACCTGGTCAACGAGTTCGATAAGCCTGTCGTTGTCGCCGAGACCAACTGGCCGGCCGTTTGCTCCGGTGTGACGCTCAGCGAGCCCGAGATCCCCATCTCGGCTCAGGGACAAGAGGAATGGACCGGTGACATCAAGAGTGTCTTGAATGGCCTCCCCGACGGTCTGGGGCAGGGCATCTGTGAGGATCAGATCATGCTATTAAAGTGCTGAGTCTCATGCAACAACATAGATTATTGGGAGCCTGGATGGATTGGAAACGCTGCCCTTGGCTCGTCCTGTTCAGTAAGTGATCGCGTCAAGCTAAATACATAGCACGGCCACTTAGCTTGTTCATTAGGACAATCTGCTAGTGGATAGCTCTGGTGCAGTCAGGCAATCTATCGATATATTCGGTGACGACATGTAGACAACTTGGTCAGAACCCAGTGGCCGCGTCCTACAATGTTCTCAAGCGGTGATCCATATCTATGCTCGTCTTATACGGAAGGACAATCATTCGTTCAGTGGAGAGACCGCATCACACCGAGAAACGCATTCGAGGAAGAGCTGGAAGAAACCAGCCACCTGCTCTCTGTCAGCCTTGAACGTCAACAGAATTCATCGTACTCACATCTAGAGACTCCGCCACCATACAATTCTTCCCGTCACGCCCCCATGAATCGTCGCATGCCTGATAACTCCATATGTCCACTACTGTCTCGCCCGCAGTGTGCGTCCCGCTTAGTTCGACATCGACCCGGTACCTCTTGCACTTGAACATCTCTGGATTAGAGACATATGCGATGGTGAGTGCGTCATGCAGGGGTGGGCCGTGCATGAAGCCGAACGTGGACTTGTATGACTCTGCGAAGTACCAGATGAGCGTCCATAGCATGTGGCGTAGCTTCGTGGATGCTTTAGCTGGCGCGACATTGGGGGAGTATGGGGCATCGGGTGAGAGCAGTTTGTGAAGGGTTTCCTGTGTCACAATCGCTGTGTGGGTGACATTGAGAGGTATCATCGTCTTCTTCACTGGGACGTCGAGCACAATCTGAGCTGCTTCAGCTGTAGATGGATAACATGGGTCATCCATAGTTCACGCCCGCGGTGCATGCGCAGGGACTCACGATCGCACAATATGTTGAATTCTGACATCCGATAAGCACGATGACTCCTCGAACGGCTAGAGAACGTATGGACACGTACCAGCCGACGCAGAGCGATTACCGATGCCAACACCGCCACCCATGAAGACAAACTCCTCTAGTGCTCTTAACTATCGTTCCACGTATGTGCAGTGTGGATGAGGTTCCTCACCTATGCCGTTCAACAGCTCGGGAAATACGCTCACGAAGAGAGCTATGTTGGTCATCGGACCAGACGAGATAATCGTGACCTTGTCACCCGAGCCGTCCTTCCAGGTGTCCTCGACCGCCCTAGCAATGGCATCGATGGCCTTTGGTGGACGTCCTGGGTGCTTCAGCCGTTCTTGAACGGCCTTGTATGTGCCTGGTGGAAGTCCCTCCACACCTCCCAGTCCATCAATGCCGTGAATCTCGGGGTCATGTCTCGTCGGCCGAATCAAAGGCTTAGAAGCCCCTGGGTAGATCTTGATGTCCTGCGGAGCAGCAAAGGCGTAGAGACACCGCGCGGCGTTGTTGTTTGTATTTTCTGCGCTTGCATTGCCATGCACCTGTTGGTTTTTCAGCACCGCGGACTACCACGTCTGTGAGATACGAAAGCGAAATTCACCGTAGAAATGCCTAACAGTTTCACTCCTGGAGCATGGACTGCCAGCAGTATCGCGGTGGCGTCATCGTGCCCCTGTATACGCTCTGGTGAGTGAATGCATCATCTATGTCACATCACGCCTCACTGGATCACAGTCCAGCCAGACATTTCGGTATGCCATGATGGTAGCCAGAGCCCAGTGAGCGCGACGAATTCACCCCTCGTTGCACAACGTGGGCAAAAGATAAGACAATCACAGTAAGTTCGCGAGAACCGCTGTGGGGCGTCTGAGTCTATATCCAGCCAATGGCCGAGCTAACGAAGTACTGTACCCACACAACTTACTACTACCAACCACCACCGTGACGTCGGACCTATACTGCGCAATCAACGCACACCCAGAGGCTCCCTGCTCGGGCAGCTGTTTACTTGAAGATTTAGCTCGTGCTCTCTCTCGTCCGATTAACCTGGTAAATACATATGTAAGTTCTTACCAAACGCGACTCGCCACTTCGTCCAATAGCTATTAACCCGATCATTGTTACAGACCCTAGATAAACTGGAGCCAGACAACCGATTGCGAACGACCGATTTCCTCGCATCGATGCACGCTCCGTACGGACGGTGACGATGCCTCGTTGTCGCCACCTTCGTCTGTACCGATCGAACGACGTATCACACCCTCAGCATGGTGATTCCTGTGCATCGTTCAATGGCTGAACGGGAGACAAAACTGAGACCTGAGACGCGTGTGTGCAAACGGGCTCACTCACGCGTGCAATGTTGAGAGTTCACTCAGTACCTCCCGAAGGTGACTATGCCACGGGCAGACCATGGCTGTAATATGTCACGGAACTCGTCCACATTCGAGTTGGCCTGAGGGGTACGTATACCGAAAACGTTCATCTTCACCTCGACATCCTTCAATGCGTCGAAGTATGGCTGGCTCATGACCTTGTGCAGGTCCCGCAGGTCGAGCTTCTCGTGGACGTCGCTAGACTGCCCAGACCCGAGAGTGCTGCCATCGAGGCGAACGTCAACGTGGACCTCGATGTGCTCGAGCTGACGGCTTCGAATGGTGGAGAAGATGCCATGTAGCTCGTCCGCTGCTTTGATCCATACCGCGCGACGCCCTTGGTCTTCGGCCTTGTGTCTGCTGATTATCAGCTGGAATTGCAAGGATCGCAAGGCGGTGTTTTGCAACAGATTTCCGTGACGACCTAAATTGTGCATGTACATCAAAGACAAAGTCTATTAAGCAAGGCAAAGGGACTCTTACGGTCATGACCATTGCCACGGTATCCCTCACAGTAACGGGTCAACGATGCCCCTGCCACTTCGAGAAGTTTGCTAGGGAGAGTCCGCGATATGGGACGATCATTGAACAGGATTTCCAGATCCGCAAGTGAGGCGCAGAAGCCTGAGCGCGTCATCCAGTCAAGGAACGTCGCCATGAGCTCATTGTCCACGTTGACGGCAAGATGTCGAAGACGCGTGTGAGATGGTGGCTGAAATAGTGAGGCTCCCGCGTCACCGACCGAACCTTGTTGAGTGAACGCAACGTTATCCATCGTGAGGTCTGTAAGCTGGGGGAAGGCAGACACAATCCGCCGTAGCTGCGAGATGTTGTTAAGTTGACAAAATCCGAGCGTCAATGACTTGACAGACTCGAACTTCGACAGGGCGAGGAAAAAGTCTGTGCGAATGAAACGAAGACTTCCGTATCGGATGTGAAGGGTTTGTACACGAGGCATCAGACTAGCGAGCCCGGACGGTAGTGCGTGAAGGAAGCGATTGTCATTTTTGTTCTTCTTTCGACGCTGCGTGGATGCCATCATCCCCCATTTGCTCTAATGTTTGTCCTGGTGCTCAGGGATGTCCTTTTACACACGTCGGAGTAAGCACCCACCTCATCTACCACCAGTTTGCATGTACCTGCGAGCCACTGCTTGACGCGTGGTGACGCGCGACACTGCTTGAACAGCATGTTGAATGTCTTCCGGCCGCGAATCTCGAGATTGTAGTAGAGGTTGCGCATCGCTCGAGGGTACCATGCCGCGCAGACCAGCGCGACGGCGACCAACGTGGGCTGATGCTCGATCGCATCCATGACGAGTTCGAAGACCTCGAGCGGGACGCGAGCAGAGAGGGCCAGCGGCAAGGTGCCTTGGAAACGTGCACTCCGCCACTTACGGGAGCTCTGTTCATCGTCGCTGATCTCCTCGTCGCCGAATTCCTCGTCGCTCTGTTCATCGGCAATCTGTCCACAGGCAGTCAATTCGTCGTCACCCAATACGTCGTCATTCTGTTCGTCGGCACCGGTGAGCGGAGGAGTGATGCGGATGGGGGCGCAAGCAGCGAGGGGGCCTGGAGCAGCCACTGAGGCCATGTACTTATGCAGGAGGTAGTGAATGGGCGCTTTCAAGTTGTTGTCGAGCAGGAGTCGATCGGTGCCGGGTGCCCACCAATCGCGATCTGGATCTGGTGAGCGTGAGATGCCATCTGAAACGGCGCTTCTGACTGCTTAGTCAGCCAATTTTGCATCCTTGCTCTCCGGTGCGTCTTCCCAGTTGCTCATCTCGCTCGGGCTGTCTGCCGACAATGGAACCTCACTCCCGTTTGTCCCAGTTCAACGTCAGGCAGCCAAGGGCCGGGCCAGTTACCTCGAACCTCCGCTACATGGAGTCGCAGCAAAAGCCCGTTGACCCTCTGGAGAACTTCAAGAAGCGTCCAGACGCACCGTCCCGGAGGTCGTCCTCATCGTCCCTATACGTCTCGAGGCCTATCGCAACAAACTCTCGGGTAAAACAGGGTACGTTTTTATACTTATGCTTGCGACATAGGAAATTCATTGCCGTGCAGATGAACAGTATAGGCAGCGTGGTTACCTCGTGTTCGTGAACAACGCCCTACAGCAGAAGAAGAATGTGAGCCACATAGCCTGTTTGTGCGCATTTCTGACATAGAAGCAGGGCACTAGTGAATCATTTGATGAACTGGTCGACCAGTTCAACCCAAAGAAGAGTACGGTGGACGCATCCTCGCCCCTGCCTCAACTCCGGACTGGATCCTTGCACTGTCACACGCTGTCTCTCGACTTGAGCGTTGCCACTCTGCCCTTGTGGAAGCAATCGTAAATATGCCATGGACGGTCATGGACACTACGTTTGTGAAGTCGTACACCGCCTTCATCGGCATGCTTGTCAGTGCACGCCCCGAGTATCTGTCCCTCGTGCTTGGAAAAACTGCGCACGGTTTCACCTACCGTGCGTACTTCCTTCCAGGATCCCAGGCATTTGTTTGACGGCCTCATAGAGTCTGGCCTACAAGCCCTGGATTCAAGGTTGCCCTCGACGTCTACACGCCCACTCACACGCGAGTCGTATATGATCGAATACATTATCTGCTGCAGCACATTACTCTCTCATCCCCACACTCCCGTCAACGTTGCATCCTTGTTGGTGCGCAGCTTCCCGCATAAGCGGCAGAGCCAAGCTGCTCAGATCACATACATCCGCAATATGCTCAAAGTAACGGATTATTGCCCGGAGCTGCGGAGGGTGTCTTGGGGACGATAGTTGACCGGGCTATACAAATCGATGTGCGTCTCTCTTGTCAAACATGTAGTGCTAGCGTCTCAACTGAGCACCGCAGGTTGAGATCCAAGTGGAACTCGAAGAGCTCGAGGAGAGGCTGCAGAGGAGGATCAGCAAGGCGTCTTCGAGCTAGACCCATTCGATACCGTAATGGTCAAGGAGAGGAGTCTGACGATGAAGACGACGAGGATGGCGATGGTGACAATCTGAGCGACCTGTCATCTGATGCAGGGGGGATGTCGACGACGACGCGAATCAAGTCGAGGACGTCCCGACCGACTTCAACATGTTCAAGGATGGTCGACAAGCTAGATGCATCTTGAAGAACTTATTGACCACTTCAGCCAGTACACGCCGAACTCCTGCCCTTCACCTGTCAACGCCTGGCACACCATCGTCTCGCTCCGACTCACCATTGACTCCTCTGGAACCCTTCCGTCCGCCATCACCTACTGTTTTCGAAGAGGGCGAATATTGCGCCGTCAGCAGTTCCATATGCTCCTCTCTATTTTCGATCGCACCATCCTTCGCACCTTCAAGTCTCGTTACACGCAGTTCCTGGTCTTTTGGTACTCTTCGCTCGATCCCGAGTTCAGCGACCTTTTCCAAGGCATGCTGGTCTCAAAATCGCTTCTGGAAGAGGACCAGCCAGCAGTCACCCGCGCTGCAGCGGCAAGCTACATCGCAAGCTTTGTCAGCCGCGCGCAGTTCGTTGACCGGGAAAGTGCTCGAAGGGTAGTCGCGTGCCTATGCAACTTCTTGCGGAGTAGGCTCGACATCTTCGACGCGGTCAATACTGCAGGCGCAGCGCCACCGAGTATGGCACATCATAGCATATTCTACGCTGTGGCACAGGCTGTGTTCTGATCTTCTGTTTCCGGTGGAGAGATCTCCTTGAGGATCACGAAGACATGGACGAATTCACATCGGCAGCGAGCGGACCCGCGAAGAAGTGGATGGCGGAGCTGAGAATCCTGCAGCGAGTCATACAATCAGAGCTGAACCCTCTCAAGTATGTGTGGGCGTGTTATTAAATGCAGAGGGCTGAGGCTGAACGTGCTTTGCAGGTCTGTTCTTCAAACGTCGTGATGCAGTTCGCTCGTGTCGCACACGCCACGGACTTCCTCTACTGCTACACCATCATGGAGTCGAATCGTCGATCTGATTATGCGCCTCAGCCTCCCACCCCAGGAGTTCACGGTGCACCGAGCTCCAAGCGCTCTACTATGCATCCAGCCATGCTCGGCCACTCGATGACGACGGAGCTCAACACATTCTTCCCGTTCGACCCATACAAGCTACCCCGGTCCAGATCTTATATACAGGGTGTTTACCGGGAGTGGTCTGCCGTGGCTATCGACGATGGTGAAGATGAAGACGACGAGGATGGAGATGACGAAGAGGAAGACGAACATGCAGCCGAGGATCGTAGATTTGACGGGGTCTCCATGGTAGGAGGGAAGGCTGCTGCTGGTGAGGTGGACGAAGCAGACGGTTTGGGAGAGTCATTTGGGGGAATGAGCATCAGCCCGTATAGACCAGGGAGTATGGCCATGAGCATATCGGTATCGTAGACAGTCTCGGCCTGTGTCGCCTCTGCATTGTCCTGTTGTCATTGTCAGCATTGCTTTCTGGATCACACTATTGCACCGGGTTATATGTAGGAGGAGAGCGAGTGGGACTCGGATTCTGCATTTCATGAGGCTCATTCATGGTTACGCTGCGGTACAGTCGATCCAAAGGCGGACAGAGATGAAACGAAACTGGATCGGCTTTGGTCAACAGCATCACGAGACCCGTTTCGTTGCGGGGAAGATCAGCTCCGGATCAGCTGCAGCCTGAGCATTGCGCGCAACGCGACCCAAACGCGACCACTTCGAGGCCGTGGATAGCTTCACTGCGGTCGAGCTACTCAGCCTCTGTTTTTCCCCTCGACCTCCGTTATTAACATCTGAGCGACACCTTGATCAATCCCTACACAGGCACTCGTTCTTCTACACATCCTCGTTTAATCCACGCTTCGGCGCACCCTGGGAGCCAGAAGCATACATTCACAGCCCAGCCCAGAACCTTGGTCCTCATTCCGCGCGTATGCACTCTTGCGGTCTCAGCAGAGGCCTTTACCAAGCAACATGCCTGATGATGCGCTGATCGTTCCTGCTGTTTTGCCCTCTGGATCACTACACTTTGCGACTGTCGGAGCGTCTGCAACTGTCCAGGAAGTAACGGGCGTTCTCCTTCAAGACCCACAAGTCGGCCGCGAAGTGCTCGGAGACCTGGAGGATTTTGGCTGGGCGTTGCAGAAGATACGTAGCGAGCGCAATGGTCGGCAGTGGACAGAGGAAGAGTTGGAGGAGCTAGGAAACGGTGAGGTCAGTTCAATGTTATGGTGTGGCTTCGGCTGAGCCTGGCTGTTCCAGGGATTGTGCCTCCTTCGGACCTTGTGGCTCCTTTGCTTGATGCGCCTTCCCCTCACCCGCGCTCCGAACGGCACTTCTCAGCGTTCCCGCTAACATCGCATTTACACACTCCGGTGCTACGGCTGGTATCCCTTCATCCCTTCCTCGCACTCATATGCACTTTCCTACGCGTCCCTGAGATACATGACGGCTTCCAGTGGAAGCTATTCCTCTCGAGAACCATGACGGTTCGAGAGGCGTTGACCAAGTGGTCGAACAGCTAGGGCTCATGAAAGCACTTCCGATTCCGGGAGGTGGTACCCTGGACTATGTACTGGAGGAGGTATGGGCTCAAGAGGACGCGGAAAGTGAGCACTATTCCCAATGCTCTACTAGTCGCTGAATGGACACATGTCATAGAATCATCCAGGCTGCCATTTACGAGTACATTATCGAGCATCCTAGAATCACCCTCTAGCCCAACCCTTTCGTCTCATCTCCGTCTACCGCGTCTCGCAGTTTCCGTTTCTGTGTCCCAGACGAGTGGTATCGCAGGTCGAAGAGCAGACAAGTATCTACCACATCAACCGAACCCTCAGAGGATACTATCAGACGGCTCGCTGACCTCGAGGAAGCCGAAGAGAGCGATGAAGCAGAAGGAACAGCGAAACAGAAAGAACTTGCACAACCGGAGGCACCGGCAAGCCCGAATTCTAGTATGACCGCTGACTGGCGTGCGTCGATCTCGCAAAACAGGTTTTCTAGCATATTTGATGGCTGGATGCGACCGACTAGTCCCGAGGCTCATATCGGGACAATAGCCGCGAAAGAGAAGACTGTCAGCGAACCCAAGCTGGTCGAACAACATACTGGCGGGACTATAGTAGGCAATGCCTTCGAGATGGAAGACCAGGAAACGAATGGTTTTGATGAACGCGAGTTTGAACATGTACTCGTAAGTTGACGTAGGTTGCGAGTACTGGACCGCAAGAACTGATTTTGTGGTATAGGACGAACTAGGGTTCAAGGGGGCTAAGCGGGAGCCCATGTACCAACTTCCGCTGGAGAAGAAGCAGATTCTACTTCGCAATCAAGCTGTATCTCGCAGTTCGACCATGTCACGAGCTGCTGGTGCAAGGCAGACCGCTATGCATACCGCACTGCCATCCACATACGGACCCGCCAGTGCAGCAGCATTTCTACCACGCCTAGTCCCTCAACTGACAGGCGATTCGGGCTTCATGAAGCGCCTCTCCATTGCTACTGGGGAAGTGCCGGGTCCCCTACGTCGAGTCCTGATCTGCGTGCAAGCGGCGACTTCAGTCACAGACGGCGAGACTCAGCTGGTTCCGCGAAGTCGCAAGCCGATAGTATAACGACGGCGACACTACAGCCGCAGTCCACAGGCGGTCTCTGGAGTAGTTGGTGGACGTCATCGGGCGGGGAGAAGGGAGCTGTCTCCGGAGCAAAGGAGATAGAGAAGACTCCGAAGTGGTATGCTGACGGCATTCGCAGCGGGAGGGCTACGGACATGAAGCTCGTGAAGCACCTCATCTCCCTCCGCGTGCACCTCTCCACTGCGAGTCTGGTTTGGGTAGAGGAGTTTGTTGGTGAGGAAAATGGTATGGACGCTATTGGAAAGCTGCTGGGTGGGCTTGTGAGCAAGGGCGGGAAGCGGAAGAAGCTGACCGAGATCGAGGAGACTGTACTGTTGGAAATCATCAAGTGCCTGCGGGTCTTGCTGAATACTGAGGTAAATCCAATTTGTCACTATGAACCAGCGTTGCTCATTATGGTTCACAGCCCGGTTTCAGCGAAGTGCTCAGATCACCGACGCTTATAACCCATATCGCCTACTCACTCCACGGCTCCTCTATTCGACTTCGAACGCTGACTTCCGAGGTCCTGGCGGCAATATGCGTTCTCTCGCTGACCGAAGGCCACAAGGCAGTCTTGGCTGCCATGTCGGATTACAGAGTGGAGTTTGAGGAGGCGTTCCGCTTCCAGGAGCTCATTGCTTCGCTTCGTTTGCCAGAGATCACAGACGACGGGACGATCACGAACGAGTTCGGCTACACCAACGAGGAGGATGGTGTATGGGAAGCTCGGACCGCATCCATGGCCCTGATCAATGCTCTGACCAACTGTCCTGACGCTCTGGAGGATCGTATACTCCTTAGAGAAGAGTTTGGTCGACGCGGGTTGAATGAAGTGATTGTGGTATGTGTTTCAGGATAATGCACTCGACGCCTTGTATAACTTGCTCGTTAGACACTACGGTACATTAAACCTCCAGATTCCTTGGTCACCCAGCTCGACGTATATACCGAGGAGAAGTTCGAAGACGAGGAGGACATGCGGGAGCGCGCACGTAATCTCGTAGGCGATGACCATCCACATTCACTTCTGAGCCAGTGGTCGAACACTTGCTACACGCGGCACGGGATGATCAGACACTCTATGCGACTGTCCTGCAGATCTTGAGTGCTTTGAGTTCGCTCGTGGAGAGGGATCTCGATAGGTGAGCTCTTCGCTTAGTTGTTTGTGTGTATGACAGCTGACATCCCAGTCAACTGAAGGGCGATTTGCTCATCACTGTTGACAAGTTGCTGAGGAGTAGCGACTCTGAGTGACCTGTATGCACATATTGCGCTCACCGTGACTTCATACTGATTCCGTTCCTAGCGAAGGTAGCTGGATACCATGTTTAAACAGTTCATTGCATCTGTTCAGCACGTAACCGGTCAATTCTGGAGGTCAGAGCACCTCTTGAAGGACACGAATCCATCCTGTCGAGGAGCTGGAGTCGCTTCGTGCTGGAGTCGATTCGTTGAGTCAAGAGGTAATACTCTCGTCCTCGGCGGACTAATGGCTGGCTGAGATTAACCCTCAGAGGAGCGAGCTGCGGAACCAGATGCTGAGCATGCTGCTGAGATCAAGACCCTAAGAGCTCTCAGTTCAGGTCCAGCGGCTGGCGTGCGTGGCGGTAGTAGCCTGGCTACCGAGGTATGGCATCCTGAAACCGTCTCATTCCTCCAGCTCATCCCTTGTAGTCGAAGCAGAGCTTCCATGGCGTCGTACAACGTCTTGTCCAGAAGGAGAAAGAAGCCTCGCAACTCCAGGCCGAATTGGAGAGGTTGAAAGCCCAGAATCCTAGTGAAGGTCGAGACGCAGTGGGTGTTCACTCGTTCCAATCAGGTTCATGGTCTAATGGTCTAAACGAATGAGCAGGACGAGCGCGCCAAACGTGAGCGTGACCGAGTCAAATGGAACGCTCTAATGGAGGAAATCGCGAAACTCAAGATACAGGTGCGTCGTAAAGCATCCAAACCATGCTAGCAATATCACTGATTCCTCGCAGAACGGCGAGCTTGAAGTCTCGTTAGGTATGAAGGGCAAGGAGATCGTTTATTTGAAGCGTGCCCTCGAATCCGTATACTCTCGTTTTCGCTCACGAGAAGAGACGAGAGAGGAGTCAAAGGAAGCTGAAATCGACGCGGAGATGATGGCTACGCGTGCGATTGCCAGCCTGACGGAAAAGGATGAGGAGATTTTCACTTTACGGACCAAGATACAAGAATTGGAAACCCTGCTTGCGGCCAAACCGAAGTACATCACGGAATCGACCTTCAAGCGACAGGTCGCTCCGCCGCCACCGCCCCCTGGGCCACCCAAGACTTGGTCGGTTGCTGCCACTTCGAATGGCATCCCAGGTCTACCTGCTGTTGCTGCGCCTCCTCCCCCACCTCCTCCCCCGCCCCCTCCACGTTCTGATCCCCAGCGTTAACTTCTTCCGTCGCAGAGACGATGCCGACAACCTTCGCGTCGACGCCACCGCCGCCGCCGCCGCCACCACCACCACCACCACCACCGGCTAGCCCACCAGGACTCGTCAATGGGCACGAATCCACTGTCCTGCAGCCACCACCACCACCGCCACCACCGCCGCCACCACCAACCTCTCCTGCATCTGGTGCTCCTGCATCGTTCTCGCCGCCTGCCCCTCCGCCGCCGCCGCCACCTCCACCAAGTGCTGCACCACCACCTCCCGGTCCTCCACCACCGCCCGGTCCCCCGCCGCCACCATCAGCCTACAGGCGTCCGCTCCAAGTGAACAAACCGGCGAAGCGTCTCAAACCGTTCTTCTGGAACAAGCTCTCCGCTCCCGTACTGGGGTCTACGGTATGGACACAGATACAGTCGGATGCGCCATTCGACCTCGCGGATCTGGAGGCGACTTTCGCTATTGACAATTCGCCTGCGAGCCCGTCGCAGATGTCAGTGACGTCGCCGCGGAAGCAGTCGGTGACGACGCTGTTGGATATTACTCGGGCGAACAATGTCGGTGAGCGACTATTTTGCTGGGATTGACCACTGACTATTGTCTGACGTGTCGTGTATAGCCATCATGTTGTCTGGCATCAAGAGGGAGCTGCCTGATATTCGTCTTGCCCTCCTCACGCTTGATGATAGCAAGTTGTCGATTGATGACCTGAGGGCCATCGGTCGACAATTGCCAACGACTGAAGAGGTATTTGTAAACATCTGGCGTACGACATCAGGTCTGACGACACGATCACGGTAGGTCGCCAGGCTGAGAGATTTCGGCGATGTCACCAAGCTGGCTAAGGCGGATCAGTACTTCTACCAGGTCAGATTATACTGAACCCGACGGATCGCCTCTGTTGATTGACTGGCACCTCTTAGATCATGTCGATACCGAGGTTGTCGCAGCGATTGGATTGTATGCTCTACCGACAGAAGTTGGAACTGGAGATCGAAGAGATCCGGCCCGAGCTCAACATCGTTCGGAATGCATCCCACGAACTACGCTCGTCCTCTAGGTTCAAGACCGTCCTCCAGGTAAAGGAGATATAGGTGCCCGCGATTCTTCACTAAAGCATTGATCTTCTAAGGCTGTTCTCGCTGTCGGTAATGCCTTGAATGGGTCGACATTCCGAGGTGGCGCGAGAGGCTTCCAACTAGAGGCGTTGTCAAAGGTGGGCTTGAAATCTTACGTAGATGTTGCACCCGACTAATTGAGAGTAGATGAAAGAGACGAGGACAGCTAAGGGCGGCTCTGACTGTCCGACGCTCTTACATTATTTGGCGAAGGTGCTACTGAGGAGCGATGCGAATCTTGTTCTCTTCGTTGAAGACATGCCCCATCTGGAAGCCGCGGCGCGAGGTAACAACATGCGTCGTCCTCAGTTCCGACGATTACTTACGCTCGTCGGCTCTTCTCAGTGTCGGTGCAGACGCTCAGCGCTTCCGTGCAATCCCTGGTAGAAGGCATGAAGCGTGTCACTGAAGAGATACGCGCGATGCAGGGCACGCCTCAGGCACCTGGCGACAGGTTTGTTGCAGTAATGCAGGTGCGCAACTCTTCCTCTGCTCTGCTCTCATCGGCGAAATTAACCCCGGTATTTTAGCCTTTCGTGAAGACAGGTGCCCTAGTGTGAACGCGTTGAAGAACATGGCTGTGGCCTTGGACAACGAACTCCGCTCGCTTCTTGCGTTCTATGGGGAGAATCCTGATGCCCAAGACACGCCGAAGCCGGAAGAGTTCTTTGGTCTCATTCTATCATTCTCATCTTCATTGCAGGTGATGTGCCCTTATTGTCGTCAAGTGTTCTCCTTCTCACTTGCATTGTAGAAAGCGGCTCTGGACGTGCACGATGCAGATGAGAAGACCAGGGAAGCTGCGCCGAAGGTCTCGCCCCAGGAACATCCTCGTAGTGAATCTGAGTCGGTAAGACGAGCTCTCTTCACCGATCGTCACAACGCTGAATGGATGTACAGACCATCAAGCAGGATATCACTCCGTCCGCTTCACCTGCATTGCTGGCACCTCCGAGCTCTCAAGGCCGTGCAGGAGGTCGATCTATCGGTCGCGGCGATTTCGATCAGGCATCTTACCGTGCGGACAGGCCGGCTGCGCCCACGGACACAGAAACAGCCGGTCAGCAAGATATTTTTCGATGGTGCACGGACAAGCCGCGTTTTTGACTGAAGTTGTGATCTCATTTTGTGCTTTATTTCACTAATATTTGCTTGTATCAGCAAGTACTGTACTTCTATGTATGTTGTGACAGTTGTTCGAACAGTAGTTACAATCACACGGAACTGGACTCTCGGGATGTTCGGAATGAAGTACACAGCGTTCATTATGTGCGGATCTCCTGGTGCGACTCGGCCAGCCAGTGCCTCGACTCGGACTGCGGGTGAGAGTGGCGGCGTTCCGCGCCAACCCGATCGACAAGCCCGATCTTCACGGAGTGCATTTCACGTGTTCCTGGACCGCCTGTCACGCAGCGTCGGCCGACCCTTCGCGACATCTTGATCCTCGTAGGGAGCTGGTCCTCGCAGGGGCTCCGTAAACACTCCAGGCTCATCCTATAATTGGGCTGACCGCGAACTAGGCTCGTAGCAAGATGCGGCTCGTGTTCAGTCTACGGCCATACATCGCCTCCTCCCAACACCGACTGACTGCTCTGCCGTACCGCCGCCTCGCTGTTCGTTCTATCGTTCACCGGTCGATCGCTCACAGAAGACGGCTCAATTCCTCATTAGCAGCCGATCGGACAGCCGAGAGGCAGGGCCTCGACGGGCGCGAAGCCTCCATTCTACAGGCGAAGTACGCACCGCAGTCGCAATCGGAGCAAGGTGGTGTCCATATCGGGTGGCAGGAGTGAGAGGGACATCTCACGCTTACAGCAACATCATCACCCCTAGCGAGATACCACAAGCTCGTCGACTCCGGTGTCCTGCGATACGACGCACATCAGGAGAGGATCATCGGGAAGTTGCAGAAGCTCCATGACGAGGTCGCGACCTACCAACCACCACCGTCCCTCATGAGCAGCCGCGTCCATCTTTGGTCAGTCGCAGTCCTCGCCGTGCAATCCAATATCACTTACAGTCTCCAGTTTGCTCGCTTCCTCCGCCGGTCAGAGCACGAGCACAGCGCAGCGTCAACCGAGAACAGACCAAAGGGCCTGTACCTCTATGGCGATGTCGGGACTGGCAAGACCATGCTCATGGACCTCTTCTACGAGGCATCCCGCCACATATCAAGCGCAAGCGGCGAGTGCACTTCCACGCCTTCATGATCGACGTGCACAAGCGGTGCACGCAACGAAGGCGAAGCTCGGGTACCAGGGAGGCGACATTATTGGCCCTGTTGCACGGGAGCTTGCGAGCGAGGCATACATCCTCTGCTTTGATGAGTTCCAGGTACGCAATGTCACAGATGTCGGGGGACAGGGAACTCAAACGGCTCCTTAGGTGACCGATATCGCGGACGCGATGATCTTAAGGCAGCTGTTCGAGCGCCTGCTGAACCATGGTGTCATCTGCGTCATTACCTCCAAGTGGGTTATGCCGGTTCGTATGTACCATGACGCTGATTTGGTTGTTCAGTCGACATCCAGATGAGCTATATAAGAATGGGATCCAACGATCAAGCTTCGTTCCTTGTATTGAGCTTCTGAAGACCCAGTTCGACGTCACGGACCTCGACTCCGGCACAGGTGAACCTCGAAATACTCCCATGCGCCCGGCGATCACTGACGAACTCACAGACTACCGGCGGATACCCCGCACGCTCTCCCATGTGTACTACGACCCGCTCACGCCCGAGAACGAAGCCGAAGTCGAGAAGATCTTCAAGGCACTCACCTCCGACCCGTCCGACCCCGTGCAGCACAACCGCAAGCTCACGACGTGGGGCCGCACTATCACCGTGCCGGAGAGCTCGAGCACGGTGGCGAAGTTTCGCTTCGACGAGCTGTGCGGGATGCCGTTGAGCGCGGCGGACTATCTGGAGATCGTGAAGAACTTCAAGACGATATTCATTCTGGACGTGCCAAAGATGGGTATGAGCCAGAAGGACAAGGCGAGGAGGTTCATCACCTTCATTGATGGTATGCGGTCCCCTGCCCCTGCCCGTCAAGTGACAGCGTTGATGAAGGGTACATTGTAGCTTGTTACGAGAGCAAGGCCAAGATTTTCGTTACTTCCGAGGTACCAATCGCTCAAATATTCACGGAAGACGCGAACGATGCTAGCGGAGCTGTGTCGGACCAGATGCGGCAGATGATGGATGATCTCGTGAGTGCATAGCTAGGAAACGTCAGCGGAGCCTCGGGCTGAACACGCACTTATCGCAGGGTTGCCAGGCGACATGGTCATCTCAAGCTCGATCTTCAGCGGAGACGAGGAGCTGTTTGCCTTTGCGCGGTGTTGCTCTCGGCTTGTGCAGATGGGCAGCAAGGAGTGGGCGGAGACGGCGGGTGCATCATAGCGAGACGCGGCTCGCATCCTGTATACTGACACGCAGGCCATCTTGTTTAGTGCTTATACTTGCTGTATCTTAGAACTCTAGCTATGTATAGCTACTCGCGTCTCATATAATCTGACACTGACAGAGGAGCGTCTGTGCTCACCGCTCCGTACCTTGACTGCGCATTTTTCAAGATCTCATCCTTATCTCCCGTCTGCCATGTCCGCAACTGCCTTTCGTCCTGCGCTCCTCATCGTGGATGTCCAAGAGGACTTTTGCCCACGCGTACAAACATTCTCTATGACTCCAGCAATCTGACGTACTGACGCCGAGTCTGCGCTCAGAACGGTGCTCTCGCTGTTCCCGATGGGCGGGCGGTCGTCCCCGTTATCAACGACCTCCTCGCCCTCCCCTTCGTCCTCAAAATCGCGACGAAGGACCACCACCCGCCGAACCACGTCAGCTTCGCGTCGAACCACGGGCCCGACGCGGAGCCGTACACGTCCGTCACCACGATCACGAACCCCGCGAACGCGCGCGAGACGTACGAGACGCAGCTGTGGCCGGACCACTGTGTCGCGGGCACGCCGGGGAACGCGCTCGTGCGCGAGCTCGCCGCGGACAGGCTCGACCGCGTCGTGCTGAAGGGCACGGATCCGCGCGTGGAGATGTACTCTGCGTTCCGGAGCCCGCTGCGCGACCCGCCGCTCGCGTCGGCGGTGAGCGAGCTGGCGGATCTGCTGAGGGGGCATGAGGTGACGGAGGTGTTTGTGACGGGGCTGGCGGGGGACTACTGCGTGTTCCATAGTGCGGTGGATTGTGCGGAGGAGGGGTGGAAGACGTATGTGGTTGAGGAGGCGACGAGGAGCGTTGGCGGGCAGGAGGGCTGGGAGAAGGCTGCTGCGCAGTTGAAGGAGAAGGGGGTGGGCATCGTGCGGGCGGATGGAGAGGAGGTCGGTCGCGTGCGTGAGCTGTCGGGCAGCGCGTGAGGCTTGCTGTGAACTTGAAGGTGCGTCGTCGAATTTGTGAAAGCACCGAGAGACTCAAGTACTTGAAGCTCTCAGGTCAGCTCACACGTGAAGGTCGCTGTGGGAGCACCGAGGCATCCTGTACTGTATGTGTACTATAGGGCATGAGGCCCATATAAGAGACAAACTCTGGCTCTATTGTTCGTTGTGCGGGGTACTGTGGAGAACAATACTCTCCTCGCTCGGTGGCTGCCGCGATCGAACTAGGCGATGGGTGCATACCGTGATAAGCGTCTTCTTCTGCGCGTGCAGGCATGCATATATAGCAGCGTGCAGGGCTTGACCGCCACCGACCTCGCCCATCGACTTGACACCGCACTCTCGCAATGGCGCTGGCTATGCACCTGATGCACCTGGTGCAAATGGGCCTCGTTCCCGAGGACTATGGTATCGACTCGCAGTCGGTAAACTTCGAAGACATGATCAACCTCGCCGCCGACCTAGGCGCCACCCCGGAGACCATCGGCGACGTTCTGGCTGAAATGAGCACCAAATTCAACCCGCCCACTGATGGCACGACCGACGAAGAGGACAGCAAGTACGTGGAAGGCAACGGCGGGCTGCTCCGGCTGAAGATGGCGATGTCGCCGGAGGAACAAGAGGTGGCGGCGGTCGGATACAAGGCGTGGTTTGAAGGCGGTGGCGGTCCACAGTACATAATACCTAAGGCATCGCCGCGAACCTATCTTATAGCGACTCAGGTTGCTGCGCGCAGGGACCAAGACAAACAATTCGCTACGCAGCTGGAGAAGGGCCAATCTCGTTCCATTGTGAAGGTGACTGGCTTTTCGAAGCACTCGAGTAAGGCACCATGGGATCAGCTGGAACCAAGTGCGCACGCTACCGATATTGTTCCTAGAATGCTCTGACCTCGCTCCAGTACTGCTGTCGGACATGTTTTTGCGTCGGCCCGCCACTGTGCGCAAACGTCGATCAGTCCACGTAATCCTCGTTTGACATACTCTGTATAGGGCCGTTCTCTGCGATGCCGTATCATCGCGCCCTGCAGTGTGTAATCCTTCTGTTTAGATCCTGCACTCCGCTGACTCTGGTGTAGCATCGTTCTACGCTATGCAGACAGTCGTGGAAGACGAGGAAGGAAACGCCTTCGATTTTTCCTTCTACAACTACCCGACCACCTTCGATGCCTCTCCGCAAGACATCGACCTTCTATTCCCCAAAGGTACCGTGCTCCTCGTCCGAGAACCGGTCATAATGCCATCACAACAGAGCGACAAGCCGCTCGTCCGCGTAGAATCGCCCACTGATATCGTGCCACTCGCACCGTACAGGCAGATGCTTCCCGGTACGCGTTTCGAGACAACAACGTATACGAGTCTCCCGGAACCTCTAGAGACACTGCAAACCGACGACTACTGGCGACTGCAGGGGAACGAGCACTTCAAGGCCTCTCGCTGGTTCCCTGCTGCTCTGGCTTACTCTCGTGGGCTCAAGATCAACCCGGGCTCTCTGGTACTCCGGCTGAACCGCGCAGAAGCGTATATGCGCCTCGACTTCTTCTCTGGTGCCCTACATGATGCTCGCTCTGTCTTGGTCGCGTCTGAACTGCCCCCTGCGCTCCGGAACAAAGCTCTCCTCCGCGCGGCGCGTGCGGAGTACGGTAGGCGCAACTATGCAATCGCTAGGCAGCTCTTCCAGCAACATCGGGGGTCTAGTACCAACAACGCTGAAGACGCGAATTGGATCCGCCGGTGCGAAGATCGGTTACGTGAGAGCTCGACGGGAAAGTACGACTGGGCGAAATTGTTTGAGGAGTCCCAGCGAACTAGCAGATTGGATGCTGCAGACTATACTGGACCTGTGGAAGTCAAGGACGTGCCCGGCCACGGGCGAGGTATTGTGGCAACGAAGGATATCGCGGCTGGGGAGCTCTTGGTACGTGTCACCCTAACTCAGGAAGTCTTGTACGGAAGCAGTGCTCAACCAATGCTACAAGATGGTCTCCAAGGCAATCTCAATGGTGGCAGAGGGGACCTCCGCGCTGACATGTGGCGGACCGCCCTCAACTGCAAGACCTCCAGCTTCATGACGCGCTCCCAATGCGCCAACATCGCCAAGGCGGCGCAGACGATCTACGGAAACCCGGACGTCTACGCGCAGGTCTTGCACCTCTACGCAGGCCCGGACTATCCGCTGCCTCCAGTGACCTCTCCCCCTTCGCGTCTCGATCTGCGACCCGTGGAGCCCCTCGAGCCAACAATCAACCTCGACGTCGGCCGTCTCGAGGCGATCTGCTTGTACAACTCCTTTGATCAGTGCTCCCTCCATCTGGCCGGCTACGAATATGCCGAGGACGGCGACATGTGGCACTCGCCCAACGCGCTGCACCTGCTGCCGTCGCTCCTGAACCACTCCTGCGCGGGGAACGCGCGGGTGGTGGTGTTCGGGGACATCCTCGCCGTGCGCGCCGTCGCGCCGATCCGGGCGGGCGAGGAGGTGACGGTGCCGTACGTCTCCCCAGACAAGGGGTACCATGAGCGCGCGAAGGCGCTGCAGCGGTACTTCCCGGCGGGCTGGGAATGTGAGTGCGCGCTCTGTGTGCTGGACAGGGCGGACGGCGCGGACGCGCTGAGGCGGCGGGAGGCGGTGGTCCGTGGGTTGACGGCGGGGCCGCTGTTCCAGGAGCCGATGGACCGCCTGCGCGGGTTCGAGGCGGCGCTACGGGCGACGTACGCGGAGGCGAGGGGGACGTACCGCCCGGCGCTCGCGCGGGTGGTCCACTCGATCGGGGAGAAGCTCCGCGCGGACGTCGCGACGCAGACGGAGGCGTTGGAGACGACCGTCCGGGCGCTCGTGTCCCAGGGTTCGTCATGACGGACGCGACGCGGCGCGACACCACGGCGGCGGCCCTGAAGCGGAGGCAGAAGGACACGCTGCCGGTGGACGTGACTGACCTCTCGAGGTGTATGGATGTGGAGAGGGGCGTGCTCGCGATGCTAAGGATAGCGGTGTGGTATAGGGCGGAGGTGAAAAATGTGGTGCAGGCGAAGAGGTGGCTGAAGGCGGCGCAGAGCGGTGAGTGGACTGGTTGTGTCTTGACTCACGACGGGATGTGGTGCTGATGCGCGCGGTAGTGGTCAACGTCGAGTATGGCGGAGGCAGGGAGCTGTTCCTGTCGCACGGAGCAAAGGTGCTGGAAAGTTTTGGCCTGACGCAGTATGCCGAGACCGTCCTTTGAGATGGTCGCCTGTCGGGCTAGAGGGTGTCACACACCTGTGGTACACCGTTAGTGGTGGTTTGTTTCTCTTGCAATTGTACGATAGATCCGCACATGTAGGTGTACAGTAAATTACACGCGTCTCGTCTGCACGTGACCGTGTTCTGGCCGCGATGAACACATACTGTAGCGAACCCCACAACCCGGTGTCGATTTGTTGCACCTGCTGATGCATAATTCCATGGAAGACGTGCATGAGAGAATTGGCAGCAGCCCTAGAACTAAGA